GCGGACGCCGCGCCGCCCACGCAAGTGAATTTCACGACGGCGCGCGTCGCGGCGCAAAAAGAGATCGAGAAAACGCGGAGCCGGCGGCAAAAAAAAAAAGATAGGAAAATAGTCCAAGACGGGGAGAATAAAGGGAAAAGGCGATACGGAAACTTTTGCGGTGGCGGGGCCGCGGGGGCCGTGACATGACGCGGCCGAACCCAACTTGGCCCGATCGCTTTGACACTTTTCGGACAGTGTACAACACGACGACGACGACGCTGACCATCAAACTCAACGAGTACCTCCATTTTTTTTTACTCCCCCGTCGTTTCCTCCTGGCCCGCTTCTTTCCCAGGGAGCGTGACGCACCGGGATGAGCGGCGTCGCTCTGTCTCTCTCGCACTCGTGGGGCGGCGCGCGGCGGTGCGAGAGAGACAGAGCGACGCCGCGCGTCGCCGTCCTAGCGCCGTGGCCGCGGCCCGCCCGTGGCGCAGCCGTGCGTTCGGGTTGCCTACCGCCACGCGCGCACGGCGCTCTCGCTCGCCTTAAAGTGCGGGCGCGACGTTGCCACCGCCTGCCCCGACGGAAGGGAAGGAAGCCCTGCCGTGGAAGTGCACGCGCGTCCAGCCCGAGTCCGGCGTCGTCCTTCTGGAGGACCTTCCGGTCGTAACGTTCGCGAGCCTCGCGAGGAGGGCTGACATTTCGTGCGACGCCGCGCAGCAGTGCAGCTACACTGGGCGCGCCCAAATCGAGAGAGGAGCTTAATGAAAGATTCACTTCAGACCTTCGGAGTTTCCTGCCGTCGGCGGTGTGGTGAGCACTCGGGTCTCCTTTTACCTCGGGTCACTGTTACGGGGGGGGGGGGGGGGGGGGGGGGCAGCCACCCAGCCATTGTACATCATCGGGCCGGCCGAGGCCGGTACACTGGCGCAGGCACAACTAGGCGGAAACCATTAAAGGGGGCGCCGGCCTCGGCGGCCCGTTTCCCCGATTTAACGCTTTCCGACTCGACTTATTGCAGAAAGCTCGCAGAAAGCCTCGCAGAAAGCGAGCCCCGCGGAAGGAGAGGCAAACGGCGACTTTCTTGCCTGCAATTAGAGCCACGCGACTTTGTCGCTTACGGCCGGGCCCCCTCGCCCCGCCTCGGTGCACCGCGAGCACGCCGCCGCCACGCCGCCAGGGCGCGCCAGTGCTGCGCTGCCCGACACTTGTTGCGGTTTCACAGCTGGAGAACAACGCGGCCTGGACTCCAGGCGTTCCAGGCGCTCCAGGCTGGAGGCGTGCCGGAGGCCCGACCGCGCGATGCAGGAAAGACAGCGAGGCGATCGGAACGGCGGCTGTGTTTCACAACGCATGGGAACGCAACAGGGCGGGCCCAGGTGAACGACCCGCGGGGAGGCTGCGATCAAACTAGGCGACATTCCCCCCCCCACACACACACACACCACACATGCACGCACTGCACCTGAGTGCCGCGCAGAGCCACCCCATCATCCATCCGCCTGTCCGATTCGCAATTTTGTGACTGCACTGACGCGGCCGTGATGAATCGCGCGCGGAGGAGAAAAAGAGAAGGATGGAAGGAGACAAGGGGTGGGCGGGGAAGAGAGAAAGACAACGGCGGTGCGGGGCGGAAAAAAAACAAAAAGCAACTCACAATCGTCTCAGCAAGCAGGCAGGCAGGCAGGCAGGCAGGCAGGGGCTCATCGCCAGACGAGGGTGCCCCGGCGCCCTCCCACCGCGCCTGGTGGGGGTGAAGGGACCACTCACCCCCGCGCCCCGCCCGCCCACTCGCCAAGCCTCGCAGTTCGTGGGCCGCACAGTTTCCGATCCAGTTTGAGTGCCGCCGCCGCGCCCCCGGATTAAGCACAAGGGAGGCGCGGGTCGGCCGCGTGGACTCGCGCGAAAAACGTCGCACAATAATAATAGCAAAAAGAAAAAAAAAGAAAAAACAAAATCAGTTTTGATAACTTTGAAATCCTTGCGGCCGCGAGGCGTCGGCTTTCAGCGAGGCGCTCTGCCAGTGTGTTACGTCGCCGCGTTCGCCGCGCGTGTACACTGCAGCTCGCGGCATCGCTCTGCATCCACGCAACGCACCATGGGAACGCCGCGAGTATGAGAAACCGGTGGGAACGCGCGCGACTTGCGCTCATCGCCGCGCTGCTGTTTCTTTCTTTTCGCAGACACATTATTACGTCACTTTTTTCACGTTTTTGTTTTTCCTCAAGAAAAGAAAAGTACACAAACACACACACACACGCGCGCGCGCGCTGTGAGACTGTCTCTAGTCCGTTTCTCTTCCAGCGCCGCCCCCGCCGCTCGCGACTCGACGCACAGGTAACGATAATTGACCCCCCCCCTCCTCCTCCTTTTCCTTCGCCTCCTCCGGGGCGCGCAGGTGACTTGAATCTCAATATCAAACTTGCGAGCGATATTTCAACGCGAGCTCGCTAGCGTCCCGAGAAGGCGACCAGGGACGCCGGGCGACGCGGAGAGCGAGCGGTGCGCTCTACACCATCGCAAAACTCGGGAAACGACCCGGCAAAATTATGAAGCAGTTTTAAGGTCCTTTTCGTATAAATGCGTTTAAATGTCTCATCCGCCGCCGACACCTAGGAGGTTTTCGACTCAACGCTGGTTTTGGCGTCACTTGCGGGAAAGACAGCGGCAGGCAAACCAAAAAGTGACGGCTTCTTGAACAACAGAGATGTCAAGCTACATCCGCGGGAGGATCTGTCGATTCAAAAGGTGCGGTGCACGCCGCGCCCCGGGTACCGACAGTAGCCAGCCAGCACGCCAAGCTGTTCCGAATCGGCCCGGCATCGCAGCCATCAAGAGCAGCCGGAAGTGGCGGCTATGATTTCCTCTGGCGTGCGGACGGGCAGCGGCAGCAGCAGCTAGAGCCCGACTCGCCATCGCTCACCTGGCGAGCCTGGCCAAGCCTGGCGCGGACGGACTGCCGGGGACCTTCCGTTTTTTGTTTTTTCACCGAGGGGCAGGAAGCGGGGAGGGGGGGGGCTTACGTGGAGAAGGGGCGTCGAGCCATTGAGCCGACTGCTGGGTCCCACCGAGTCAGCTGGGCCGCTGGGCCGCTGGGCCGGCCTGCGCCTGCACCGCTGGAGGCAGGCGTGCTGCAGCCCTTCGCCCAACGGTGCCTCAGCCACCTGCCTCGCCGCCCCGCCCCGCCCCGCCCCGCCCCGCCCCGCCCCGCACCGCCGGTCGGCCGTGCCCCAGTGCACATAGGGCTAATGACCAGCTTGTGGATTCACGAGATGGGACCTCCATGCTCCCCGCGGCCCGGCCCGGCAATCCGTACGAAACGCGCTGGCGCTACCGCGGTGGGCTGCACACCGAGTCGGTTTCGTCTCTCTCGCACTCACGGGGCGTCCTGCTTCGGTGCGAGAGGCACAAAGCGACGAAAACGGCTCTCGGAATCCGTCTGCTGTACCTTGCTGCCTCCGCGCCGTGACTTGCACAAGAGGGTCAAGAAGCCGAGCCGCCATAGACCACCATGAACTGCTGCTGCCAGTCATGGGGTTGCCATGGCGGCGAGCGCGGAGCGCGGCTGGAACCGTCACAGCGCCGCACCGTCACTAGCGCGCCGCGCCCGAGCGAGGGTTGTCGCTAGTGTCGGGTTTCCCGTGCCCGGAATCGCGCGCTCCAGCTCCAGCGAGGCTCCAGCGAGGCTCCAGCAAGGTTCCAGTAAGTCCACCTGACGGGAGGAAAAACTAAAACTGTCCCCGATGGGATAGGTTCGTACACAGGGTAGCGTGCCGGCCGCGCCGAGCCGCGCCGCGCCGCGGGCCGGTTGGGTTCCGAAACACGAACGCGCGCCCAGCAGAGCGGAACTTGGGGTTCGTCTCGTGCTGCTTGGCACCGGAAGGTAAGGGCAGCACGGCCAGCACGGCCAGGCGGCCAGCCAGGCTGGCAGCCAGGCAGGCAGCCAAGCGCGGCCCGCAGCACCTGCCGGCGTGCCCCAGCCCGGCGTCACCGTCGTCGCCGGCCCACATGTCGCCGCGATATTGCTTCACTTGTGGGGGAGACGCAGCTCCTGCACTGCAAGCTCGAATTGGACGTCGAGAAGGGTGCGCGCCGCCCCGCCCCGCCATCCAGGAGGGAAATCCACGCGTGCCGGGGACGTGCTTCGCCACACGCCACGCCCCACCCGCTCCGCGTCCAAGTCCAAACTTTGCCGAGTCAAATTCCCGGCCCAGCAGCGCGTTTACTTAAAACTCGGAACAAAGACTGCGCCGGCGGCGAGGCGAGGCGAAACGGCAAGCTTTATTAGCGAGCGGCCTTAGCGTGGCAGTGCGTAGCAGGCAGTAGCAGGCAGTAGCAGGCCGCCCATTGGCCCATTGTTGCGACCTTAGGAACGATCCATCCACGCGCCAGCGCGGCGGCGCCAGCGCCCAGCCAGTCCGTGTCCGGCCGGCCGGCCCGCGGCTAGTTGTCTTTTTTCTCGATCCGCGGCGGCGCGGCAGCTTGACATGCTGGGTCACTTCTTGCACCACATGGGGCCGGACGAGTGGCGGCCGGGGCCTCGGCGCCAATCAGCGGCCGCTGCTCCTCCCACTCTAATTACCAGCTACAAGAACATCTTGTTGTCGGCCAGGCCGGCCGGACCGCCAGGCCGAGCGCGGGGACCTCAGGGTCACACCGCGCCCTGCGCTCAGCGCGCGGCTCAGCGGCTCAGCGCGGCTCAGCGCCCCGCGGCGGCTAGCGAGTCCAGCCAGCGCCTGCAGACTCATTCCAAGAGTCTCTTTTGCACTTAAGGGACGCACCATGTAGGTGAGAGAGACAGAGCGACGAGAACGACTCTCGGAATGAGTGGTGGGCGCGAGGCGCGAGGCGCGGGAGGCGCGGCGCTCTGCATTGCTCTATCTCTTGCCGCGGTCCGGGAGCACGGCGAGCGAGGCTGGGCGCTGGGCGCGTAACGGTGCCCCGCTGCCCGCCTTGCGCTGCTCGGCCTCAACGAGGCCCTCATCAGGCAGGACTAGATTCGCGGGAATGGCACTCACCTCTTCCTCGCCGGGGACGGTGTTGACGGAGTCCATGCTCTGGCTGAGGACGCTGGGGGCCTCCATGCTGGACGCCAGGCTGTTCATCCTCTCGACGGCGTCGACCTGGTGCTGCTGGTGCTGCGTCGCGACGGTGGCTTCGGCGACGACGACGTCGAGTCGGGGTCGCTTGTACGCGGGGGCGGCGAGGGCGGCGAGGGCGGCGGCGGACGAGGGCGTCTGAGGGTGGGCAAGCTCACGCTCTAGACCACCTCCGTCGGCGCAAAGGTGCCGGTTTCTTTTCGACGTGGTGAAGCCGGGAGACGCACGGTGCAGACCGCGTTGTCGTCCTCGGCAAGTGTCCAGCAAGATCACTTCGCGGACAACACTATTGCTATTAATTGATATGCTTGCGAATCACGCACTGGGCTTCTCACGACGCACTACACTGTCGATCTTCAACACACGCTCCTCAGACAAGAGAGAGACGGGGAGTGCTTTGCCTGCGAACACACACAACACAAACACACACTGTAGTGAGACTGGACTGGATCGCACACACGCGGGACAGCTGTCTGGCGCCGTGCCTCCTGACAGACTACCAGCGGCAGGGCGCCCGGCCCGGCCAGAGGCCCGGCTCGGCGGGCCCTCGGCGTCCACGCCGTGCCGCCCCGCCGCCCCCTCCCTCGGCCGCGCTCACCGCGGCTCGCCGTGCCCGGCCCTCCCCACCACACCGCGCCACCGCGCCGCGGCGCCCCTCCCTCCCTCCGGGCCTCCGAGCGTAACGTCAGAGCGGCGCGGCGTTGCGCGGTGCGCGGTACGGCCAGGGCGGCCAGGTAGCGCCGCGACGCCACGACCGCGACGACGACGCCAAGCACCGCGACGCCGCCGGCCGGGCCTTCGGGCTGCCGGTGCCACGGAAACAAAAGGACCAAATCCGCTGTCAAATTAATAAAAATCCACGCTACACCGCGTGCAGCACAACCACTACCCCCAGAACCGGGCGCGCCACGCCACGGCGATAACACGCCTCGCTTCGCCTGCAGCCCTGCAGCGCGCCTTTCGCTGAGGGCACTAAATCGCGCAGCTGTAATAGCCGAGGCGGGGCGGGGCGGGGCGTAGATTAGCGTACCCGGCGTGACGTGGCGTAACAACGGCCAGCCCAGGCGGCACGGCGGCACGCCAAGGCGGCCAGGGCGGCACGCACCCCTGCGGCACAACCCCGAGCGAAGCTAGCGAAGCCAACAAGGCACACCACGCGGTGGGCCTCCCCCGCCCCGCCCCAGCCACATCGACCATTTCTATTCCCAGCAAAGGTTCGTGTCACACTGGTTCTTTCCATTGCAGGAAAAAATGGGCTGCTAGCAGGACGGCAGGCAAAAGACGAAAGGCCTGGAAGGAAGGCGAAAACGGCGGACCTGGCATCGCAAACGCCGAAAAGAGTTAAGCATGGCCAACGTGACTTTTGATAAGGCAGTCGTGGCGGTCCCTGTAAACTGTGTTAGTGCTAGAGGCCCACGCCCAGTGGACGGTAGCGGACGGGTTCGGGTCGCGCGGGGCCCTCCAACTCCACCGCCCGCCTGCCCGGCCCGCATATGTGGGCCCTCTCGGTGCACTAGTGCCTGGCATTGCCACGGTGCCCGAGTCGACTTGAACAATGGCCACGCCAGGCAGGCAGGCAGGCAGGCCAGCGCCCCAGGACCACGGACCACGCCCGCAATGTTTGCTGTACGGTGCCCCTGCGGCGCGCCACGCGTGTTGCGCAAGCGCCCCGCACGCCGTGTCACTCATGTCGTGAACGCGGTGCTGACCCGACCCACCGATACCCCTGGCTCCAGCGTCGCTCTGCCTTTCTCGCAGAGCGACGCTGTGAATCCACCTGTGCTGAGTCGGGGAAGAAAGGAACCCGTCGACACTCCCAGCGCAAGAGACCTCTAGCACGGCTGGCATTAAAAGTCACTTGGGCACGGAGTCTCGCCGGGCCGTGTGTCGGTGTCAGAGGCAGCCCGCCGGCTCGACCACCGTTCTGCGCGCTGCTTTTGCGGAGCAGGGCACAAGGCAGCACAAGGCGCGAGGCGAGACGACGAGGCGCTCCAGCGGCTCCAGCAGCGCCCCGGGCTCCAGGGGCTCCAGGGCTCCTAGAGGCCGAGAGGCAAAGGCCGACCTGGTACACCGGGCCTCCACAAAGCCTCGACCACTCCACACGCGCAATGGCTCAGGCACGCCCTTCACGGCACAAGTGCTCGCCAACCCCGGCAGGGCCCTGCCCTCACTGCACCCTCCCCGACCCTCCCCCCCCCCGGGCCGGCGCGGCTGGCGCGGCGCACAGCGCGGCGACCGAGCGGCCTAGCCGGTGTCACGGGTCGAGTCGAGGACGGGGCGGCGGGGAGGGGGAGGCGGCTGGCTGGGGAAGCGAGGGAAGTGGAAGCGGCAAGGGTTGGACAGGTGGCGGTAGTGTCACGGTACAGGATGGCGGCGGCGGTCCTCGCGCTATCACTTGGCTGCGATATTTTATTTACGCCCCGCACCACTGGAGAGGACGGCGAGGGGAGGGCGGGGGCTTTACGCCGACCGCCCCTGCCCCGTGGTACCGAGCCCAAATTGACGTTCATTGTGCCGCTCGCTGAATGAGGCAAGCTCGGCCCCACCCCGCCCCGCCATGTTTTCGCCCGCGGGCCGCAAATGTCAGCCGGAAGGGGAGGCAGGAGGCAGGCCGCACCGCGCCTAGACCGCCGCCATCCTTCCAGTAATATTTCCGGTTCAACTTCTGCCCGCTTTGACGACCGCGGGGGAAAGGGCTGGGGCCGAAAATGGGGGCCGGGCGACGGGGCCACCGAAGGGTCGTGTAGGCGAAATCGTCGTCTCGTCCGGCGTCATGCTCAACGGTCCAAACCGGGTTCGGCTTTTTAAAACGTTGAAAAACTTAGACTCAAAACAAAAGACAATCGAGGGAAATTCAGCGCGTTTCTGTGTTCGGCGTCCACGGCATCCCTCCCCGCGAGACTTTATTCAAGGATTCCGGTGCACCTGTGCCACTCTTGCCGCCGCTGCTGCCGCCCCGCCCCGGTTATAAACAACCCTACCGCGCGCACCCCACCCCACCCCACCGCCCCCACGGCGCGGTGCTCGGAGCGCTCGGCGCAGCGCCAACCGTATTCAAAAAGGATAAATGGATAATCGCGCCATCGCGCCCCAAAACGTGATACGGAGAGGCTTACGCGCGATGCCGCGCCGCCACCGCCGCCGTCTGGAACAAACTGATCTAAATCGAGCCGCGGCCCGCCAGCCCGCAGCCAGCCAGCCCGCGGCCGCGACGGGAAGGGAAATCGCCGAAATAAAGTGGCGCCCAATGCGAATACGGGCGGCAATAATCAAAAATTGGGAGTCGCGTCGCGCGGCACAGCAATGCGTAGCAATGCGCTGTGGGAACGGAATCATCTGGACAGCCCCCACCCCGCGCTGCGCCCAGCTGACGAGACAAGCAGGAACGCAGCTTGGCCAACCGGCTTAGCCACAAACCCACAGGGGAAAAATGAAAAAATGGCGGAATCGAACCACTGGCTGGCAATCGTTGGCAAGTCAGTTTGTTGTAACGCCACCGCCGGCACACGATCAGGCAAATACCTTATCTGGTTCCTCGCTCCCATTGAGGGCAATGGGGGCGGGGGCGGGGAGGTGGGGGAGTGCCAAGCGGTACCACTGCAGGCCCGCCCCCGGCCCGCCGCCCCCGGCCCGCCGCCCCCGGCCTCTGCCCACAGCCCTGCCTCGGGCCTCGCCACCCCCGCCGCCTGCCAGAGTACAGTAACCTTTACCCTTTGGCAGGGAGGGGGTGGTGGGCCCTGGTGGGCCTTGGTGGGCACGGAGCAGGTGCCCCAGCCTTGCTGGGCCCGTCGTGGCCCTACCCCCTGCGGGGCCCACGGCCCACGGTGTGGGGCTCCCTGCCAGCCCACCCTCTTTACGGCGTACTTTGCGCGAATCGTTAAGGCCGGGCGGCAACACAGCTCGGCTAGCACGGCGACAACCCTCGAGCACGCCGTCGTCGACACGGCGCCACCCCCGGCGCCACGTGCGGCGCGCACCACTACGCCACTGTCCCGACGAGCAGAGGCAGTGGCGGAGCGGCAGCGCGCGTCCCGCCAGCCCCGCCATCGCCGCCAGGCACTTCACCACGTGCTGCCGGCGCGGGCCGCCGTCGCCGCCGTCGCGCTGCTGGCCGCTAGGCGGCGCTAGGCCCGGCGAGGCCGCTGCCGCCAGAACCGGCAGGACCAAGCGATTGCCAAGCAAGCCAGAGGCGGCGCGGGGCCTATTGTTGCCGGCGTCCGCGGCAGACCGCGGCCCCCGCGGGGCGCCTGCGCGGCCTGCACTACTCACCAGGAACACACGGAGCGAAGCACGTCCACGACGTCAATCCGTTGAGGCCAACAACAACACCAACAACAACATCGACAACAAACGGCGCCGCGGCAGCGAGTGTCAACTGACGAGCGGCCCGAACGGGACGAGTGATACAGCAGGGCCAGGGCACAGCAGCAGGCAAGTCTTGGAGGCTCCGTCCTAACCGCCCTTGCGCCGTCCACACTCACACTGGGCTGAGCAAAGGAGGGGAGGCTTCGGAGGGCTCGGGCGGCTTGGGCCCCGTGGGGGTGGGGCGGGCTCCCGCCAATGGGGTGCTCTGATCGATATGACGTCACACCCCTCTGCGCAGCTCTGCGCCGTGCTGCAGACCCACCCCCTCCGCGCCGCTCCGCCGCCCCGCCCCGCCCTGCGGCCCCACTCACCTGTGTCGCGGGAGGGAGGGAGGGTCGGTCAACAAATGAGCCATCCGGAACAACACGCCGTGCAAGCCGCGTAGGCCGTGGCAGCCGTGGCTGTGCACCGCGGTGTGTCCGCGACCGTCGTCGGCATTTTGGGGCTGGCGCCACCGCGCCGCCTGCCGTGTTCCGACCGACGCGCGCAAGCGGAAGCCGCTCAACAAACTACCCGAGTTTCCGGTCGACTAGCGCTTACGGCGGCTTGCTCTGTCGGAGGCGCCCGTTTTCGCGGCGACCGGAGTCGGGGAAGACCACGCGCCCATTCATTCTCGTATCGAGACTGATGTACGCAGTGACGGGTGGCGCTGTGTCTAGTGCTCAGGCACTGTGCGACGTTGGAGCGGAAAGGGAAGGGGTTCGCCAGAACGAGCCACCTTCAGGATTCATGTCCTTCCACGAGAAATATTTCGCAAAAGGCGGTACTTAAGGTTTCGATTAACAAACCGCATTTTTATTACGCAATCTCAAAAATACACATACTTATAAACATTCGGTACATTCTTTTAAAAGTATAAACATAAAAATATGCATTGAAATATCAACATAAAATCGATCATATAAAATAAATGAGAAAACACAAAGAAACTATTTCATCACCGGGTGTTGAGCATATACATTACTGTAAAGACTGTGCGAATTTCACTGACAATCCACACCTTGAAACTTAATGAGACTCGCAAAGGAACGTTTGTGCTGGCGGACCATTTGTGCAAAAGCCACTCGACGTCGCCTAGTTCTTGCCGTACTTGGCGACCAGCTCGGCGACCTTGGCGATGTACGCCTCCTTGGCGGCGTCCTGGGTGGTGCCCTTCTTCTTTTCCCAGGCGTCCCACTTGTACTTGCCCTTGAAGTCCAGCATGCCGGGGCGAGCTGTCGGGAGAAAGGCAGATTTACAACGGAAACTTGGCCAAAAGTTGACTTGGACAGGCAAATCAGGTCGCCGCTTCGCTGCTGCTGGAGGGAGGGCGACTGCGATACTGCGATTTACAGAAGCCTAACCAAACCAACCGCCTCACCTGTGTTCACGTCACCCACGGTTCCTTGTTTGAAAAGAGCGTACAGTTCCAGCAGCTCATCGTCCGAAGGAGTAGTCTTCAACTGTTTCACTTCCTCAGCAGCTGCCTCGAAGGACTGCAGATGGAGAAAAACAGAAAATTTCGAGTCAGCATTGCAGCCAGATGCAAAATTTTGAGGTAAAATAGTCCTTTCAAGTCCTACCGCCATGGTGCAGAAGGGCTTGATGAGCGCGCGCGCGACAGGGGCGGTCTGTAACATAAGTTCAAATCCAACTGAAACAAAAAACACCGACGGAGTTGGCAGCTTCCGCTTCTCCAGCGGTACCAACCATCCGGAGACTACAGACCACCTCCCGCCCCTCCCCTCTCCTCCCCCTCCTCGACCTCCACACCTCCCTCCATTCACTCGACAACAGCAATGTCTTGGATGGAGCGAGGTTAGGCTCCCTTTCAAATTAATTCCACAGTTTTCCGCGTACATTGTCAACAATTTAGGTTACACAGTCTTGAACTAGCATTGTAGTATCGAGATCAAATATGCAAACTATGAGGGAAAACGACTGAGCCGAAAGAACATTTTAGAGGCAGCTATGTATCTTGCCCGGAGATTCATTCAATGTGCGACGTCGCAACGTACCTTTAAGTGACAGAAGCACTCACCTTCAAGAATAAAATCCACTTGCGCTCTTCCTAGTTGCACGTATAGCAATCGCGCTCTTGAGACCGGTGTGGTACCAAACGTTCCGAACTAGCCGGACACGCTACGCTAATTACTCATGAATAGAGGATGACTCCTAGTCCAGTCGCTCCCTCTAGCGGCAGAATCGTGAAGCTATTCAAACACGACGGATCGGAGATCAGGTTGCGCGGCTGGCATTTCGTCCATAAAGCAATATACCCTGATCTTTTTAAGAATTTAATCAACCAGCATCATCAGTGCCTATATGTTCACACTGTTCATGTTTCTGCTTCCTTTCATTTATCAAAGGTTGTGTGAGGCGGGAGGGGGAGGAGAAACAAGAGTAAGGACTAAGGACGTATACAATTTATTATTACTGGAGTAACTATATCACAAAACTTCATCATCAGAAAAAAATAATTCTCAAAACATCTCTCCAGACAAACATAAACCGGGCTAATGAACATTTAAGTAGTTAATATTTAAAAAATTGAATCCATAGTGATAACAGAAAAATTGCAAACAGTTGAGTTGAGTTGATGCTTTTGAGATTGGTCACAACAATGGGAGGAGAGCAATTGCACCAATAGAGATGATAGAGTAACAAAAAATTCAAATCCTCTTCATAGCTAGCCTACTAAAAGGTGGTCCGGTTATGTTGGTTTAGCAGAATTGTTATCACCAGTAGATTTCGCACTTTGCTTGGCACGAACCATTTCCACAAGTTCCTAGAAAGAAGAAAATATTTTATAGTGGTGTTTTTAGAATTAAATATGAATGACCCAACTATGCAACTTAAACAATGGCAGCTGAGTTAATATTAAGATAAGATAAAGTTTACCTTATAACGTTTCATGCAATCCTTTTTTGAACGTGTTGGAACATCTTCAGCAATTCTATCCCAACGTTCATCTGTCCCAGCAGGGAATTTCTTGAGAGCTTGTTCCAATTGCTGCTGTTCTTCATTAGTCCAGGGGGCAAGATTTTTACCTGCCTGAGCAGCTGGGGCTGAAGACGATCAAATTAGTTGCAGCTATTCTCAATTGGAACCCTTATGAGACCGAAAATTTGAAGACACTACAAACTTACTATCAAAACGCTCAGAGGCCCCACCATCAGCTTCAACTGTCACAATGTCACGTTTTTTGTTGTTCTGGAACTTGTCAAAGGCTAATGAGTTGACTTGCTCTCGCAATGCACTTCGGCTGTGATCGGATTTCTGTAATGTTTTGGCTTTGTCAAGAACCTCTTTTGGTGTACGAACAATGCCAGCACCCGATGCGTGAGAGTTAAGGAAGTTGGCAACACATTCCCATCTGCAAAATTGATAAAAGGTTTTTACAATTTGTCTTTAAATTAGAATGGGAGACTCTGGTTAGATTCAGTTTTAGCAAGATATACCTCTCTACAGTGCCTGCAGGGAACATGTTCACTGCTTTAATCAACAACTGTAACTGTTCCGGAGTCCAATTTGATACAACTTCAACCTTCTCCGTTGCTGGAGCAATTTGATTAGTACCCACAGAGACTCCGCGGCCAAGCCTAGCTGCCTCTACAACAAGGCGCCTTTCCTCATCCAGTTTTCGTTCACACTCTGTGAGAGCACTCACAAAAGCATCTCTCCCGCGCTCCTTCATGTCATTGTTAAGTTCTTGAAGTCTAGGCAAAAGACAACAATTAGAACAACTCTGTTCATGGAACACCACTAATGACCATAAATGAATAAATCAACTCACTGAGTTAATGACAGCATTTCACATATTTTCTCCATTCCAGTTAGATGAGGAAGTTTTTCATTTTCATTTATAACAAAATAGTCCTTTTCTTTAAGAAAATCGCGCATTGTTTTGCGTTCCTTTCTCATAGCCTTCTTGAAAGCTTCCTTTTGCTTCTTCTCAGCTTCCAGGCGTGTTTTCTCTTCTCGCTCCTTGGCTTCTTTTTCTTGACGAGCTTTCTCTTCAGCTTCCTTTTCAACCTGTGAAGCAATATTTAGAATTAATGCATTAAAAATTATTTGCCTGGATTCCCTGGGTCTACAAAACAAGCATCTTACCCTTTCTTGCTCGGCTCGAGCAGCCCTGGCCGCATCTTGCTTTGCCCGCTTGGCTGCAGTCTTCCTTTCAATCTCCTCCTGTCTAAAAGCAGCCACACGAGGATCCATATTGTAAGCCAGATCCACTAAAGAGCGAATGCGAACCATTTCTTCTTTTTTGCGCTTTATTCTCATTGCTTTGTTCTGCTTGTCAATCCATCTCCTCTGATCTCGGCTGCGGAAAAAAAAAAAAATTAGTGTCAAGTATGAGAAAATATTTTGAGAATAACTTCAGAGTAAATACAACTTACTCCATGCCAGAGTCTTTCTCTTCTTCATCCAGGTAGGAAAAGTCTCTCCATGACTGGAAGTCATACCAAAAATTATAAAATCTGTCTACTTCTTTCAATGTTGCATCTGGACCACCCAGTTTTGGAACAGGTTGCCTTTCTGACCAGCGAGTATTCATCTCGAAGAAGGCTCCTAATACCTGCAAACACCTGATAGTTAGAAACTGCTAGCAAATTGAAAAGATGTAAGAGAGATTCCAATGCAGGAGGATCTGGTTGGGGTGTAACATTAATTTAGGAGAGTTTGACACTACTAAAAGCCTAACCTGATAGAAATTTTTCTTAGTGTACTCGTTGGCTGTTGGAACACCATCATCAACTTCTGGATCTACTGAGTCATATGAACGGCGCTTGGATGGAACGCCAAGAACATCATAGGCTTTTGATATACAAACAAAGTAGTCATTATCTTGATCTACTTTTTCTCCTCTTGCTTTCCGTTTGTCAGGATGATGCCTTAATACTTTTTTACGGTCTAAAACACACAACAAGAAGGAAATAAGACTCAAGCAGATAAATATTCAGAAGAAATGTGTGTGGTTAGTTAAAGAGATTACTCACAGGCCAACCTGATCTCATTGTCAGTGGCTTTGTATCTCTTAGTGCCGAGGCCAAGCACCCTGTAGTGATCTTGATCCTAGTTTAAAAGATAGAAATTAATAAAAGGAGAAAAATATGCTAAAAGGCCCATACATGACATCAAAATATTTTACCTTGCACTCCTTAACATCCAAACTTTTAAGGTACTCCAAGTCATCATCCTCATTTGACGAATCATCCTCAACTTCATCCTCAGCCTCTTCATTACTGTTCAGCCAAACAGATTCCTCATTTTGATGAGCTATGCGGTAATAATTAAAATAGGCAGGTCCCACTGTCTGAACCTTACGGCGAGTAAGAGCTGCAAAAATTAAAAAATTGTCAAAACGATTGAACGTCAAGGACTACAAAACAGTTTTTCAAAGAAAGCAGTGCTGCAGATGGGCTAAACATGCAGCGCGAAGGACGAGGGAGGAACAAGACCGATGTAACCTCTCAGTCACAAGGCGCGACAGCACGACGACTAGTGCTGGCGACTTTTGCCCGGAGCAACAGGCAGACCCAATCGACAAAACATAAGAACCGAGTAACAAATCGGCAAACGAACTGTGAAATCATGCTTTGAGAGGCCATACGAAGAAATAAACATAGGCCTATTCACAGAAACATAACCTGCATTCACTTGCATGAGACGTTCCATGCGCTGTCAATAAATGAATCAAACTTACTGCAGACTCCATCTTTACACGAATTTTCCGGCACGATTTCCTCTCGGCATTCTTGGACGCACGTCATGATGAACGTTCAACCGGCATGCATGAGCAGAGCATGCCCAGTGTCCTGAAACTCCGCTGAAAAACGAGCCTCTCTTTAAGCAGGCGGCAAACCTTCCGACAGAAATATCCCCTGCGTCCTGCCTCCTCGAGGTGCGGGGAAATAAAGTAAATTGTGTTGGCGAACTGATGAAGAGGGAGTTTCAAATGTCAACTGGTGAGGTAACAAGAGTGAGCCATTATCTTCGGAAATTTGTGAAATACTCAACAAATATATGTTCATAATTTAATTAGAGAAATTTCTATTAATCCAGAGGATCTGCCAAACACTCAGAGAACCCTCCGGGGGCTTTATGTGTCATCAAGGTTGGTTGCATTGGTGACTTGACACGGTACAAATTTGGCCAAGATGGAGTACAGACAGCTGAGAGAAAGATGTAATGGGTGAATAATTTGTTGACAAAGACTTAATTTAGCCTACAATGGCACAAGAGTTTAATAGGAAAGCCCTCACGCTAGTCGTGGCTCAAATTTGCCAGACTATAGGGTGGCATTCCATAAATTCTACGCCTCTAGAATTACTGGTTGACCTCTTGCATAGATACTTGTTTGAAGTTGGAAAAAATGCTCATCTCTATGCAGAACAGCGTAAGTATTTCTTTTTGTTTTAAAATTGAAAAATCGTTTTAAAAAAATATTTTGCCTTTTCTATTTTGTTTGATTATTGAGTGATATCACTTTTTCCTTGAAATGACCGATATCACATAACCTCTAAAGTTAGGTTAAGTATGTTTGTAAACAACCGCAATGTCATATACTTGTTTCCCCGTTTTACTCCTATTAAACTTTTAATTCCTGTGTGCAAACACACTTTTCACGCACTTCAAAAGTATTACTTGCTTTGTTCAGATAGATCTACTGTTCGCTGTATGAAAATGTACTGTACCAAAAGACTGCTCTTTGAGTTGAAATCAGCTGACATTTTGTTCTTGTCTTTTACAGTGGGACATACCACTCCAGATTTGGACGATTTGGGTCTTGCTTTTCAAGAAATGGGAGTTAGTGTTGAAGATCTTAAAGAATATGTCCAATATGTTGATTCAGTACCTTTCATCCATCAAGTCCCTAAGTTCCCAGTACCTCGAGAATCCCATCTCAACTTTCTCAAGCCTGGGAGTCGAGAAGTCGTCACTCGGCCTGTTCATGTTCATGAATATCTTCCACCTATGTACCCTGATCTAGAAAATGAAGCTGGTGAGATTCATCATTCAAATTTGGTGCAAAATAATTCACCAATTGAATTGGCTTTCAGGCCCATCAATGCTGATATTTTTACTTTCTTTCAGCTGAAGAATATCCTAATAAAAACAGTCCATTGTCTGTGGATATATCATCTCCTGGGCCAAGTAGCGGTCCAAATAGCGCAGGTGGAAGCCTTTCTCCACAATCAAGCCCCAAACCTAATCCACTAAATCCATTTAAGCGACCAGGAGAACCTATTACAGCAGAAAGTCCAGCCCTTAAACGTGCTCGGTAATATGCTTGTTTCAAATCATTACTCCAATGTGTGTGTGTTTTTTTTGTTTTTTTTTTTCAAATTCTTAATGAAAATTGTGTGTTGTTTGCAGTGTGCTTATGGAAGAGGAAGGCAGGCCGTTGAGGGAAATAAGCAGTGTCATGATGACAACCTCTGGCTTTTTATCTCCTGCGAGAGAAGGCAAGCTTCCTGAGGCAAGAACACCCCTACAACCATCAGATTCAAGGTCCAACTCTCCTCAACCATCCCACTACCCATCTGTACCCCCTGAAGTTAACAAGTCTGATAAGAAACTTAAAAAGCTCCTACCCAAAAAACCCACTGATATTACAAAAAAAATGGACAAAGAAAACAAGAAGAAGGACCACAGCAGGGAAGCGGAACCTCAAGGCGAGTCAAATATGGATGAGTCTAACGTTGCAAAATTAGTGAGCATGAAGGAAACATCTAAATTGAAAGCCTTCAAGCCAGCTGGTTTTAAGCACCAACAGCCTCAGCCAGGCTCTTCATCCTCTGCAGGTGCTTACAAGATTCCCAAGGTTTCGGCCAATAAATCGCCCAAGCGGCCCAAACAGGCACATGCTCCTCACAACCTCGGGCCTCCAGCATCTCCTCCTATGTCAGATTACGATGACAAGATTTCTTCTGCTCCTGATCGCCAAAAACTTTCATTCTTCAAAAAGATATCCAAAGTTAAGGAAGAAAAACCAGAAAGGACTGACAAAAATGAAAGAATCAATGAAAGTCCCATTCCCATGAAAGAAACAAAAAATATTTCTGGAGGATGGGTTGTCAATGAAGAAAAGGCAAGAAAAGAGGTCAGAAGTTCTCAAATAGACAGCTGCATAGAATCAGTAATTCAGCAAGGCATACAAGATTGTGAAAACATCAAGAGGGAGAGGGATGTCAGTGTATCTAGTGACTCCTTTGTTGATGTTGGGGGCACTAGCATGGCAGCAGATAGTTCTCCCCTGCACACATACCCCTTTGAATTTGATGCTTCTCCACCTCATTCACCTGCTGCTCCTAAGACACCAGAAATTGTTCATACTCTTCTTGCCAAAGAGGAAAGCAAGAAGAAAAAAGAGAAATCAAAGTTAAAGAAAGAAATGAGGGCAAAGTCAAAAGAGCTGAGTCCTAAGAAATTGAAAATGGAACCCAACGAAGATGACTATGTAGAGCGCCCCAAAACCCCTGAGGTGAAACTTGATTTCAAACCATACCAATATGTCTCCGTTCCCCCTCATCCTGGGCTTATTCCCCCTCTATTGGATAACAAGAGACCTGAGAACCTGGCATTGATTCATTCTCCTCCACGAGATTGCCTTTCACCTGAGAAACCAGTGACACCTGGAGCTGGAGTTTTAGGGACATCCCTAAGCCATCAGATGCAGACCCCTACAACAATGCATTCCTTCTTCCACAACTCTCCTGCCTCATCATCTACTACAACACCCACTGGAGTGCCTGTGACTCCTGGTGCTGGAATTTTGCCTCTCACCCCAGGATACAATCTCCCTTCAGTAAGTCCTCTGATCAAGAAGAAAGGTCTGGATGGCAAAGGAAAGAATCTGGAAAAGGTATGTGTTGCCTGGGAATGTGACAATTGCAATATTTTCAGCTGCGCATGTGCATGTTTTGAAGCCTTGCCCTTAATGTCTTGTGCCCTCTTTATGAGCTATCTTAGATATATTAGCTCAGTTTTTTAATTAATTCTGATTTCTATAATAAATCTGCTGCACTTTAGTCGAAATTTGCTTTTTGCCAAGCTTTCATGCAGTTTGATCTTGTTCATTCTCTTGATAGTCCATACAAAGAGATAAATAAAGTCATGTAATATTTGTATCTTACATTCTGGTATAACAAGAAGTTTGCTTATTTGCTGCATAATAAAGGATGCATATTTGGCGTTCGGAACATAAAAGATAGACCTTATTATGTACAGAAAATATTTTTACCAAATTTCACAAGAAATTCAGCAGAAAATTTTAAAATTTCTCTTCAATATCCAATTTGTTTCTGATCTTGTTTTCTGAATTATTACCTAACTTGTCCGAGTGTTTGCGGAGCGTATTGAAATCAATATACATTTGCTTTGCAGCAATCACAATTGCTCTTTGCTAAATGTTTTGCTAAAAGTTTTGCATCTTGTGCATCTTGTATTTCCTGTCTTGTATGTTTGTTCCTGGTGTGAAGACCTATGCAAATTCTGGTGGCCAAGACAGTGACGTGGGGCAGGGTGGGATGCAATGCCATCAAGTGAGCAAGCAGAGAGGACTCGTCTTAGTTCTGGTAGGTAAAGATCAGCATTATGCGGGTTATGTACCTTGTGTCACTGTCCATCATATCTCAGTATTGTTCTTTCAACCTCAAATATTGCTAGTTTCTCTTTTGTCAAAACATGTCACACTAAAATGTTTATATATTGGTTGGGGGTTTTGTGCATGCTGCTTTTTTATTTAGTGCACAGCTTGGTGGTATGCATTTGTTTTGCTTGGAACGCTCAAAATTGTGTATCTCCTACCCTGGTAGCAGGTAAGTTTATCTAAGTTTAGAAAAAAAAAACGTACTGGTAATTACTTTTTCCACCTTCTCAAGAGTTCACGTAGTCTACCACTTTCATAACTCTCTGCATGCAGGGCTTCACTAGTACTTTGGAAGATTATCTTTTTAATTTCATTATTTGATATTGACACCTAATTATTACTTTACTTCATATTGACTATTGTTATTGCACCTTTGTCCACCCATGTAAATATAATTTACATACTGAAGAATTTTCTTGAGGTGAACAAGGGCACCAGGGTTTCTTCCATATTCATTTGGAATGCACTTTGGTTGTGCTTTACAAACTGATTGCTTTGAGTAAAATAATATTTGTTGCCATAATTTCTTGTTACATAATGGATTTTTGTGTACTTTTTCAGAAAAAAGAACACAAAAAAGACAAGAAGGATAAAAAGGATAAGAACAAAATTAAGAAGAAGAAGGATAAGAAGGATAAAAATAAAGACAAAAGCCTCAAGAAGAAGGATAAAGTCCTCAAGAAACTTAAGGATAAAAATGATTTGAAAGGTCTTGATAAAGTTAAGGACAAGATCAAAGATAAGAAGAAGGACAAGAAAAAGAAAGAGGAGGTAAATTTACTTTTTATTATTTATGATTTAGAACTGCTGTAGATTGTAATATTTTATCATCCTTATTGTTGTTTGAATCTACATTTTTAAAGACTGACGAATATTTCGTGCTCTGTTTTGCAGCCTCCCCCATTGCTTGTAACTGAGGAAATGGGTGTCCCAAAATTGACGTTACGGATTGGTTCTGACTCACCTCGTCCTGCTACTCCTGAGGCTGCTCTGCCGACAGCACCACTCACAGCTCCAAAAATGTATGTATACGTCGGTGTAGATTCTTTTTCACCAATGGTTAGGGGTATTGCTCAAATCTTAGTACATGTTTATAGAGTTTCCAAGCATTTATTTTAATCACCAGTATTGCATTGCTAATATTAGGTTACCATTTGAGGCACTGTTCACTTTTCTGTGACCAGGTTAAAATTAATAATGATTGGTCACTGTTTCCTTGTCTAGCCCGCAATCATTGTCAGGAACACAAAAGTAAGTAATTTTCACTTGTCGAATAATTGGTCCTGGAAATGTATCATGCAACATTTGAAAGTGTAGTTAAATAATAGAGGTAGTAATTGTTGAATAGCAATAGATTAGCATGGTGCTTAAACAACTTGTTAGTGTTAATAGAATGTTTCTGTCATTGTGTTCATGGTTCAGTAGGTACATTGTTTTTCATCATGTTAATATTGAGCCTAGAATAACATACCTACTACCTAATACTCTGTGATTTTTGTTCCAGTAGATTTTATGTGTAGTTGTAAATTTCTTGTCAATTAATGCTTTTCTATTCTTCTTTCACAGAGTAATCAAACCTGTTAAAAAGCCTGTTTCTGAAGAGGAAAGAATGTTGAAGGCTGGTCTCATGCCAGAACCACCACTATTTTCTTCCTCTCATGTAATTGAGTCTGAGCGATATCGCCGTGAAAAAGAACTGAAACGTGAGCGAGAAAAAGAGCAAGAACGGGAAAAAGAGAAATTGGAAAAAGAAAGGCTTGAACGAGAAAGAGAATTGGAGAGAGACAGACAGCGGGAAGTGGAAAGAGAGCGTGAGCTTGAAAGAGAGCGAGAAAGAGAACGTGATGAAAGGGAAAGAGAAAGGGAAAAGGAGAGAGCTAGATTGGCTGCTCTAGACCAAACATCTCGGACTCCGGTCTGTGCTGTAAAACCATCTAAACAGAAATCAAGTAAGACTCATAAACACCCCTTCTCTGATCTGTCATCTTTCACATCTGCCTCCTCCCCCTTCCCGACCCTATCCGCCTCCCAAAACCAACTAGATACCCCCAAAGTGAAAAAATCTTCAAGCAAAAAGGATAAATCTCTGAAAAAGTTAGAACGAACAGTTAGTCCGTCACCAGATATTAATCCTGTGCGAACTGTCGCACCAACACCAGTTGCTGTAGGTGGTCCTGCGACTCCTCTAACATCTGAGCAAATTACTTCAGGCATCATTTTTGTAAGTATAACACAAATACAACTGTGGGCCAATATTGTGATTATTACTACGTTTCAATATGGTTGCTCCACTCTCAGTTTTCTCAGAACTTTTCTGGCTGATTCAAGTGGAATTGATGATACTTTTGTGCCAAAAAAGGCTTGGCGCTGACTGTTTTCTTCAATTTGTTAGAAACTTCCATTGACCTTATAAAGTTTCTGAAAATTGAAGTGCCACCTAGATATGATCTGTATGGAACATTTGAATCGTAGTAATCGTCAACAAATTCTCACAAACATAATTAAACCAAAGCATTGTCTGTTCATTAAGGGCCACATTACAGTACTTACCGAATATTTAAACACTTAATACATGAAAGAATCGTCTCTTTGTGAATTGTATCTTGTTTCCTCTTTGAATCTTTGAGAGTAGGTAGGGTGTCATGTTTATTTGTCCTCTAGAGTTAGTTTCACAGGATGTCTCAAATACGTGTGTAACCTGATCAAAGTGATGCTTTTGTTTTGTGTTTATATAAAGGCCCTACTCAATTCATATTGTGTTCAGGTATGAACCACTGGCCTCCCATTATTTGTTAGATATTTATCTCCCTTTCATCCATCCCGACTCCCATTCCCAAACTCCTATTTGCATGCTATGTCTTTTCATTTTATAAGTATTTTGTTGGTTTTTGCTTGTGTACTGATTTGAATCTTCTTATTTCTCTCTTTTGCTGTAAATTTTACACCCTTGTATCAGTTTTCAGGGTAAAGTGTAGAAATTTTTTGAAGTAGATTGTATTTTTTTTAAATCAGCTTTGTGCTTCCCATTTTGTGTAAAACAGTACTCAAAGCAGTCTAACTGCCTCTTTGTATAATTTGTTGACCAAAACTGCACAGTTCTGTTTTCTGATTGATGTAGTTGTTACTCCTGGTTATGGATATTGAGTGTTACAACTTGAGAGTGGTCACAAAACATGATTGGTGCAATCTGTATTCTTTTCTGACTTGTATTCAGTTGTGGATACTTCTAGAGTAGCTTGAGCCAAGTCAGATACAGTGGGGACACAATAACCCCACCCCTACCTCCACTCACTAGCCCAGTGGTTCTCAATCTTAGGGTCGCGACCCCAAGTGGGGTCGCGAAAAAATTTTAAGGGGTCGCGGCGAGGTAGCTGGGGTCGTGTTTTGGGCCGATTTTAAGCAGCCACTGCGTCTGATCCGAGGCGGGCATTTTGCTCCCTCAACGGGCAATTGGTCTTTGAACCTTCCTTTAGCATGCCTTTGTTACGGAGTGTGATTATCAGTCTAAGTTTGGGAGCAGTATTGTCTCAAAGTTTACCAAAACGGTCAGAAATGTCTTTGAAAAATCGTGTTTTGGGCCGATTTTAAGCAGCCACTGCGTCTGACCCGAGGCGGTATTTCGTCCTCCTTCAACGGGCAATTGGTCTTTGGACCTTCCTTTAGCATGCCTTTGTTACGGAGTGTGATTATCAGTCTTAGTTTGGGAGCAGTATTGTCTCAAAGTTGGCCGAAACGCTCAGAAATGTCTTTGAAAAACCGTTGTGACTGTTTTGGTCAACTTTGAGACAATACTGCTCCCAAACTAAGACTGATAATCGCATTCCGTAACAGAGGCATGCTAAAGGAAGGTCCAAAGAACAATTGCCCGTTGAGGGAGCAAAATGCCCGGCTCGGATCAGACGCAGTGGCTGCTTAAAATCGACCCAAAACATGATTTTTCAAAGACATTTCTGAGCGTTTTGGCCAACTTTGAGACAATACTGCCCCCAAACTAAGACTGATAATCGCACTCCGTAACAGAGGCATGCTAAAGGAAAGTCCAAAGACCAATTGCCCGTTGAGGGAGCAAAATGCCCGCCTCGGATCAGACGCAGTGGCATGCTAAAGAAGGGGTCCCGTGGGGTCGTGAAACTTTTCCTGGGGGTCGCGGAAATTTTTGGCTACAAATTTGGGGTCGCGAGCCGAGAAAGGTTGAGAACCGCTGCACTAGCCCTTGAAATCCTAGCACCAAGAGACCACACTAATGTCTCCACACGCCCTCTTGTGACATTGTTTTACTTTTTCTATGTTTTTGTTGTGCACATTTTACACAGTAGTTTGGATGTTTTTTTGTTTTTTTTTCCCTCTGAGTTTTTTGCAAGAATGTTTTGCTGTAGTAAAGTATTAAACCCCTCCAAGCTTTTCAACTGCTTCAATAATCAAAAGGAATTGGAATGCTTGCATGCACGGTTGCTTTTGTTTCACCCTTAAATAATTTTTTTATGGGATCCAACTTAAATATTGCTTCAGCTACATTATTAAAGAGTATTTAGTGGCTTAGTTACTTAAAAACTTATCACCAATCACTAATTTTATTTTTCTTCTATTTGCTTGTTGTTTTCCAAGCATTGTCTCTTGCTTATCATTCTGGAAGCTTACCCCTTCCAGAATTATGCATCAATGTTGCTGTGCCAAGTTCATATTCATGGTCAAATGGTTGCCTTTCTCATTGAGAAGTGCAACACCCATGTCGTATGACATCATTTCATTTCATAATTTCATTGTGCCATGCAGAGGTGAAGCAAGCTGCTAAAGTCGCTGCTAAAGCCTTCCCTACCCTTACCTCAGAGGATCCTTCGCCCAAATTGCTCATCAAGGCTAAGCAATCCAAGAGGACTGAAACTGAACCCGAAATCGTGGTGGTAAGTCTTGTAACATTTGTCCACAAAACTATTATTATCAAAGTCAAGGTAACAACCCAATTTTTCTGATAAATTCAAACATTCAACTCAGTACTTGAACATTGAATTGAATCACAAACAAATGTAAATTCAGACAGATGTTCTGAACCTAAATTACAAGAGACTTGACTACTTCAGATGTACTCATAGTCACTTCTTTAGTTGCATTTTTTTTGGGGGGGGGACAGAGCTTGATTGAGTCAGTTAAATGCTATTTGTTTATGTGATTTTCCTTATTGAGTCTACCAAAAGGAATTTTTGCATGCCTTTGGCATGCTTGCAACCAGGAAATGCAGAAGTTCTTTCTAGCGTTTTTACTCAGCAGTTAACACAAAAAAAAAAAAAGTTTAGTATGCTTTTAGCTTTTATCATTGCTGCTATAGTTCATTGACATCAAAGATATGTGCTGATCATTCATGCTACAGTATTGGAGAGTAGGATTTTGAGTAGATATTACTTAACATTCAATCATTTGTTTCTTCATCTGCTCATTCAGCATGGTGGGTTTATGCTAGATGGCCTATCCTGCTCGTGGGAGCTTTGGGAAACCTTTATGTTATTTTATGTTTCTGCATGTTAACTGATCATGGTTGAAGGTGAACATGAATGCATGTTCTTTGTCATGTTTGCCTTTCTCTCCTGCAAGTTTAATAACAAGAAATACAATTTTTAATATACAAAGTACCAAGTATGTTCGCATCGTCCTCTAGTCTTCATAGGTATGTGAGAGAGATAGTGTGGCTTGATTAAGGTAAACAAGATTATTCATGCAAGAAAATTCAAGATGAGAAGTTCTTCATATCCTCTGAAGTCATCCCCAATTTCAATGGCAACAGCACCCCAGGCCAAAGGAAAGCCCCATCTTGCAGAAGATTTCTTTTCTCTTTGCAGCTTTTCCTAGATAAGAAGTTATGTTAGTGTAAAACAACTTAGTGTTTTATTGTGAGGAAACCTGTAACACAAATGATCTGTCATGTGGTCCTTTTTGAACATAAGAACAAAAGAAAAATACCTACAGTCTGCTTATGGTTTAAATCTAAATTAAATTGGGTGAAGGAAAATGTTGTGCCTAATTCTGCTGCATTTACATATATTTGTGTGCCTCTTTCAGGATGCAATGGGTAACAAAGTTTGGATATGTCCTTCTTGCAAGTGCCCAGATGATGGAAGGCCCATGATTGGTTGTGATGACTGTGATGCCTGGTACCATTGGTATGTATCTTATCTCAATAATTGTTACTCGCTTCACGCTATATGAAGCTTGAGTTCTAATAATTTTGGTTAATGCAGGGTATGTGTAAACATAACAATTGCTCCTGACGAAAATGAAAACTGGTACTGTCGTTTCTGCACCATGAAAAAATCTGAAAACCTGGACAAGAAGAAGAAAAAGAAGTCTAAGAAAAAACCTAAAGTACCTGTTTGATGAAAATTAGCTAATCATAATTTAAAAACTTATGGGAACACTATGAGGAAATCAGTTTGTAGTGAAATGTTTTTAATGCATTTTATTTCTTTCAAATGTTGCTAAATTATTTTTGCTCAAAGCAATTCATGTCCATTTAATCATAAATTGTCAACAACTTCACAGTTGTGTTGCATTGTTTCTAAGTGTTTATAATGCTGTTTTCTACTGTTTACTGTATGTCATGTGTATTGTATAACATATTTAACTATCCATTTTGAGGTGGAAGCTATGTTGTTTTGTTTTTTCTTCTTTTTTTATTATGCAGTAGAGTCTCAGTTCACTGAATTTTGAATAAGCAAGGACTGCATAAATCAGAGTTTCTTATAAATGAATATCAGCAGGGTTGCAAAAGCACTCATGCTGATGAAATTTTATGTATAGTGTAAATAGTACTGAACTTTATATAATTGTAAATTCTTTATGAATTTTTGTGTAGTTGATTTTGATGAACATTTTAGCTAACTGATGCAACTCATAGATGTATTTGTTGTTGTTGGGCTCCACTAGTCTGAAACTGAAGAATCAATATGAAATTTATCAGTTCATCTGTTGTAGTGTAGTTTCACAGTGTATTTACTTATTTCCATTTAACTGGATGTTGGTGATATATTACATTGCATGTATATTTGAAGCTTGTTTTATTAGGGTAGGACTTAGGGAGCCGTTGCTACATCCCTAATTTTCTAACCCATTCCTTCTACCATCTTTGTACCTTACAGTTGCCAATATAGACAAACGTTTAGTTTTTGTGAATTTCATATGTTGGTTGCCTTTTTTCAACCCCTTCAAAAGGAGTTCCCACAAGCTTGTAAAATTTAATGAAACACACCCTTTGATTTATTTTCATAGTAAATAGGGGTTTGTTGTTGTTGTTCACATGTGTAATGCATTGTTTAGGTCGTATGTAGTCAGCAGGGTTTTGTCGTATTGACACAAAATTTGAACACAAGTTGTTTTCTTTTTCTCAGGCATAAGTGCAATCAATATATTATATTATTATAGTACATACTTGTGTAAGGATAACACTATCTTGTCATTAACACATGTTGCTCCCATTTTATATTGATGCAATGTAACCAAAAGTAGCAATAAGTCAGTTATCACAATTTTATTGTTCATTTTTGGTTAGAGCTTCAGGTGTATCAGAGGTATAGGAAATATCCAAAGTGTGATCACGGACATGCTGTTGTCTTGGCTGTACACCTTTACAGTTTTATGGCTAAACAGTAAATGCTTTAATTTTTAAAAAATATAAATAAACTTAGTGTGACGAGTTTACATTTAGCTTCTGCTTACATTCTTCTTTTCCACCAACGCCCTCAGATATGTTTATGTTGACATAGTTAAGCTTCACCAGTTCTCACAATTTTCAAGAGAGAATGAAGATTATTGCTTTGCAGAGCTGATCTGCTAAGGTTGACAACATCAGCTTTGTTCTGTCCAACTGGAAGGAAAATAAGAAATTGACATCACTATAGACTACTTAATACCAGGTTGTGGCATATCATTTGACTTGTAATTAACTCCTCACCTCTGAGTCGAGCAGCTTTTTGGATTGTCAAATTTATTTGTTTCAATATTTCAAGCAATTCATTGTGGTTGCTGCACCTAATATTGTAGCTATTTATCAGGTCATCATTTACCTCTAGCAACTGTGTGTGCCATTCTCGCATACTGGTTCTAGAGAACAAAGAACTGGTTTAATTCCTCCTATTTCAATTTTTTGTGTAAAATTTTGTGCCAACATTTGTAACTTAAATAATTACTTACAGATCAGGCAAAAGACGAGCATCTTCTGCCCGAACAATCAAGTTCCGAATGAGTCCCGCGCGATGCGCCAGGTCAGCCCCAAGCTGTATTCTCACTTCTTGAAGATTAGCAACCTTTTCTAGCCACTCTCCTAAGTGAGCCAATTCATCGGGGAATTCAGCTGTAACCTGAGATGGATCAAAGCATTTCATCATGAATTAATTCCTCAGGTACTATTTCCCAGTTATAAGGAGCCTCATTCCATCCCAAAACTCTTGATTATAATTTGACACACCCCTCCTAAAAAAGCCACTTCATTATGTAGTAGTTATTACCTGAAGGTTGGAAAGATTGAGAAAGGAAGCCAAGGACTGCACAAGATCACCAGCAAGTGTCATATTAGATGTTGCTATGGCCATTCGTCCTGCTGGGTGCATTGATATACTCAAGAGAGATCCATCTCGTAGTGCAGAGAAGGAGAGTGATAATGAGCCACCACCCGACTCTGGTTCTAGCTCAGATGAGAGCAAAAAATTTTGGTTAATCCACAAAACGACCTGTCATTTTAAACAAACCCCACAAAAAATGGACATTAAGACAGGTGATTTAACTTTTTTTAAACTCAACCTTTCAATTTTGTCTTACCCTTTGTATTCTTTCACTAATAAAGAAAGAAACAAAATTCTGTGGTAATTCCTCTGGGAGAGGGGCTGATGCTGAAATGAGGTTATACATTGAAAATCTGGGTAAATGACGAGTCAGCTCAAAAACATGGAATTGCTCAGTTCGAGGTAAGCCCACCAGAGCCTGAATAAATCAAACACAAAGGGTTAGTTCTCACTTTCAAAATTCCATTTAAAAAATTCTTTTTATCTGCTCACCTTAATGTGAATGTCTAAGGGAACATCACGAGGAGGGAAAAGTGCAACTTTCAAGCTTGATGTTAGTTCTTCATCTCGTGGATGCACAACATGTGTTTCTCCCGCAAATATACCTTCAGCAAAAACTAGTACTGCGCGGATAATTGTTTCATTGTTGGTTGTCAAGCATAATTCTACATGAGGCTGAAATGCAAGCATTATATCAGACATTTAAATGAAAAGTAAGGTGTATACAGTATTTGAATTTTTCCCGTTAAAATATAGGCTTACCCCTTTTGATTTATTTCCCATATTTATTGACACTGTTGTTTGTAAACTTGTTTTGGCCTAAGATCAAACAACAACAAGAATTTGTGAGCTCACACTTAAATGTGGATTAAGGAACATTTTAATAAGATGTGTAGCACTTACTGGTATCATTCCTGCATTCATATTTGTTTGCGCAGCACCACTAGAAGAACGGGTGTTACTTTCATAATTTCTTAGCTCCATAAGGAGAGCTTGTTTTTTTTGCAAGAGATCTCTCACTGCATCTTGATGGGCATTCCCCTCCATCAAGGATCCCAGTCGGGATGAGTCATATCCCCGCACTACAGAGGGTAATAAATCATGATTGTTTTTATTTTTTGAAACTTAATAGCCAATCTCCATATTGTTTCAATTACACCAATCATACCTTCACCATCAACAGAGCAACAAATTAATTGTGAACGTCCTTCAAGTCTGTAATCTCCGTCTGCCAGGCCTGCGACACTATTATTAAAATTGTCCTTGAACACCACTTCTCCAGTGCGACTATTTCTAGCATCAACCTTTCCGTTTGACCAGCCTGTCACTAGTTCCTCCACACCATCGCCATCAATATCGTAACTTAAAACCGAAACAGCTCGGTTTTTGGACTGTAAATAAACACTGTTGTAAATATTATTTCTACAAAGCATTTTTTTCAACAGGATCCAGGACAAATCACCTTGACTCTCCACACTCGGTGAAGCTTGTTGTAAACACCTACAGTACCATTAGCGAGCGCATAAGCCATTTTACTACCTCTTAAAGGTGCCAAAATTGTTGCAACCTCTGTTTCTGAAGTTTCTCCAACCATAACATCTTCTTTAAACACCCTTAAATCAAAATCATCAGAACCAACTATCAGCTGTAAATATAGAAATATATTTTCAGAAAAATGTTCTGTAATTCATGGAAAAAGACACAAATGTGCAACATCAGCTTACCTCATTTTCTCCATCCAAATCATAGTCCAGCAATGCAAGGGATCGGACATTGTCACCTGACACAGTCCAATATGGGTCATTTCCTTTATAGTCGAATCCTTGGATTGAGCAATTTCCACCGACCAAAGCTAAAGGATTTTCATAGCCACTCAGATGCCCCACTACTATGATATTGGCTCCATCTGCTACCTGTGAAAACAATCAATGATGATGACACACATAACAAGGAGAGAAATTGTTCAAATGAGCATGCAAGATGAGACAGGTAAAATCAATAATTCTATTTATTACCAGCAAATTGAAGTGTGTGCAAAGGGCCTGGGTGAAATTCTAGGAGGAAAGTGCTAATGCTAGAAATGTTTGGGGCGAGGAAGTTTGGCTATCACCTCTTTATAGAACAAATCTTTATTGTTTTCCACATTGTATGCCAAGACACTCGAAGGCGTTCCCACAACCAATATGTCCTGTTCCAAATCTGGGTGAAGACGTCCAGCGCAGAGAGCGGAAACATTTCGGTTAACACTAAGAAGCGAAATTTCCTTGTTCACTTGGCTCCAGGTAGCTGCACCAGACATTTGGGAGGTGGTTCCAAGCCTACGATGAGGACTGTGGATTAAAACCTGTAACTTAAATATGTTATAGAAAGTACACATCAAAGACAGACAACGGCTATCAAACCTTTCCTGTAGCTTTATACCTTATCAGCTGTTGTTGCTGCAGTCAAGCAGGAGTGAGATCCATCATATTTACCAATGGTTACTCTACCAGGTAGTAGCTTATGGTTAAGCTGCAGGGTAAAGACTGGGACTGCCATACTGTGTAAGGTGTAAAACTTAACTCCTTTCAGACTTTGTCCGAAACTCAGCTGTCACTGTCTGTCTGCTACACGCAACGACGCAAGTATTTCAAAGCCCCATGTTGTGATGTTTACATCCAACGTTGCCATGGAGACAGCTGTTGTACCGGCACCGGCATCATGACCCGTGTCTAGTTGACACATTGCGTCACGTTTTGATTTTGGCCGCGTTTATCAATGGTTCTACCACCGCCGTTGCCTCCAGATTACCGGCAAAATTTGCAAAAATACACACTTTTCATTCTCTCATTCATTCCTCTCTGCAATAGATCTCTAGTATTGTAATATTTGCAATGAAGAGGAAGTTAATGATGGACAAGTTGTCAAAGATTGTTGTCTATTTTGCTAGTATTTTTGTGTTATTTGTTGGAAGTGACATAATCGATGACAGTGGTTATGTCATGTACTGCCCATGCATGGGTAAGTAATTCTATGAGTTATAATATTCATTACATTGTGGGAGGTTAGATTCATTTCACTTCGTGCTTCTTGCTCTAATTAATCCTGATAAGTATTGCACTCTTCTTCATCTATTTCTATTTTTGTTTCTTGTGCATGAGTTGTTTTTAGATTCACTTCTAAATGTTAAATAATTTCAACTATATCAGGTTGAGTTAACAGGTGGCTTCTGTCACTTGTTTTGATTAGCTGTGATTTTGTTGTTACTTAAGATTTGTACTTTGTGAACAGGGCGGTTTGGAAATCAAGCAGACCATTTCTTAGGATCTCTTGGCTTTGCAAAGGGCTTGAATAGAACTTTGATTTTACCAGCCTGGGTTGAATATCGATATGGGCAACCTCGATCTGTAAGTATCGCTTTCTGCCTATGAATCAATTGATTTAAGCCTTAACTCAAATTTCTTTTCTTTGATTTTCTGATAGATCCAAGTCCCATTTGATGTATATTTCAATGTGGAGAAACTGTCAGAGTTCCACAAAGTAATCACCATGGAAAAATTTATGAAGAACATAGCACCTGTAATATGGCCATCTGATAAACGAATAGCATTTTGTTACACGGCACGTGGAAATACTGAAAGTGAAGGTATTGAAAAAAGCTGCAGTGCTAAAGAGGGCAATCCCTTTGGCCCTTTCTGGGATACATACAACATAGACTTCGTAGGATCCGAGTTCTACGGCCCACTTCACTATGACATCCATCACTCAGATATGGCAAAGCGTTGGGGCCAAAACTATCCTCCGAAGGAATGGCCAGTCCTAGCATTTACTGGGGCTCCAGCAAGCTTTCCCGTTCAGCTAGAAAATAGAGACTTACACAAATATTTGATGTGGAGTGAGAACATACAAAAGCAAGCCAAACTCTTTATTGAAAATAAACTTCCAAAGGGAGCTTTTGTGGGACTTCACTTACGCAATGGTATTGACTGGGTACGAGCATGTGAGCATGTTAATCACAGTCCTAGTCTGTTCTCTGCTCCTCAATGTTTGGGTTACAGAAATGAAAGAGGAAAGGCTACCCATGAAATGTGTTTTCCTTCCAAAGAAACTATTATCAAACAAGTTAAGCGGCATCTCCGCAAACTAACTGATAAAGCAACTTCTATTTTTGTTGCTTCAGACAGTAATCACATGATATCTGAGCTGCAAGAAGCACTGAAGAGACAAGAGGTGTCTGTCCATCGCCTAGAACCTGGCAATCCTCATGTTGACCTGGCCATTTTGGGTCAAGCAAATCTCTTTATTGGCAATTGCATTTCATCCTTCAGTGCGTTTGTGAAGAGGGAGCGCGATGCTCGCGGCCTGCCGTCAGCCTTCTGGGGATTTCCTGCAGAAAAAAATTCAAATACCAGGCATGAGGAGCTCTGATGTAGATTTTTATTTGCACTTACATTATTTTAATGACGAGGTTTTGTTCTTTTATAACAGCATTGGTCTTTCTGTCACACTAGTACTTTTTCATTGTGTTTTTATACGTTTTAAAATAGTTAGGAGGACTAGAAGGTTCGAATCATCAAAAACATCGGGAACAAGATTATGCGAACAATTTTACTTATATTCTGAACTTGTGGTACCTTTGTGTTAGAGTCCTATAGGACTCTACTTTGTGTATGTAGCTGGAAATTATTTCTTTTAAAGACTTTTATGTTTTTTAATATTTTTTCCTTGAGAATTTTTTACTTTGGCCTTTTGCCTGGAGAACTGTCAAGCATTTTGTGTATGTTCTGGTCAATAAACTTTAAACAGTTTCCCACCTTCTTTATTCTTTTGAAAGTCGCGCCTGATAGTTGCTGGTGCTGCCCTCTACCGCAGTTCCCTAGAAATGGCCACGCGTCGGCTGCTAGTGCGTCGATTCGTCTGGAAAGAAGCAAACCAAACAAACGGCTGATCTTGAAACAAATAATCCCCGAAACTCGACATAAGTGTCAGTTACGGAATTGCACCTTTCTTTCGAGATTCAAAATAACTTACCGTTAATATGATTTTCGATGCAGTTAAGAGATTTTTTGGTATCTCTGGCTCTGACTCCTCAAGGTAAGATGTCACTTTGAAGTTTCACCTTTCAAGCTTTATTCCTGATTGTTTCTCTATAATAATGTCCTGTTTATGATTTATCTACATGTTTTATTCTAATATTTTCCTTCAGGTTCAGTTGACATGTTTCATTGAGAATATGATGCAATAGCATATTCTCTTTGTGTACACATTCCATCTTAGCTAGACATTCGTAACAGTTAATTTTTTCTTAAACCATTACAGGAATGACAATCATCTTGATGTCTCTATAAAATTCAATGATCGATTGGTGCCTCACAGGTACTGTACTTTGCGCTGCAACTGGAATTTGTTCCCTATGGGTACTCGCGTAATTTCATATATTTGTTTCTCTTTGCAGTCAGATTCCTCCAGAAATTAATGAAATAGGTTCAGATTTTGCCCAGATGGGTTCAGACATTGCCCAGGTACATAAGTTCATGGAAGAGCAAATGCGCTCAATGATGGGTTCATTCGGATTCATATTTGGTGGCCCTTTCTCAGAAATTGGAGTTGAAGGTACAAATTACAGCTTTTCCTGTTTAACAAAATTTCTTTTGTATTTGCTCTAAATTAATTGTGCCTTTCGTATTTTGTTCTATTTTCAGGACATCCTCAGTTTCCATTTTCTCCTGGAATCCAGGATATTCCCTATAATGATGGCTCCTCCCAAGTCTCCAAATCAGGCCCGCCTGCCTTGGATCCTAGGGATGAGATGCTTAAACCACAATTCAGATCCAGGTCCACAGAACAATGGAGTGGACAAGATCACATCCTTGACGAAAGGTACTGGCTTTGTGTATAGCTTGATTCAGAAGTAACTTCTTGTTACACTTCACCCTCTGTTTAATTCGTCAATTCTACTCTTTCAGGTTGAGCAATGAGGGCCTTGGTTCAGTTATTCAGGATTTAAAGCCATCAAATGAGTTGTATGAAAGAAATAATCCAGTGTTTGGTGGCTTCCCATCACTTTTTGGGAATGGTGGTATTTTCGGGCCTGATTCATTTAGCAATGGGTTAATGGGAAATATCCTTGACTCAACAACGTCCAGTTCCACAGTTACTATTTATTCAAATGTTAACGGACATAAATCAATGGAGAAAATAGTCAGGCGTCCAGATGGGGTATGTTGTGCTTTAACATGAGTTGAATACTTGTGCATGATGTAGACTGTTTTTTAAAATTATTTTTCTGTTATTCTTACAGACAGTTGAAAGAACTGTAATAACCGGTGATGATAAACCAAGTCTACCAGATTTATGAGTCAATAGTCAATCAGTTAAACTTACAATTGGTTATTTCAGTTTTTAATTTAATGCAGGCCGGAAGTTTTGTGAGGTTTATTTTGGTGTCTGGGTAAATTATGAGATTAAATAGTGAAAACAATGCACTTGCGCTCTATTTTATTAATATTACAATTAATCCTTTCCATATAATATTAATAATTTGAACACAATGGATGTTACAAGAATTCTTGGCATTACCACATCACATACCCATGCTTCAATATCTATTCATTTCAGACATGTCACATATTTACCTTACTTTTAAAAACGACAGCAAGGAACTGAATAAGACAGCACTCAAATGTAAGAAGATATAAAGTTAGAGCAGAAATAAAGAAATATTGATGTTGGAATTTTAAGCCAGATGCATGAGAAGAGGATAAATGCATCTTCATCACTGTAGATGCATCAGAGCTCCAAACGTTAGTGGACCATTGCAATCAGCATCCTTGCTGTAGCAATAAATGCATTGAAAAAATAACATAAAATGTTACAGAACCTTTCTACAAAAGCCAAATAATATTGGTTAGGTTTTGAAAGAAAAATAAATCATTAGTTACAGGAATCACATTTTTCTACACTTAAAGAAGATGAGTCATTAGTGTGACAGTGTGAATCCTAACTTACAAATAGAAAGAAAGAAAAAATACACCACTCTGAGATCAATAATCTCTCTTGCTTGTGATCGACAAACCAAGAAAGCTTCTTGAATAGGAAAACAACACAAATGTTACTAAGATATGATGATAAGCAATTGAGGTGGGAAGTTTCGGACAATGAAAGGAAACCCAAGGAGCTTTGCCAAAACAAGATTCAAATCAGAAAAATTTTGATATGTTTTTCTAATTGGCTATCATTAACAAAATCTTACACAGCTACAAGCTGATAATAATATTCAAGTTAGGGGTAGAATTTTAATGCCTTTACTGCTAGACATATGGAGCAGTTAGTTTGTGATATGATAGCATAGAGGCCACTTCTCTTTTAGGTGAGAATAGTTCTAATAAATAAAACCAGTGTTAATCTAAGCAGGCTGTCAAATCACATCATTTTGTTTCCACCTTTTACCGTCAATATAGAACAGCCTTTTCTTTGGTTCCCCACATTACAGTCATTACAGCCAGCAGCAGCAGACACTAAATTTTTAAACAGCATCTATATAATACAGAGATACTCCACATTAAGGGAAGCTGGCTAACTATAGATGTTTTTTTTTTTTATCAACAAAGGCAACAAAATGACTTAAAGCTGCTCAGGTTTCTTTCATGTAAAACCTTACTCTAACAATACAGCTGAAAGCTTCTGATAAAGCTGGCCACAAGTTACGTGTGGAAATCTGCTCTTGTCCAGTGTGGACTTGGAGCTGTCCATTTATGAAGAAAACCCAAAGCATGAAAATGTTCTCACTTTTGTTCCATGACAAAACGAGAAGTCTGTCCTTGTGTGCTAATTGAACGATTGCATTTAAATTTGGAAAGACCAAGGGGAAAAGTACGAAATTTTCTGTACCCTTTGGCAGGTATAACCAACTACATTGAACATGAATGAGACAATATTCATACTGAATGCAAGTTTTATTCGACACATCAAGACGGAAACTACAATTAACATCACAGGACTTTGTTCATCAAAACATGAGGACATTTCATCATCTTTGGACTTTGGAAGCATTGAGGGCTAAACCATTGAGAAATTTCTTCCAACTAGTAAAGTCAAATATTGATGAACTAAGATTCACTAAATTCTCACCCACTGAATCTTGAGATCTGATAGAGTTCTAATTAGTAAAATGACATGCATGCAGCTGAAAGCCAAGTACAGAAAAGAAGAAAAGTAACAATAAGGGCAAAAGTTAATGACATAAATTTGATTGCTCAACACTTCTAGATCAGAATTTTTGCTAAACAAGATATTTAAAAACAAAACTAATGTGTTTTCTACTTTACTATCTGTAGTAATTTTGAGAGAAGATGACATATGATCATCCAGGGACAAAAAGCATGCTCCCAATTTGTCACAAACAAGAACGAACACACTAGAATAATGCAATTAATAGGTAGTCCTTGAGTGAAAAATATAAAATTTTGAATTTTTTCTTTTTTTTAAGTTTTTTTTTTTATCGTACTTTAGGACAGCTTTATCATAACCAAAATGAATATTTGTACCAACCCTTCTTAACAGCATCTTCTGGCGCACAAGTGCAGGTGCATCTTTGGTGTTGTTGGGCTAAAACCAGACCAACTCCAAGATATACCATGCACAGAATTATATAAATAAAATTTAACAATCTTGTTACGTGACCAGCAAGGAAATCTACTATGATTACAGTATGTACAGATAATAAATAGTCTCACTGAATCTGCTTTAGAACAAGCACCACACAGAGAGTGATAAGAGGAGAGACATCTATAACAAAGATGCTTTGAAATACCAAAGCACACACAGCACATAATTCAATTTGTATAACATAGCCCAAACAGATGAAAGCACTGACAGTACACACACAATGCATGCAGAATCAATAGATGAGGATCAGAAAGGGACACAGCAGAAAGTTACACTAAGTCACGGCAGTCTTTTTGATTTCTAATATTCACGAGGTAACTGTACCAATTACCTAAAATCCAAAACTCTTAGAAGCTAATATATTGGGCAGCAGAGGACCAATCTATAGAACTACACTTACACAACACATTACAATATCTATCACATACATGATTCAACTAAGCTAGAGTAGAGACCATACTTTTTTTAACTTGGTATATAAAGACATTTCTACAGAACAAACAAGGAGAAGGTATACACATAATGGCTTGACAAAATGCACAGTCAGGCAGAATCGCTATTAAATAGTGAGAGGGAACTAACTGATGAAGACCTGTACACAGTAAATCAATTTGGTGATGGTGATCTACAATGACAGAGAACTTCAGGTGCATTTCAATGACAGAAGAATCACAAATTGCCACCAATCCACAAAATTGAATAAAAATGAATAAAATTTTGAACGGCAATTCATCTGTTCAGACATGATAACTGTCACAAAGTAAAACATGTCTCAATATGCCTCCAATACATGGGTATTCAGATGTAAATACATAGCACACTTAAGAAAGCTACATTACAAATTAAAATCACAAAATTGAATTAACATATAGTTTGCGGCCCCCTATTAAATGTTATGCAGTTGTAGTTCATAAAAACAAAACCATTGAAAATTGCAAATTTGCAATAGATGATTGCTAATCAGAAGGGGGAATCTTCCACCTTATATTTTATAAACAAAACATCAAGCAGCTAAATTCAGCATTATCAAATTGACTTAATCTCATGCAGTCAGTCGATAAGAAATAATAATCACGGAAGACACCCAGGATAGTAAACACATAATATATTCTGAGGCAAAGGTCCAAATAAGATTCAGAATCCCAGAATGAATTAGAATTTGAACTAATAGAATTGTGCAGAGCTTAAAAATATAACTTAGGTACTTAAAATGAAGGCATATTGATGTCCTGCAGTTATCATCATTTTGATGTACAAACAGCTCTTTTCTCAGAGTAACTGACCCCTTCAATTACTGCTCTGCTCCTGAATTTGATTTTGACCATACAATAGTTTCACAAGTAGACAAATCGCTTTTTACAAGAAGATACCCAAACACAAAAATTAAACATGATATTACATTGATGAATAACAGCAAACAAGACAAAAAGGTAAATACAATAAAAAGCTTAAAACTGTGTTTCCATAACAGAGAAAAGAAAATAGCTATAACACTTGGGGCATGAATGACTAAGAATCAATAGGGATTTATTTTCATTTGAATGGTGGAGACTAGTTTTCCTCCACAGTAGGAAGCCAAAATGCCATATTTGTGCAAGCTGAAGCTAACATCATGTATTTAGGGTTGAATTGCACACATTGAACGGGAGCAGTGTGATCCGCTGCCAAAACACAAACTTTGTAGCCAGTTCCCGCATTCCAAACATGAACCCTACCATCAGTGGAACCGCTGAAAATGAACTGCGAATCAGGGCTATAAGACGCTTCAATAGGAATACCTTTATTGTTTAAGTGTCCTGTGAATGTTTGCAGTGGGGTTCCATGAAATGCGTCAATTAGTCTGATGATTGATCCATTTGTAGAAATAAGAATAGTTTTACCATCTCTGCTGAACTTCAGGCCCGTCCAATCACATTCCCTCTCCTGAGTTAATTTGAAAGTGACAAAAGGACCTTTATCAAAGGAGCGTAAATCATACAGCTTGATACTTTCGGAGTTGACGCCTGCTGCGAAGATAAGCCCCTCTGGGTCATATGCAGCTACAGGTCTTCCAGCCAGGTGCATGAGACCTTGACAATTTGGAGATCGCAGATCCCACAATCGAAGGGTTTTGTCAACAGACCCCGAAAGAAATGTGTCTTCAACGGGAGAGATGCACAATGTGACTACCTTCTTGGTGTGGCCTGAGAAGTACCTGATGTATTTGTTGTCATGAAGGGAGAGGTACCGAATGGAATCGTCCACCTTGGTAGAGCTGTGAATGGCCGTGTTTTTGGCGTGCGTGAAGTGAATGAGATCCACGCCATACTTTTTGCTGTTTACAGTTCTCATTTGAGTTCCTTTCTCGCAATCATAAATGACAATTTGGTCGTCCTCACTGCAGGAAATCAATGTTTGTCCATTGGGCGAAAAGTCTATGCTGTTGATCTTGTCGGTGTTCTCGCGGAACACCTTCGCGACTTTGAAACTCCGAACGACATGGTCCACCAGCTTCATTTTTATGGTATCCAGCTTGAAATCGGATGAGACTTTATCTCAAAAACACACAAAATATCGAGTGCTGATGCGACTCCGACTCCACACACACGAACAAAATGCGATCGGATGAGCAATGGGTCTGTTCCCGAAAGTGAATCTGTGACCTGGTCAAATTCACTCTGACCAAATGCGACCAGAAATGACCGACGCTGCGATTTTCTTTTTCTTCTTACTTTTTGTTTTTTAAATACACGTCGTCTGCAAGTTAAACAGAAAACACTTTCTGGTCGACTGGAGCCAATACTAGGAAAAGTTGACCTAAACTCGGTGTGAAATAGGTGGCAATATCAAAGAAGGGCTCTCAAATTTTAAAGGAAAATGATTGGTAACCACCATCAACAGTCTGACCCTCGCCGGTCTGAGAGAGAACGCAGGTAGGTTGGGTTATGGGTCAACATGATTGTGTTAATTACGAAATTCGATTTGAGCTAGTCAACTCTCTGTTCTTATTTATTTAAAGGTTTTTTTTTAATTTATTTTTTCTTTAGGTACAAAGCGCCAGCAGTCTCTCAGGTGAATCCAGGGGATGATATGACACCTGACTACACCAATATTTTGGGCATGATATTTTCGATGTGTGGCTTAATGATGAGGGTGAGTTCTCTTTCTCCACCCAATGTTCTATTCTCACATTTTTCATCACAACCTTTTTTTTATTTGCATTTGTTTATTTCGTTTTTTCAGCTAAAGTGGTGTGCATGGGTTGCGTTATATTGTTCCTGTATTAGTTTTGCCAATTCCAAAGTGAATGATGATACAAAGCAAATCCTCAGCAGTTTCATGTGAGTGTAATTGGCTTGACCCTTAACAGTTTTTAGTTTTAAGATTTTCATTTAAAAGAAATTTTTTCTGTTTAACAGGCTTTCCATTTCTGCAGTTGTGATGTCATACCTTCAGAATCCACAACCAATGACTCCTCCGTGGTCATCAGTCTTTGGATGATTTTTAAAACTATTAAGATACAATCATATGATTTCTTCTTCATTCATGTTTTGTTTTATTCATTGTTATATTTCAATAATTATACTTGTAATCTGTTTTGTGCCAAAAGTCCTGGTTATACCAAGGCACAATGGGATCAACTTGAACCAATTAAGCATATGCAACAATTACATTCCTATTTTTTTTTCCCAAACAAAGAGTTGTACAATTCTGTGACAGCATCCTCATTCATTAAAATAGACGGTTCTGGGGCCATGTAATTGACAAGTTTAGGATGCACTGTAAATCGCAAGCGTCTTCCCTTTGATGCTTTGGTGTCTACTTTTCGCTTCATTTTACTTCTGATTTTCTGCAGTTCAATCCATTGTCTACAAAAGATGAAAATTTTAAAAATAGATTACTTATTTTATAACAAAAATTTGGAAAGGAAAGTGCTGATAATAAATAAAGTTTAGGCAAGTTCTGATTTCTTACCTGCCAAGCTGGACAGGGTTTGTGACGTCTGAAGACCTCCGCTCAATTAACTCTCGTAGGAGCTGATGATAAAAATCGCTATCATCAAAAATTTCTGGATCATATTCTCTGATTAATTCTGCAGTAGATTTACTTTCCTGAAAGAGGAAACAAAATGAAAGGCCAATCGAAATTTAAACAACATTGAACTTCTGAAGCTATGACATACTTTTGATTCTGCTCCATCATGAGTTTCTTTTGTTCCTACTTTTTCGTTAGGCTGATCAACTTGTCCCAATACATGGTATTCAGTTCGTCTTAACTGAGTTCTTCGTGTGACGCGAGATTTGTCAGCCAAGATTTGATCAATTTGTTTTAAAGTACTTTGCTCAAATGCACTAAAGTTTCTACTAGATGTTCCGTGGGCAACCTGCAATACAAAGAAACCTAATACTTCAAAACTCAGAAGTTAAAACACAAATTAATCAAAGAGAGAGGTGGAAAATGGAATGACCTGTGTTTTACTATTCCATTTCTGTATGGTTGCATTGCGATATGCTACATAGTTAGCATGTCTTGTTGCTAAAATCTTTCCTATATCTTCCCTCTTCTGCCTTTTCTTGGAGCCATGGCCATCCTCCTTATCCTCATTATCCTCATCATCTTCATCATCGGTACCTTCAAAGCCCCTTTTACTTCTACCATTACTTTTCATGTCGTCCTCATCTTCTGAGCTCGTAATCTCCTCATCTGAGTCATCTGCAGCATTGGTGTTCTCTGCCCTAAAACACACGCAGCACATATAACAATGTTGGATATTCATAATAACTTTATCCAACTGAAAAAAAAAAAAACTTACTTGTTATTGGATTTATTTAGGTTTTTAGTTTCAGGGTAGGATTTCAAAAGGGCATCCTGAAAATAGATCACAACTATTACATGCTATAAACAAATAAAGATGTGGGGGCCTTGTAAAAGTTGATCCACACCTGCAGGTTCAAAAGAGAATCCATGAGTTTAGAGAGCCTATGCTTTGCTTTTGAAGTGTTGGATCTAAAATCAGCTCCTCCTTTCTGAGCAAACAGGGGATAAACGTCTGGCTGTGGAAGTTGATTGCTGATAGACAAGATCTTCTGAAGTTGGATTCGACAATCAAGGAAATTATCCCAGAAGTCTAGTAATTGAACAAGAGTAAAAAGATTAGTACCAAAAATTTAATAATATGAAAAATAGAAAAAATGCACTTGTATTGCAGAGCTGAAGCTTAAACTGACTTTGATTTTAATTGCAAAATAAGTTGACTCACTTAGCTGATTTCGGACCGAGATGCCTCTCTTCATCTCTTGGTTGACATCTTTGCCAGACATGTGCCTGAAATCGCTTGTTTCGTCATCTTCGGAACCCTCTTCTGGGCTGTCCTCAGAACCTCCCTCACCATCACTTCCTTTATCTTCAAAGTCTTCATAATCTTCATAGTCATCTCCAGAATCCCCATCTGCACTGTCTGCTTCACCATCACCATCTCCATCGGCTTCCTCTTCTTCAGCACTGTCATCTTCATCACTGATACCAGCCAAACTTCTATAACATGAATTTATTATACATAAGAAAATTAGGAAGTAAAGCTAATAGCATCAAGTGGAGTTCACAGAACCAAACTAGGACAGTTCTAAGAGATTAGGACCATACCGTTTCCTCTTCAAAGGGCCAGGGATAAGATCCTCCTTTCCAGAACTGTGATTATCGTCATCACTGTCATCATCTTCCTCATCGGAATCAGAGTCGTTCATCAACTCTTTTCTCGAGGTTCTTCCACCTTCATACCGCTTGTCCACAGATTCCAAAAGATCTGCATTAGACTTACGCAATTTACTTGATGGAGCAAAGTCATCTAGCTCATCATCAAAGTCTTCATCCACAACACGAGCTGATGTTTCTGAGAAGAAAAACAGGGAGCAGTTAGCATTCGAGGAACTGAACTCAAATCTAACATGTGATTTCTAAGGTTATAAACAAGCCTACCTGGATGAATGTCATCCTCAGGATCAACAGTGGTATTTTCATTTGCTAAGAGAAATGAAATATTGTCTGCTAGAGTCTTCTTTTTCCTTTTCGGTGCTATCATGGTGGTAAAAACAACTGTCAAACACTCCCAAATACCACCAAATAACCTTAAAAAACAACTAACGTGGTGGTCTGTGCACTCGGATCGGTGCTGTTCGCACGACACAGTATTTACAGGTCCTAGCAGAAGACATGTGTGTTTTCCCCACCCCTCTTACCACCCCTCCCCTCATCTTTCATTTCTAGAGCAAAAGTGCATTATTTACAGTAATCATGTCTTATTTGCAGGATCATTAATAACCTAGAGGGAGCGGAGCGAAGCGAGGCATCGACGAGCTGTAGGACGAAGGAACGGGACAGTCGAACAAGTTTTAAAGTTCTATGTGATATCAAATGACCACAGCCATGGAGCAACGAACCACTACAAGTAAACGTCGAGAAGACGACATTTTCAACTCTATGAACGAACGTCCAGTTGATGATATTTCATTGGAATTTTTCTACAAGCCTCACACCATTGCTCTTCTGGTTATTTCAATATCAGTTGTATTATACACATCATTTACAAGGTATGTCACTGGTTCAAAAGCTGTATGTTTACATTTTAGTGCATTTTCCTATTAAATTGTGCACTGTTTGACTTTGAGGACCTATTCATTATTTACATCGGTCGGTTCGTTTGTCTGAAGGTTAGAAAGCTTTTGCCCTACCCAGTAAGTTACCCCTTCTCTTTGGAGAAAATGCTGTTAGAATACCCCTATAGGTGGTTATTCTTACATACAGAAAAAATTTGTAATGTCTGGAACTTTACTTCACCCCCTCTTATATCTGTTAGTTCCAGCTTCAAGATCAACTCTACTCCCACCCTTCATTAAACCTTCAGCTTCACACTTTTCAGTTTCTTGTCCTCAGAATGGAAAAAAATCCTCAAAACCATACAGTCTAGCATCACTGCTTGATATCAACTGTGCAGATCTTGTGCAATTTATTTTTGATCGTCAGATTGCATCATTCTTGTCTCTTCAACATCACCCATCAATCTCAACTAATATTTTGAAATTCTTGTTTTCCAGATCTGATGAAAATATTCAAGACAATTACTGGGCTGGGTGCCTTTGTGTGATATTCTTTTTCCTCATTATATCTGTGCTGGCTTTTCCTAATGGGCCATTCACTCGACCTCATCCTGCGGTGTGGCGCATTGTGTTTGGAATGAGCGTACTTTACAGTCTTGCTTTGCTCTTCTTGCTCTTCCAAAATTACAACACTGTGAAAAACATTTTCTTGTGGATTGATCCTGCCTTGAAGGACTTTAGCATCGACAGTGAGAAGGTTTGTAGCCTGTATTTTGCACTGTTTGTCTTTTCCTCAGTTACTTTTCTTCCAGTGGAGTGTTACTTGCTCAAATGTTGACTTGTATTTTCAGGAGTATGGTGTCAACTGCTCAGAGTACACTTTTCAGAGGATTTGGAGTACAGTTGATGTGTTCGCCGCTGGTCATTTCTTTGGCTGGGTATTCAAAGCTGTCCTGGTCAGACATCTTGGCATTCTCTGGGCTATGAGCATCATGTGGGAGCTCACTGAGGTTTGAATGATTAAACCGTGTTTCTATGCATTAAAAATTCATACTAGCTCATTTGTAATTTAAATTTTGCAGATGATTTTTGCACACTTACTTCCAAACTTCATTGAATGTTGGTGGGATGCTTGGATTTTGGATGTTCTTGTCTGCAATGGACTTGGAATTTGTGTTGGACTATGGATCTGCAAGATATTGGAAATGCGTGATTACAAATGGGCTAGCATCAGGTGAGTTTAATTTTAAACCTTTGTTTTTAATTGTGTCCTCATTTTCCCCTTCTGTGATAAATCTCTCTCTAACTGCACTTATGAATACTAGATCAGATTACAAGAATTTTATGATATCTTTGGTTTGCATTGGTACTATTTGGTAAAACTAAGAAGTAGTGTTCCAATTGAAAAAAAAATTAAGCATTTCAGCAGGCACTGAGTTCTCTCCAATAGTACTTGTCATGTATCGGGTATTTTACATTCCGGCCGCTCATGTGCTTTCTGCTATGTCTTCCTTTGTCTTTGTTTGGTGCCTCTTTACTTTTGAGCAAGTTTATCTGCAATATCTTGTAGAATTGGGAGTAGATGGTGACACCTGACCTCTTAAAAAGACCCCAATACTCATTTATTGATTTCCGCTCTCTTTTGCCAAGAGTCGTCTCTTGCTTTTGCCTGTTGTAAATCTCAAACCATGTATTCCCTAGATAATTCTTCCCCTCATTTGCTGTACAAAAGTCCCTTTTTATTCTTTATTTTTGAGATTAGATACTTTCCTTTAATGCTTTGAAATAGTTTGCATCAGCATTATTAATTAATTTTCTTCAGTTCTCTCTGTGACTGATTTTTCTTTTTTGAAATAGGGTCCCAGAATATATAGAGAGACATCTGATATACTGGTAAATACAGTATCTGTGTTGTCTCTATCACTAACTGTTTTGTGTTCACAAAGTTTACAAGACGTCATATTTCAGATATAGTTGTTACTCCACTATAGACCGTTTCATTGCCAGGTCGGGTGTCAATGTGTGACTCTGCAGAGGCATGTTTAGTACCAAAATTAACTTTCCCAAAAAAATCCACAAGCCTGGTAGAATGCTGTCTTTAAAATACCAAGCTAAAATTTGACATTGAAATTTTCTCTAAACTGCTGAATAGATATTTTTTTACCCTAGAGTAAATGCATAGACCTGGTTTTGCCTTGAAGAAATCTTATGAGAATAGACTCTGCCTCTGATGAAGTCAGATCAGTGAAATACAAAATCCCATGTTCAAGCTGTTAATCCTGTGCTAACAATTATTTCCAAGTTACATTGTTCCATCTTCATTTTTTGTGGCAAATGTGTGTTTTTTTTTTCCCCATAATTGTTTCCTGATTTTCCCCTATTATTTGTTTGGAAGCTTTTGTTCTCTTAATAAAATCCTCATATGCACTGCTCACCTGTGTTGGAAGCATAATCAACTGATCTTTCGGAAAGCTTTTCATATCGTATTTAAGTAGGCGAAAATATGTGTTGGTGACTCGTTTCTTGCTCCTATGCACTCCCTTCATTTATTAAACAGCACTTATCCATGTCAAAAACTGGCATCACACTCATGCTTCTTCACTTAATAAGGTTTGCTCTAAAAATCTTTGACCTTTTTATTTCTATTTTCATCCTGGGCTCATTTAAGTGGTTTTAGTCAATGTTTTGTTCACTCTTGGCAGTACTTTAATGACCACCTTGAGTGCCAATCGTGAAATAATTGTAATGATTGTGTTTTCAGGGACATACACACTGCCACTGGAAAGATCAAGCGGGCTGTCCTGCAGTTTACTCCTAGTAGCTGGACACCTGTGCGATGGCTGGACCCCAATTGCACGTATATGAGATTTGTAGCAATTTGTCAGTTGGTTATCTTCTGGCAAGTCTCTGAGCTAAATACATTCTTTTTGAAACATATCTTTGAAATGCCACCATCCCATCCAATTGTTGTAGCAAGGCTTTTCTTTGTTGGTATTGTGGTTGCACCATCTGTGAGGTAAATATCTTTCTAGATAAATCAGGTACCATTTGATATATTCTTGACCACTGAAGCACTTGATGTAACTTTTGCAGGCAGTATTATACCTATGTAACAGACCCTCTTTGTTTAAGAGTAGGCACACAATGTTGGGTTTATGGTGTCATAATGGTATCAGAGAGTCTGTTGTGCATTAAAAATGGAAGAAACTTATTTGAACGTACTCAAGTTCTGAACATAATGTTGTGGCTCTTGTTGCAAGCTATAGTGTCCATTTTGTTCCTGTGGGGTATTTCGCAATACCACAAATATTTCCCTGTAAGTTCTTTTTTTTTCTTATCTGTATAACCTGCTATAAATATACATTGTTATAATGGTTTTTTTTTTTTGTTTTTTTTTTCAAATTTCAGAAGGAGAATGACGTGTCAAGAGATTCTTCACCAGTGAAATCTCAAGATTCAGATTCTTATGATGAAGCAGGTATGAGTTTCAATGGTTACTGGTTACGTTTTTCTATTACAGTATGTATCCTGCCTTTGATTTCTAAAATTACATGTTTTTTTTCTGTAGGCGGCGTTCGCCGGAGACATGTTACATTCCTTAGTCAAAATGAGCATGAGAGATCAGACTAAAGAGAGACCTAAGACTTGCACTTCAGATCTCATTGCTCTGTACTGAGCATTGCTTGTTTTTAGCACGTAGGAAGCTGCTTCATCTGTTCATGTGTTTCTGCTCACTGAAGATGCTGTAAATGTGTTTGTTGTGAACCCTCTGAACTCAGCTTCTGTCTGAGAAAATTTGACATTCTCTGCAACAGAGCCCAGTCTTGACTTTCTATCAATATTCAAAGTATTTGTGTAAGCGCTCTCTGAACCAAAAGTTTTGGCCATTGAAGAGTGGTTGTGTTTACCATCACAAGTGAAGAGGCCGTAATGTCAGCAGGGTACTACAACTAAGATTTATTTCTGCTTACCTTGCAATTCAATTTTTATTATTGATGTGAGATCGCCCTTGTAACAGATCATTTTGCTTTTACAACATTCTAACCCCCTTCCCCCTGCCTCCACCCTCCCTCTTTTATCCCCTATTTATGTCAAGAGGCAAATTTAGTCCCTGTTTAGTTAAATGTGTGCTGTAGTAGCGTATGTATTGGATGTTGTTGCTGTTGATGTATGATTCTGTCATCACTTTAATTTGAGTACTATGTGCATCAATTAGTGATGCTGAAATCAAATGGCTGTGTTTAGTATCGGAGACTTGCTAGGAGAATTGCCATTATCAACTCAAGAACCAAAGAGTACTTAAGTTCTTTGTACCATGCATACAGAGATTCCTAGAGTCAAGTCAAGAGAGTGGTGTGTCATATTTAATTTCCTCTAGTTATTTCACTATAGTCTCAAGTAAACAAATCTGTGGCAAATAGGATTTGGGAAGTTTGTTCTTGTTTTTGCTATTAAAATCACAAAAGTTTGACTTTTTTTAATTTGACAACTTTTTTTTCATCATCTTTTTTTAGTATCAGTTGACTGGAGTACGTAGTTTTACATGTAATCGATTTGCCAATCACTTTGTGCCACATGCCTTGGTTGTGGAAATACATTGACTTGCTGTCTGGTTAAGCCATGTTACTGTTGCTTGTAGGTGATGATAACCAAACCAAATTTGTTTTTCTTCTTGTGATTCTGAAAACCTTTTTGATTGTTAGTATGAGACTTATTTAATGGACACTACTGACATGCCTGTGTTGCATTTTGTTAATGCATGTACCTTGGTCTAAACAATGCTGTATCATCATCTCCTCAGACATTCTCTTTCTTAGGTAAGAGTTGGAAATGTAAACCTCTAATGTTGTAAGAAACTAGTCTGTGACAGATTTGTTTTGTAATGTGTCTTAGACTTTATATAATTTTTTTCCCTGACTTTGCTCATTTTTAGCCTGTTCCATTCTCCCATTATAGCAGAGTTGAGTGTCCAGCTTAGATTTATAAAGTCGTCTATCCTTTGCCATTTTTGTCATCTACTTGTCATATGAGGCTTTGATAATTTCCACAGGCCACTGGGAGCTGCAAGAAACATTAGTGAAGTGAAGTTTTATGCTCCAACCAGTTTTGTGCCATTCATGTTGTAAATGTTGTAATCGAATAAACCAATGTAAAACCAAAATAACCATTTACAGTGGATGCACTTGCTTTTATTTTCTCCTTTAATTTTCCCCTCTGATATTTCCAGCCTCATAAGCAGAAAGGACTGATGTCTAAGTGTAACAGAAACACCCACCGATTTTTTTTTTAGTTCTAACGTGAGCACACAGCGCTTCCACCTCAAGCCCATCTGTAAGCCTTTTCCTTTTTTTTTAAGTGTAGTGGTAATAGACGGCCAGGACGACGGCGACGAAGGCGACGGCGGGGCGGGCAGTGGTGGTCGTCGCCGCGCTCAGGCCTTCCTTGACGGTGATCTGGTACTCGTCCAGGAAGTCGTCGCGTACCAGCGGCACGCGGTCCACTCGCAGGTACGGCCCGTTCTCGGTGCTCACTGGTGGCCACTTTGGGACTTGGAAGGCGGGCGCCGGGACACTGCAAACCACGGCCAACCGCCTCACTTGAAAAGAACCGCCCTTTACGAGATCTGGGGGTCCAAAATCCGAATAAATGACAAATCAGTAAAGCAGGAGAGCTAGGCTACCCCGTGGTGGCGAAGTTGGTCCACAGCTCCACCATGGTGCGCGCCGTCTTCTCGTCGTCGTCGCTGGGGTCGCGGTCCGGGAACAGGTAGATGAGGTCGTCCGAGTGCGCCACGCCTGCACGAGAAAGCCACCAAGCTCGTCCAACAGTCCCGAACAAACGAAAACAATGGACGCATAAACATCGAATGGGAAGAAGGGACGTGCCTCCGGTGAAGGGGTACTCGATCGAGTAGCCGTAGCCGAACTTGGTGTGGCGGCCCTTGTAGTTGAAGCTGTACAGGTAGCTGGGCGCGATCCGCGAGTTCTCCTGGACCATCCGGAAGGTGCACGCCTTGAGCAGCGTCACGCCACACATCTGGAACGGACGGAAAGGCCGAGCGGGGCCACACTTTAAGTCCGACTCGGGCGACGCGGCCGCCGGCCTCGCTGGCCGCAGCGCGGAGCCATGGCGGAGCCCTGGCGGAGCCCCTGTGGTGGAGGGGGTAGGCACCCCCCGGACAGGGCGTCGCGCGGGTTGGCCTACCCACGGCTCCGCGGGCGCTACGCGCTACGCGGGCGCTTGGCGCGTTTCCGCCGTCTTGACTCTTGACTTGCCACCATCCGCCCTGGCCCCTTGCCCCTTGCCCGGCCGTCCGCGAGTCGCGCCGCGAGTACTCACGTCCACCAACCCCGGCGTCATGCGCGTGAAGTTGCCCATGTCGCTCTCCGAGAAGAACTTCCTCCTGAAGACGTCGCTGAGCGCCCCCGTGTCGTCGTTGATCCCTGTCGACGTGGAGGGAGGCGTGTTAGTTCGCTGCGGACTGCCCCACGCCCCGGCCGCGCCTCGGCCGCGCCTGAGCGCCTTACCGCTGAACTCCAGAGCGACCTGCGTCAAGTTGTGCTTCAGGTAGTCGTAGTCGTCCATCCTGCCGTCAGGCTCCAGGTAAAAGTCGTACAGGTCTGCAGCAAGAAGCAACGTGCTCATTCGAAGGTCGAAAACGCGGTTCAGGCACTCGGTATTCGAACCCGCGGCACTCCTTACTTCCGAGAAAGACGGAGCCCTCGTCCTTGGTGACGCCGCCCATGACGGGCAGCCGCTTGAAGCGGCCCTCCCGGAGGCTGAGGCGCGGGTTCTCGACGAGGAAGCGCTGCGTGCCGGCCTTCTGCACCACGGCGTGGTTGCCGCCAGCGCCCGTGGCCTTGCCGCCGTCCGCCAGGTCCTGTTTCTGTGACGGGTTAGTGCGCATTACCCGTGAGCAAAATGCTTTACACCCCGCCCCTCGCGCCGCCCGATATTTACAAAAAAAAAAGAGAAAATAAAAGAATGTTGAAACTGGTATTTGAACCCGTGTCCGTGACGGCGCGTCCAAGGTAACACGCGCACGCCCCTCTGTTTATCTGGCTGCTGGGCGGCCTGGTCCACTTATGGCACACAGGGGCACGGCCAGGGCCGCGTCGCCGCGTCGGCGCGTCAGCGTCCATGTGTGTGTGTGTGTGTGTATGTGTGTGTGCATGTGTCAACACGCCAATGTACGTGTGCATGTAGCCACGCCTGGCCGTGTGACGGTGTGCCAGCATGGTGCCAGCGTGCCTGCCCGGGCGGGATGTCGGCATTACTTTCAATTGGACCCTGATCCAGTTCCTTGCAGCGCGCGCTCGGAGCGCTTCGGGCTGACACCACTCGCTTGCAGTGCAGGCCAACTGGCGGTCGCAGTGTGGCGCGTGCGTGTCGCAGTGCAGTCACGGTCGCACGCCCCGCCCCGCCCCGCCCCGCCCCGCCCCGCGTCACTCCGTCCGTCACGACGCGTCGCGTTGCGCTTGGCGTTGACCTGACCTTCCGGTGCTGCGACCCAGTCCCCGTCACACAGACGCACACACACACATGACCAGGAGGCGCGTAAAAGTGGACCTCACGTGGTGTCGCACTTGTTGTGCTCGCAGCGCGGGCTTGCATTGAGGATTTAGGGATTCGATTTCGGACCTCGAAAACAACAACACACCGCTGGGATGCTAGGCGATGGCTTTGCCCGTGCCCATCATACATGTTGATTGGCCCACGGTCAAGGGCAAGCAGTCCATCGTGGCGGGGGCGGTGGGACTTCCCCCGCTAGCCAGCCCTAGCCAGCCCTGGGCCCGGCGGCGCGGCACTCACCAGGAACTGGTTGTGCGCGGCCAGCAGCGTCTGCGGCGGCACGGCGCGCAGGCAGGCCGCCAGCTTGTCCAGGTCCGAGGTGTTGGTGCAGTTGGCGTAGTAGGCGATGTTGCGCGCGCTGTTGAGCGGCCGGTCATCCATGAGCCACGTGCAGCGCGCCGACCCGCTCTGGAAGATGACGCGCCGGAACAACTCTGCCCGCGTCAGAGACAAAAATTACAAATGCATTTGTTGGCAAGGGGGCAGTGCTGCCAACTGTTCGCTGCTAATCCAAGCGTGGAGCGAGTCCAGGCTTAAGGCGTGGACTAAGTTAGGCCCACACTCGGCAGTGTGCTGACCGTTGCCGACGAGCGGGCTGATCATGAAGAGTGTGACGGAGGCCGCGCCGGAGCTGGAGCCGAAGATGGTGACGTTGTCCGGGTCGCCGCAGAAGTGGCGGATGTGCTGGTGGACCCACTTGAGGGCCAGCAGCTGGTCCAGAAGGCCAACATTGCCCGGCACTGAGTCCGACTGTAGAGACAAAAATCCTGAGGAGGAGAAGAACCACCTCACAAAGACGTCTGGGAGCGCCTAGCATAGTCACCAAAGTAAACAAAGATTCAGCAGCGATCGGTAATTCATTCAGAGGGACCTGTGTTGACTCAACAACAAGCTGCCACTTTTCCGCGGCGAATATCTTAGATCCACTTCTCCATAAACACAGCATGTTCCATCTTTTCAGACAAACCGCCGCTCTCTGCGTTGTCTCTGCGTACCTAGGGGGCCCAGGCGGTACTGGATCACGACCAGGACCACGTCCCGGTCCACCAGGTAGTGCGGCCGGAAGTCCTCCGCCGTGCCGACGCGCCAGGAGCCGCCGTGGATGTAGAACATGACGGGCAGCAGGCGGCCACCGCACGTCGACGGCCTCTGCGGACACGACAGAACAGCGTCAGCACTCTGTCTCTCTCGCACTCGTGGGGCGTCTCGTTCAGGTGCGAGAGAGACGGAGCGACGAAAGACTCTCGTGAGCAGGGGTCGTGACCCCCGAGACTTCCCCCTCCCCCCAGCCCTCTGTCACCTTCTCCAGACTCCAGTGGCACGTGCGCTGGCACGGCCGGCCGCCGGGTGTGGGAGGGCAAAACATTTACGCAATCGCCCTCCGCGGCGGCACCCTTAAAACCGCGCCTGCCTCCCTGGCCGCCTGGCTTGGCCTGGCTTCAGACGGAGTTGACTGAACTCCCTTTGCTGCCGACTGATTCCACGAACCGCTTCGTCGCTGTCTCTCTCGCGTCCCTACGGCACGCCCCGTGAGGGCGACAGGGGCAGCGCGACGACTGTTGTTTCGGCGTCGACCACCGTTGCGTGGCGGTGCGTTGCGCAAGCTGTCGTCTTGCGTAAGCGCGCTGTGATGGCTACCCGAGCCGCCGCTGCCGCCGCCGCGCTGGATCGCCTTACCACGGGGGTGTACACGTTGAGGGTGAGGCAGTCCTCGATGTCGACAGACTGGTCCTCGTAGCTGACGGGGGGCTGGTTGTCGGGGAACTCCCACTCCTGGGGGCACCGCCGTCCGAACGCCGTCGCCTTGAGTGGGCTGGACCATGGCTTGGCGGGCTCAGGGGGCTGCAAATGGAAACATCAACGTCATTGGCGTGTCGGCCCGTCCGTCAGCCCGTCGCGCGGACGACAGTGACACGAGCGGCGGGCTCACCAAGAACCTCCTGGCGCCGCTGGGGGGCTCGGCGTACGGGATGCCCTGGTACTGGTAGATGGGTCGGCGCCGCCAGTAGGACAGGGTGCGGGTGCCCTGGATGCTGCCCAGGCCCGGCACCACGTCGAGCGTCGGCAGCGGCGTCTGGCTCAGGTCCTTCTTGTCCGCGGAGAGCACGCAGGTCCAGCACAGGGCGGCCGCCGCCAGGAGCAAGTACCTCGCAGGCAACCACATCCCGCAGGGCTGTCGACACGGCCAAGGCTGAGCTTTTCCAAAAAGAGTGGAAACGGCAAATATGGCGGGGGTTCTTCGCGGCCTCGGACATCGGTCACGGCCCCGGCCGTGTCTGCTGTAATTCTAGCAGGTGGGCCCGTATACCTCGCCTGTCAAGCCGTCCAGGCCGTCCGGGCCGTCCGGACGCAGGCAGTCGAGGCCCAGCTACACATCACGGCGCCTCGGGAGGCCGCCGCGCCGCGCTCTCCCCGGGGATGGCCCTCTGATTGATGCCCTTCATGCCCGCCCATAACTTGACCTCCGACGGGCCGCGCGCCGCCAGGCCGCCAGGCCGCAGGGGTGGCAATAAAGTCCGGCGGTGTTTCTGGACGCACCCCGGCCGAAGAGAAGGCGCCTGGCCCGGCCTGGCCCGGCCTGGGCCCGCCTGGGCCCGCCTGACCGCGGCAAAGCTTCCGAGGCGATTCGGAGACGGCCCCCAGACTCGTTCACCCCGGTGGGGTGGCGGCGGCGGCGTCGCGGGCCCCGCTGGTTGTGGCCAGGTGGCGGGGGCGGCGGCGCCACGGCGGAGGCGGGGGCCCCCCCCTGTAGCTTGTGCCTTGGCCCATGTGACTCTGGGGCCCGGCGGTTTAAGGGTTCCCGGGGGTCGGGGGAGCCTTGGCGGGGTGCCCCACCACGAGGTTGCCTCCCCGTTGCCCTCTTTTGTATCCCCTTAATAGGGAAAAGCCAAAAGCAGAAGTTTTAAATTTTGGGGTTTTGGCCGTTTGCTAATTTCTTTTTGCGGGTATAGACGTTGCTTGCGAGGCGAGGCGCACCCGACCACCACCCCACCACCACCGGCGGGGCCCGCGCCCTGCGCCCGGAGATACTCACAGTCGAGTGCTCTTGTGGACCCTTCCCTTCCCCCTCGCGACTGGAGACTGAACTTGCTGTTTGTTGAGATAGGGCGGTTACCTAAGCGCGCTTCGGTGGCCGAGGACGTAGATAAGGGCCCTGAGGGCCTGGCCCGGCAGGCCCGCTCTGCCCCGCTGGAGCCACGCTGGAACGGACCGCGGGGCGGGGAGGGCCCGGGGCACGGCCCGTGGGACTGGCTGGAGGCTCCAGAGATCGGTATCCTGGAGAAGGGTTTTATAGCGGCCATCACGAGCTTGATGGGGAGGGACTCCATGGCGGAGGGGAAGGAAGCCAGCAAATAAAAGTATAAGCAGTCCGTAATCCAATCCGAAACGCGTTATCGGAAACAAATACGGCGGAACTCGGCAAGTGGACTCCAGGAAGGGGTGGGGTCTCGGGCTCAGTCAGTCGGTTGCGTCTTGAGCGATGGGGATGCTAGGAATGACACTGTCGTCAGTTCGTGACGATTCGAGTAAAACTCTAGGCGGAGCCTTTAGCGAGTGAGACGCCAATCAGATGTTCGCACCTTGGCGAGTTGCGGAATTCCCTGTTGGAGATGACAGAGCCTTATCGCGGCTGCGAGAACCAGCCGCGTTCAAGTCTGGCCCTCTCAATGTAGCTAACTCGGTGACTGGCTGCTAGTCGGAGGCTCGGGGGAATCACTCACTAGTGCACTCGCACCTACGGTGTACATACCCTCGCTAGAAGTCGACTCGGCTGCGACAACTTGGCGTCTTCATCGCATTTCGGCCGGGATGGGGACTCGCCGGGGCAGCCCTCGGATCGCACAGGACACGAAGCAGCCCGCGCTCCACACCAGCGCTCGGGACTCGGCACTGAGAGACTGAGAGGGCCCTCTCCCGGCGCGGCAGCGCGGCCCAGTGTGCCAAGCTCGGTCCAGGCGGCTTGGCTTTCGAAGGGCCCAGGGCCGTCCCCGTGCCGCGCCAAACCCTAGCCTCCCTGCAGGCCAGCCCTGCCCCTGCCAGCCCTCGGTCTGCCCCCACCCTCCCCTTCCTCCCCCAGGCCTCTCCTCTCCTCCGCCGAGAGTACTTCCCTGCCCGCACCACAGCACGGCGTGTTCCTCGGTGTGCTTCACTGCTTGTGCATGTTTACATGAAACGCTTAAAAGATACTCCAAACGTTTGCCAAGGGCCAGTGACAAATCAGATTATAAATGTGCAATGGAGACAGAAAAGGAGACAAAATAAACCCAGGTCGAATCGTCATTATTAATAAACAACCTTTAATAAAACCATGCAGGTCCTCTATTGGTCCTCTCAAGCCGCCTCACGTTCACAAACATTCAAATGGAAGACACTCATACAACATGACTGAAGCTCAAACAAAGCAAAAACCATGCTAATAATAACAATGATCTTCCCTCTTTGAACTTGTTAGTCGAATAACAGTGCATCAAAAAGCTGCACATAACCGACAAGTAGTAAATTGATCTCATGTACTTTTTCAGAACAGCAACTGATTATAGTAGATATGAGATATAAAATGAGTCAAGTTAAGATAACTGTGCTGGGACTACAGAAAATATTGTATAAATTACATAAAACTGTAAATTTAGAGTCAACAACATATACTCTTCTCTAGTATAATGGACTTTCATTTGTACAAAATAGATTGTATAAATAATCTGTGACCAGTTTTTGACAACACCTTCTCATCAATGTCTTTTATTAGTTTTCTTCTTTTTTTTGCCATTCTGTGTATCTTCTGAGGTAGAATGTTTCTGTTTTCGTTTAACGGATGAAATTACATTAGATTCTAGACTTTCATTGAAATTAGAACTATCATTATTTGATACATCCATTTCCTCATCTGAGGGCTCCATGCCATTTAAAGCATCGTTATTTACACCACTAAATGTAACAGAATCGAAACCTTCAGCCATCAGAGCCATTCTTTGCATCTTTTTCTCTTTCTTACTAGGTCCTTTTGAGACGGTATTTAGTTGTGCGGTTTTTGAGCCTGTGTCATTGCTATCTAAACCTCCATTCACTCTATTTTCATTTTTCTTTTTCTTAGACTTTGACTCAGAAGTTTCTCTATCTTGCACCTTATCAACCCTCTTCAAATTCTTCAACAAGCTGTGGAGGACAAAAGACAAAGAAGTTAGTAACAAAAGAAGTTTGTAAAGCAACTAATTTTACAGTGTTATAATGCATACCTTTGATCAAGTTTCAGTTTTGATACAACATTTTTGAGTGAGCTCTTGGTCTCTGGAGGAACACCATTTTGGCAGAAAGATGTCACAGATGCAGACAAAGAAGATACATCAGTAGGTCTAGCTAGGGGCAATGATAATATTTGATGAAGAAGACGCAGTGCAGCTGCAATATATTTGCCCTGTTGTGCTTTTCTAGAGGAATCATCATCAGACCCATTCAGCAATTCAATAGAATGGCTAATAATCGAAGACACTATTTTCTTCAACATCTTCTTTTGCTTGTCATTAGCTAAGTTCTTCATACGCCGATTATTGAAAAATTGGATCAATAGATCTAATGCCTGACCTCTTCTGAAAAGGCGAACTTCTGAACTAAAAGCATACTGCACAATTGATGGGGCAATACACCAACAGCCACTCCATGTAGAATTTAACACGTCCGAGAAAATACTCACTGGAAGAAGACTTTCCCTATTATTGAAGAATTCAAGAAGGAGCGCTTCGTAAACATTTACAACAGGGTTCTGTTTGTCTGATTCAGCAGACTCTGATTGAGCTCTAACGATGTCTGAGCACCGAACTAAGAATGTACAGCATTCAGAAATCAAATCTGACAAACCCAAGAAGGTGGTTGTACTTTGGGCTCTTTTCACGGCAAGTGATTTTATTTGGTCTGCCAAAGATCCCTCGTCAACTCCAGCCACAGAAGAAAACTTTTTTACCTTCGTGAGAAGGTGCAAAACACTTCTGGTTCTAGTTTCAAGAGGCTTCTGATGCACATCTTTCAAGCAGAACGCCATAAGCGACAAGAGAGGTGCCACACACTCCAAACACATCTCCATTGAAGGCTCCTTTGAAATATAAAGGTCAACTAAATCAAGAACACGGATTCTGAAATGGGTCACACTCTCCTGATTTTTGGTTTGTTTCTTCTTTTTCTTGCTATTTCTAGACATTTTCATTGCTTCAAATGCTTTAGCTAGAGCCTCATTCATGCGTTCCCCTTCTTCTTCAGTAATCTCATCCAGGTCAACAGATTCAGTGTCGGATAGTGACGCGGCATTTCCGAGAGCCTGTCGTATGTCATTACGTAACTTGTCATTAATGGTCTCCTCCAAATCTTCATCATCTATATCCTCATACTCATCATCATCATCATCTGTATCATCATCTTCATTCTCTTCATCAGACGTGTCCTCACCATTGTGCGTACCATTAGTTGGCATTTCCTCGTCCTCGTCCTCACTCTCTGATTCACTTGCATCATCCAACTCCTTTGTTGAAGTCAAAGGATTTTCATCTCGACTCGGGTCAAGAACTTCAAGAATCTGATAAAAGGCGGACACAGTGAGATGTTTCTTGAGGTGGGGAAAGACTTTACCAACAACAGTCCGCAACAAACGAGAACTATTTGAAAGAAGGGACAGGAGCACCTCAACCATCACTTCAACCCACTGGGGTTCCTCTGCATTTTTGGATTTGTGCTTGCCCTTCATACGTTCATAACAACTGTGAAGTTCTTGAAGGGATTCAACCGCCATTTTGGGTTCTGAAAAGAGTTGTAGTCCCATAAATAGGAACAGGCTGTGGAAAATTTGCGTTTCTGATGCACTTGATTCACTTTTAGCAAATTTAGAAACCGTCTTCATCATCTGCTGCCACGCTGCAGAAGACTGCAACAGAGAAAAAGCAAGAAGATAGTGCTGAGGTGTGAAAGAAATTTAAGTGCAGTACTTAACAATGGACTAGCATTGCATACTCACTTCAGCACCAAACTGAACTCTGAGGCTCTTAACAAATTGTGTCTGATTTGCCATTAATTCATTGATGTGTTGGACAATTTGGTTCAGAATAACAACCATAGTTTTAAAGTCAGAGAACGCCTCATCCAAAGCACGGAAGAAGCAGTTCCTCACATTGGCTGGAAAGATAACAGAAGGCAAAATATTAAATTATCAAATAAAGGAAGGTTTTCAAATGAAACATTTCTCATGATGTCATGTAAGTTCCATACCAGCCAATTCAACATTGAATGCAGAGGAAGTAGTTTCACGGAACAATCCACGGTGAAGTAGGAATAAAAGCTGTTCGACCTTCCAATTAATATCATCATTACAAGCTTGGTGTCCAATCAAACTACAAATATAAAATAAAACCAGAGAATTATAAAAACATAATAAAGGCTGCATTCAAGATGAGTTGAGCTAAGGTATACGGACCGTTTTAGTTGCTGAGCAGCAAATACACGATCAACAGTTCTCCACACTTTGTTTTCTTCTGAGGATTTGCCATCAACAATGTCCGCAAATTGTTTGGAGAGATCCTGCACACTTTTCTTGCCAAGTTTGTTCTCTAATAAAATAGTTATGTGACTACCTATAAAATAAAAAAAAAGAAAACATAAATTTTCCATGACATAGACAAATTATTCATGAGTACACAGGATTAGCTTCAAAATTGAAAAGTCACAATCACATACCAGTTTGTTTCTCATATTGAAGATCACCACAGAAGAGAATCTTTTTGATAATAGCCATCCTTACTTTATCTGTGGCATCATCAGCTAAGAGAACTTCTCCAAGAGATGCAATAGCTTCTTGGGCCTTGGTGCAAATTTCCACATTTTTAATTTTGTCTGATGCAGGTCCACTTAATGTGCGACCAATAACATCCAAGATGCGAGATGTTACAAGTACTTTTACCTAATAACAAAGAGCAGAAAGGTATTAGTAAGAGAAAAGATGCAATCCAAATAATTTCACAGCAAAGAATACAAAAAAAGTGACCAATTCTGAAGGCGCATACCATCTTTTTATCTGGCACTTTTCTGATAAGTATGGTGAAAAGTATAAGAGAAGCATGATCCTTGGATTTGGAGGATGATGCCAACAAACTGTCAACATCCTGTGTCCAAAATGTTTTAAATAAAGCTTCATTGTCAGGGAGGCAAAGACTTTTACAGAATTCTTCATAAACAGGGTGCTTAATCTTTGTAGAATTGCTGTCACCCTACAACATAAACAACATTTTAAGCCCATAAACTAGGACATGAAAGCTTCAGCATGCTTTCACAACCACACTAGAAATGCTTCATGGGATGCTTACCACAAGCTTCTGAGCAAAAAACCGCATAGACTCTGGGGAAAATATTGGGAAACCTAGGTTCTGTTGTATCTTTTTACTCTTGATGATATTTGGAACTCGGTTTAAGGCAGACAACAAGAGAAGAAGTGTGTCCAGTGTTTGATCTGCCCATGGTTTCAAAACTTCTTTGCTGACCAAAGGCCAAACTACATCAGTGAGAACAGATTCTTCAACCTGCAACCAACAATAAGTTCCATAAGAGACACAAGTACAGAGTAAAATAAATAAAAGGAGTAACAAATCAAACACTTCATCATACATTAACCATCAAATCATGTAAAAATGGCGCGGAGGCATAGGAAAGGTAGCTTCTCTTGCTGGCACTAGAGAACAGAGTCGTCACAATTTCCTTTTGTTTTTCCTCTGAACTTCGTAAGAATAAGCCTCCTCTGACCGCTGCACCATAAGCAAGTACCTGACCCAGCAGCGCTTCTCCTTCTTCCTATGATGAAAATGGGAAAAAGTGAAGTGTTACTTGATTATAAGAAAAATAGGACACTGTTAAGACAAATATAAACAAAATGGAAAACATGACATACCCCTTTGGAATCAATGTCAGCACATGAAAATTCCTTCTCCACTATTGCGGCATAAGTTTCACAAGTAATCACAGGGAAAGACTCCAAAATAGCAACAAGAGCAGTGAAGTAACCCTTCTGCACCACTTTATTCTTGGAACCCACACCTCTAACAAGTCGTTTGAGACTGTATGTGAGATCTATAGGCAACTTTTCAGACTGAAACAAGGGAAACAAAACATGTTATCATTGTGACAGAGGACATACTGAGCGATAGAAGGGTATGTGGATTTGGTAGCAACAGAAGTAAAACAAGAGGCATAAAATACTTGAAACAAAAGGACAAAAACCGAGAGAATCTTTCCAAAAATACGAATAAATAATTCCAAACGGAGAGAGCCGGTGAGGTTATGACAATAATAATAAAACAAATATGCAGACCACCGTAGAGGAGGAAACTAATACAAACATCAGCGATTAAGGAGACGAGTTGTCAGAATTAAAAGGCATTATTTCCTCTCCCAAAATACAAACAAATGGACATAAATACAGAGGTTGCGCCACGCCGCTGTAGCTTACCGTTACGTCTCCTAAGATTTCAGTTAAATGTTGAACAAGAGAAACACACGATTCGATTCTTGCGTCATCTGATTCAGCGCCAATACGTTGAAAAATTGTAAAAATTGATTCGTTGACTCCATTATTTTTGTTTTTGGAGGACGTCGTTTCACCCATGTGGCTTGCGGCGTGGTCCATTTTTGATTTCGCTCCCTTCACCGCCTTGTTCGTCTGACATTCGAACCTCGCGCCGACACCAACCAAGGCAACAGAGCTACTCTTTTTTGCGTCGTAAATTTGTGTAGTGATATTCAGGCCACAGTATTGTTGTAATTAAGGTCGTGATAAAAAAGTGAGTGGATTGCGATTTTCGGCAGTTGTCAACAAGGCAAAGAATAGTTGATCACAGTCATCCGCCGCCAGTTGCATCCATCCAACATGGCTGGACGCAGCGGGTATGATGATCAAGAATCATGGTACGTGTATTTTTTAAAGTTTTCTTGTATTAATTGAAAGTCTGATGTAAAATGAACTTGAATAGGGAGGCTTTACCTTGACACTTTGAGTTGTCAGTATTTATTTCCCCCCATCAAATCTACAGTGCGAGTTGAACCGGCATAAGCCACGGTCCGTCCCCATGGCCCCTGTGTGATAACCGCCTGTGATTTATGTTGTTATGGCCAAAACTCTGTTCTTTCCTTTCTCTGTTTCGCGTCCTAATCGGCATGGCCCAGGTGATCAATGTTAGGGAATGTCGAAACGTTTAAAGACCCTAGTTCTACCTTCAGAAAGTGGCTACTTGTGCAGCCTTCGCGGTCTTGTGAGGGTTATGATCCGGCCCAATGCAAGCGGTCAACTATTATGTCTATTTACAACTTTGGGCGGTTCCTTTGCACTTTCAGGAAGTCAAAATTTCCAGTCTCATTTTATGGATTAAATTTACTTGGTGAATGTGGGTTCAATATTTTAATGATAAGAGGTTCCCTCTTTTGACAATTTTGCCCTCTATTGTACCTTTACTGCATGCAGGCAAGGCAATTTGTAGCAACAGAGACTTGGTACAAGAAACTTCTTTGTTGTCTGTTCATTTATCGCCCATTTTTCCACAACTTCTATTATTCTATGTGTCATCCGTAAGAAACTGAATGGTCTCTCATTCCTAGTGATTTACGTTGAACCTTGTGCGTTTCAGGGACAATTTTGGAGGCGGCAGGCGAGGTGGTGGAGGAGGCGGAGGACGTCGCCCTTTACCTACGGAACCACCATTCACAGCCTTTGTCGGAAATTTACCTAACGGAGTTGTCCAGGGAGATATTGCCAAGATTTTTCAAGATATGGCGGTTAGTATATCAGTGAAACAATCCCTTTCATTTTTGAGAATTGTATTGGAGTTTCAATTTTAAATTTTAATTTTCTTGTTTTTCTTTCAGGTTAAAAACATTAGGCTAATGCATGACCGTGATACTGACAAATTTAAAGGCTTCTGTTACGTGGAATTTGACAAGAGAGAGGATCTGGAAACTGCTTTGGAATACAATGAACGAATTAAAGTTGAGTCATCCCTTATCCGGGTAGACGTTGCAGAGGGCAGAAGGAATGACCGTGGTGGTGGTTTTGGAGGCCGTGGAGGTCGTGGCGGCGGCGGCGGTGGAGGTAAGTATCGGCTGCAAGTTGCCGGTATCTGTCGGCTAGTTCGCGAAGCTGACCCTTCTCTTTTGCATGTCCATGATTCAGGGTTCGGTGACCGAGGGCCAAGAGGCGGTGGCGACCGCGGTCCTCCTCGGGGAGGTCCCCCTGGAGGCCCATCAGAAAGGTTCTCTGACGGTCGGGGCAACAGAGGCATGTACGGCGGTGGCCAGTTTGACGGCGACCGTGGCGGCGACTGGGACCGCGGCGGTGGACGACGTGGCGGCGACCGCGATGGTCCCCGAGGAGGTGCCTTCGGCGGCAGGGATGGCCGGGACGGACCGGAACGCCGAGGCTTCGGAGGCCCCCCTGGCGCTGGCCCTGGCGCCGGTCCACCAGGCCGAGACCGGGACCGCCGGCCGTTTGAGGAACCGCCCCCAGGTATGGCCACGCCTCATGCAGACAGTGAACCTGGAAACAATTTTGTGACCACCTTTTATCGTGTTCAAGGGAAGGCTATATCCCAACTCCATTTTCGGTGCTCACAAACTACTTGTAACCCCTTTCCCCCTCTCAGCAAATAAAAAAAAATAATTCTTGTAACTTTGTTTTCTTTGCAGACACAACTGGCCGACCAAAACTGAAGCTTGCTCCCAGAACTGTCCCAACACCAGTCAATGCACTGGCTGAAACCTTACAAAATACTTCAATTTTTGGAGGTGGTAAACCTCGAGAAGAAAAGGTTGATTCTTCAGAATCATCCGACCCAGCTCCGCCAAATAATACTGAATAAGAGAGGACTTAAAATGTAAGCCTCCCACAATTGCAAAATATTCAGGTAAAATAATTTTTTGCTTGTAAAATGTATTGATGACTGAAGTCTTAAGGTATTTGCATTCATGGATTTGTGTCACTCTTCCAGACTTGACTATGGTATAGCACAAGAGCAAGGGTGGAGAGGACAAGAAGAGCCGTTTTTGAGGTGATCTCTAATTTCTTTAACAATCAAATCAATCAAATGTCACTGATCAGTGTGAAGGAATAGAGATATGGACTATCTTTGTTTAGCAATCCATTTTATTATATGTAATTTCAAATATATGTATTGAAACTCCTGTTTGTCTGATGCCTTTTGGCATTTCTTTTGTGCATAAATGTTTTCTCTTTGCTGCAAATGTGCATTGGTTATCTGTTTGTGGTGTTTGATTTTCAAGTTACAGTCTGAGAGTATGCTCAGTTTGTGTCTTACCTATCTGTTCTTTTGCTAGAATTGTGGTTGTGTACTGTTAAGGGCTGTGGCAGTAGCAGGCTGTGGGACAGGAGCAGGGCTCTTGTTCATGCAACTTAAGCTCTTTGTTGTTTCGAAACACTTTTTGCATTTTTCTTACCAGAAGGTCAAAGATATAACACAATAATTTTACTGCATCATTCAATTATTGAAAGTGATTTTTTAAAAAATGAATGCCGTAGATTATCAGGACTTATATTATTGTTTGCAAATTTGGCATACTGCAAGTCTTGGCCCGAAGTTTTTCCTCTCGTAATTTTGAGCTCAGGTTGGGTATATTTACCAATTGTGGATATTTGCTTGAAAAGTCAATGTCTGTAATACATTAATGGCAGTTTGCTTGGACTGATTGTGCCTTAATGCAAATCATGTTTGTAATGTCAATTAGAACTGAGCTGTTTCTGTAGGCAAATGATGTCTTTGAATTCTCTCTAATTTTACATTTCATGTCCTTTCCATTCTGTAAGTACCTTGTGGTTCTCTTTAGATTATTGCTGTTTTTGTTTCTTCACTTGTTTTACCTTTTTTTGTCCTTTTTATTGTATTTGTTTTGAGACCTTCAAGCCATGCCTTTCTTGTGATGTCTTTTTTGGGTGTATTCATTTGCCTGAATTCATGAAGTTCAAATTGAAGCTTATTAATAAATTAAATCTGAGAGAAAACCCTTAAAGAAATAAGGTTTACACTTTTTCTTTTCTTATAAAAAAATAGTAAGTTTATTGAAAAATGTGTGCAGCATGCACATTTAGCCCTTATAAACAGTGATTTGCAAGTAGTGGTAAAGTGGAAGGGCATACACAAAAACCTGTCATTTTCTACCCAATTTCAGCACTTTTCCATCAGGCTACTTTCTTCGTTTTTCATTTTTTGATCAGGTAACTAACTGGGCTTTGGCGAATTATGCTCGTATCTCTTAAATTGGGTTCATTGTGATTCTTACTTTCGGGACATCAATTTTTCCATATTGGTTCTTATTAAGTAACTTAACTCCACAAAATTTGAAAGTTCAGATTCAAACACTCAAATCACCACACCTATGTGAACAGGACCGGAAAGTACCATCAAATTAAGAGTAACATGAATGACACAATGATCACCATTCATCTTGGAATGAACGATGAACACACTTCCGCTGGAAGGGACCACGCTTGACCAAGGGCACCAAGGGTGCTTTCTGGAGAAGTGAAGATCAAGCGCAAGATGGCGGAGTAGACAAACGAGCCGCGCATGCTCGCTACACTAGAACACCTCTAACTGAACAGCGTTGGTGACGCACGAGCTACGTCACTGGGCCCGAGTCGAGGCGCGGTGGTGGTTGGTGGTGTGGCAGTGTGTGTGCGCAAGTGGATGTGTGAGTGTACGAGCCCCTACCCGTTCCACTCGTAGCCAGCCACCCAAGACTCGTGTGATATTTGCCTCTTTCGCATCCCATGAGTAGGACCTTAGTTTAGAATGTTGATCAAGGAATTGTAAGTAAAATTCGGTTACTTTTAGTGTTTAGGTGGACTAGATAGATTTGTCATTCAAGGTTTCGCAGTTTATTGAGTGTGGACATTGCTTGAAAATTCGAACATTTGTGAGCCGACTGTGGTTCGATACTCTAGTATCGGTTAAGTGCCATTGATTTACTGCAGATTTCAATTTTTGCGGAAAGCATGTTGTCAAATTTAATGAATGTGGTCTAGGCACCTAAATCGTAGCAGTAGGACTTGCCCTGAAATTGAATTGACGTAGCCTTGAGAGTATCAACCACCCTCTATTGACGTCTGCCAAGTCAGTTATTTGTCAGAATTTGGCCGTGGCTTTTACAGTTAACTTGTGTTTGGTATCAGCTGGCCTCCCTTTTGTACTTTGCGTTAGAATGGATAGCCCAACCATTGGTTTTAATGCCGTTTCTCTATTCAGTATTGGTTGGGGTTCTAAGTGATGAGTCAGATTTGAAAGGTTAGGTTCCATGTTGCAGCCCCTGGCTCAAACCCGGGCATTCGTCTAGGAAAGACTGTGTCAGCATGATCTAAAACTTTGAATGGTGTCCTGTCACTTAATTAGGAATAATATACTCTTGACATGATCCTAAATTTCATACAGAAATTCAAGTGTTGCGCCATTCTGAATATTTGTGAGAATATTTTGTGTATTTGCACTTTTGACATCTTGTCAAGGCCACACACGAGTAACATTCAGTCAAAAATTAACCCATTGATTTTATAAATTTAATTGTCCATGACAATTTCTCTATTAACATGGTATTGCTCTGATACTCTTTTGGAAACTATTTCTTTTGAGTGTCACTATATTTCATGTCAGAATTGACTCCTCGCACATGGTATTATTATAGATAGAAAATTTCTTGGGTACATAGCTGTGCAATATGTGACAGTTCTTAAATTTTCCTTTTTTTCTTGTTACAGCCGTGTCACACTCCCACTTACTGTGGAGGAGGTAAGCGCTCACATCAGAAAGAAAATCAAAATTAATCCATTTTTCAACCATTTAATTGAAAAATTCAATTATAACTCCCATATTTTTCTGTGACATTCACCCCTTTCTTTTTAAATTTTCAGTACCAAGTTGCCCAGCTTTATTCTGTGGCCGAAGCTAGCAAAAATGAGACCGGAGGTGGAGAAGGTATCGAAGTCTTGAAGAATGAACCTTTTGACAACTACCCTCTCCTCGGAGGGAAGTACTCGAAGGGGCAGTACACCTATAAGATATACCACTTAGCAAGGTAAGTGATGGTGAAAGTAATTCCAAGCAGGGGAGTTGATAGCTGTCGTAGCTCCACTAAATTGTAATGCCCATAAATGGACAATCAAAAGGCGGAGGTAATCTCTGTGTCTAATTGAAATATCTGAGGAGGTGATTCACGTATATGAGGTGTTGTAGACAAGAGTCAAACACTCGGGGTTATCAGTTATCTGCTATTACAGATCCATATGATCTGCCAGAGCTAGAACCCATATTTGCTCAGACAGGACGGCGGAAGTTGCTTTGATTAATCCACGCTGCCGCTCCACCCCGTCCACCCCGTCCAGGCCGTCCAGAACGACCTTTAAAGGTTAATCCCGCTGACCCCCCAGCCTGCCGCTGTCTCCCGCGGGAAGCCAAGGGGGAGGACTGGGAGGACCAGCCCGCACCTCAATTTTTTTTAAACTTTTATTTTTTTGAGGTGCGACATTAGCGTGAATTACTCCAGGGGGAAAAGCGGGCGAGGCGGGCGCTATCGAACGCGGCCCTCCGAGTGTCGCTTTGCGACTGATAAAACGCCTGTTTGGTCGGGATTGGAACCCGGGTCGCGGTGATCGGCCGCGGTGTCTGCGTCGTGTCGTATCGAAGTATCAGCAGGCAGCCGGCGGTGGAGTGCATCCTATCTGTGCTCTAGCTCTTTGATAGCGCCAGCCCGCCCGCCAGCCAGCCAGCCATCGCAGTCCCGCTGTCATTGTCGCGGACCTGGCGCCGCCCTGGCCGCTTGCGTTCTATTGTTCCTTCCAATTTGACGAAAAAAAAAAAAAAAAAAATCAGAAAAGGAAATCAATGGTATGATTGATTACTCCAGGTGCCGACGTGATGTGTGAAGACGCGTCATAGGAACCTCGAGCTTAAATTGAATGACATTTTTTAGCTTTCAAGGATAAGATTAGACTTAAAAAATATTTTTTAAATCTTTTTTCTTAAAATTTTTCTGCAAGGTTTATTTTTAATTTTTCAAACCCGTCTCGAATTTATTTATTTTTTTTTGCACTGTCGTGTTTGGTTTTCCTTGTGGCTGGGTAGGACTCTGGCTGGGACTCTGCAAGCTCTGAGGCCCGACTGGCGACGGCATAACGCGCTCGGGATGGAAGGGGTCGCGGGAGACGCGGGGGAGGCAGCGGCGGCGCGGCGGAGCGGCGAGAAAGGGTGGGGGCGGGTCGATAGGCACCCCCTGTCCTGGCCGCCCCAGGCCGCCCCTGCCCCCCGCGGGGCCCAAGGCAGCCCACGGCAGCCCACGCCAGCCGCGCTAGCCGCGCCCAGGCGCTCTCTGGCAGGGACGCGGGCCCGCGGACCCGACCCGGCCCCAAGGACTCGGGCGGGCGCAGGCTAGCGCTGCTAGCGCAGGCTCCGGACCCAAGCCACCCCCACTGCGGTGATCACCGGCCCCTCCCGCCCCCGCCCCCTTGGCTGTGATTGGGCCGGGGGCGGCGCCGCGGCCTGCATCTGGCGGTGCATGTGGGGGGCGGCGGAAAATAAAAACTTTTCAATTAACATTGTAGTGGAAAGGGGGCTAGCGGCGGGACTTCCCCCCGAGCCGAAAGTGCGCACCACTCGTAAAATGAATACTCTCTGCTTCCCGGCGTGGGTAGCTATACCGACGCTCTCCGTGACTTTCTGCAGACTGATACCGAGCCGTGCTTCCGTCGCTCTGTCTCTCTCGCTCCGCCTTGGCGACGCTCTTGGAGTGCGAGGGAGCGCGACGCTGGCGCGCAGTGCTCGGCGCGGCTTTGTTTGCCGCCCCACTGTACACGTGTGCTGCCGTGGCGCGGTGTTAGCGAGCGGCTGGAGGTGCGAAATGAAGCGCTGTTGTCTTCGGCGCCCTGTCGCCCTGCCGCGCGCGCCGTCGTCGAATTGAATTAATTAAGGCTGTCAGCGGCAGTCGCTCTGTCTCTCTCGTGGGGCGTTCCGTGTGGGTGCGAGAGAGACGGGACGCTCGTCGTTGTCCGTCGCGCTGCTCGTCGCTCTGGCCGCTTGCAGTGGCGGCGGACGTCCTGCAGATAAGGCGCAAGCCTGCGGGCCGGCCGTCTCGCTCGCACTCATTGGCGGCCCGTTGGCGCCGCCCCGGCCGGTGCATTCCTTGCACACTGATTCCAAAACCGTCTGTCTCTCTCGCACTCTTGGCAAGCGCCGTGGAGTGCGAGAGAGAGAGAGAGTGTGCGGATTGGCTCGGCTGAAGCGCCCGCGGAATGCGGGGTAGGCAGCCCGCCGAGCTGCGCTGCGTGGGGGTCGCTCGCGTTGCCTATCTCGCCCCTTGGGGCAGCCCAGCCACCCCGAGCGGGGGCGAGGCTGGGTCTCCGAGGCGGCGCGGAGCGGGGCGGCCGTTCAAACGCCTCGTCTCGTTCGACGCGAGTGACTCTGCGTTGACGTCCCGGACATGTCCCGGAGGTCGCCGGGTCCGGGAGCGCGGCCTGCGGACTGATTGCGAGAGTCGTTTTCGTCGCTCTGTCTCTAGCACTCATGGGGCGTTCCCAATGGGTGCGAGAGAGACAGCGCGATAAAAACGATTCACGGAATCGGACTGGGTTCGCGCTTCCTCGTCGGAAGTGCGCGAGCGCGCCGCCCGAAAACCGCCGCCCGGTTGGCTGGCTGGCGCCCGGTGTTAATAAACGTGCTTGCCGTCAACTAGGTCCTCTTTTTTCGCGGAGGGAGCAGGTTCGCCGCGACGTGGAACGCGCGTCGGCTTCCGCGGCGGCGGCATGACGCGCGGGAACGGGCTATACCGCGGAAACTCGTCCGATCCGCCGGGGAGTTTTTACAAAATTCGAGTCAGTTTTCCCACGGAATGACTATGCAGCGCGGCGAACAAGTTCCTAGTCGCCTGCCTGCAGTTCCCTTTTTCACGTTTCTGTTTCTGGCGCGGAATTGCCCCCTCCGCGAACCTGCATGCACATTAGTTGCGACAGCCCCGCATTTGCGTGACTGTCCCATGCCGACTCTGGGCGTAGCTCGGGCCAGGCAAATGAACAGCAATTTCCGTGCGACTTTTGTGTCGGGCGGCGGCACGGCGAGTATCGCCGCTCCGTCTCTCTCGCACCCTTACGGGGCGCCCCATGAGTGCGAGAGAGACGGAGAGCTGCAAGTGGCGCCGCTTCAATTATCCGCCTTTAACTTTTAAAACGCGGTCGTGGGACTCGGCAGGGACGCTGTCTCCAGTCCAGTGAGCTTCCGCGCGATGAAGCGGCAGAGCCTGTCCTACAGTGCCGTGCCGATGAGAGCCCGGCCGCCACACTGAGAAATCTCCTGAGAGAAAAAGAGGGTGGGGGAATGGGAAGCGACCGTTCCTCTCCTATGCGACCCGACCCGACCGGGAGTTTTGGCGAGCGGCCTTGGACCGGCGGCGCGGCGGCGGCGGCCCGTGCGTGCGTGCGCTAGTGTAGCTCAGAGCGGTCGGCCACAGTGGGCAAGCTGATTCCAAACAGTGCTCTGTCTCTCTCGCTCGCGCGGTGGCGCCCCGCGGGTCCGCCGGTCCCCCGGGGGTGCGAGAGAGACAGAGCGACCGCGGTGTGTGGATTTGATCGCGCCGATTGTCGTCACAGCGGGCACGGCGGGCACACCGCGCACGGGCCGGGGCGTTGTACGCCACCTGTACACTGCCAACGGCCGTCCACTACAAAACGAGATCCCGCCTCGCCCGGCCATTGATTCTAACGTGGCACGGAACTAAAAGTCGCGTCTCCTCGCTTCGGTTGCCAACTTGTGCACACAATGATGTGCGGCCTTCAGGAGACGGCCGGTTAGAATCGCTGTCATTGTGTGCAGAAAACGCCCGTTTGGCGGTTCGTTTGCAATCGTCATCGTAATCGGGCCGCTCGTCGGAAGCGGCGCGACTCCTGTCGGACGGTGGACCATTTTGGTGACGAACATTTCTGACAGTGTGCGATCGACTGAAGTGTTGAAACGTGGCTGTGAATTCCGGCAAGTCTTGAGCAGTGAGCTCGCCGCCGCGCCGTTGAAGAAATGTTTGTTCTGTGCGGCCTGCTGCAGGCTCGTTTCGAACACGTCTCTCTCGCACACCTTCGGCGTGTCCCGTGAGTGCGAGAGAGAGGGGGGGCCTCAGCTGGAGGGCCCCGTCTGGCCGGGCCGGCGGCAGTGGCGGCAGCAGGCCCGCGCCGCAGTCTGCCGCTACCTAGGCCATCGTGTCAAGGTCGCCACGCCGCGCCGCGCCACGCGATGCGCTGTGTTCCGCCTGCAATGCCTTAACGGGTGCACTGACGCGGCACGCGGCGGGGGCGTGGGTGTGGGTGGCCCCGCCCCGCCCCGCCCACCGCTGCTGCTGCTCGCTGACCCCTGCCTGCCTGCCCACACGCGGGCTCGCTTCAATTTCGCCTCCATGGCGAATCGATTTCTATTTTATCCCGTGGCGGGTTGTGTGGGCGTGTTTCTGGCGGCAGTGCATCTTTGCAGTGGGGGGTGGCACGTTGGCAGGCCCGTTCCACGGGGGGTGGTGACTGCACTGCTAGGGTAGGCGACGTAGCGCCACGGCCTTCTTCCGGTGTCGGCAAGGCAACTTTGCGCCAGGGTAGGCAACCCCAGCGGCCCAGCCAGTCGCGCTTGCCTTCCGAATCTCGATTCCCTGCGATGGAGGCGGCGGCGTGCCGGCGTGCCGGCGCACAGTGGGCCAGAAGGACGGTGGAAGTGGCCAAAACTCCAGACGCGTTTTGAGCTCCAGAGTCGCTAAATGGGGCTCGAATTGAACGTGTGACCCCACCCATGGATTTGGGAGGGGGGGGGGCGAAACGCGACTCCATTCGCCCCGCGTCACTTGTTGTCCTGGGATGGATTCTGTTTGGCCTGGGCGATGTCTGTCTCGCCGCCATGGGGCACGGCGGCACGGCGGGCGATTCCGAGCGGGGGGCGCCGTCGCTCTGTCTCTGTTGCACCGGCACGGGACGCCCCGCGAGTGCGAGAGAGAGGGAGGGAGGGTCCTCCCACTCGGCATCAGTCTGCGTGGGTTGGCAGGAGAGTGTGGGGGAGTGTGGGACTGTTTGGCCTCGCTGGGTCAGCAGCGGGTGCCCGTCTTACTGTAGCCAAGCCGGGCCAAGCCAGGCCCTGGTGGGCCTTCCCTCCCCCTTCCCCCTTTCACCCGTTTGGACGCCTTGCCTCCCCCGCACCGGGCTTGCACGGTACCCAAAACTATCGATTTGTATCGACTCGCTTCGACCGGCTGCTGCTGGAGGGAGCGTCGCTGGAGGCGGCTGGTCGAGTCTGGAGGACGGTGATAGTGTCGCCTGGATTAACGCGTGCCCCCGCGGCCCAGCCAATACGATACACGTGCAGCCAGGGGTGGCGGATGGAGGAAATTGCCTTTTTTGAGCGGGGAAGGGGGGGGGGTGCAATTACCGGTCCCTCAGTCTTCACGTGACTTTGTTCGCGGCAGGCTGTCACCCCAACTTCAGTCACCAGCAAAAAGAAAGGGAGGGAGAAGAAACGGGATAACGGCCTTGAATTTATTTTTGCCCGGTGTGCCTTCCTGGTGCTGAAGGTGCGATAATGAATGAATCTCTCCCCCCTCCCCAATCCGATTTTATCCTTTCAACCCCGGAGCCACGCGTTCCGCCGTTCCGCTGTCCTCGTCGTTCGGCGGCGCCTGGTCGATAGATGGCACCTCTCTCTCTCCCTCCACTCCGCCTTCGCGCGCGTCTTTGCGGCGGCGGCCCCTTTCGCCACTTTTATGTCTTTATGTCCGCGCGATGTGCGACAATGTCACACTTTCCGTTCGATTCGTCGATGCAGGGACCAAGTTGAAATTTGGAAGCACGCTGACTGACTTTGCTCCCCTTTCCACGTGTAATTGAGAAATTAGTTTTGACGTGTTTATTTAGCGAGAGGTGACGCCTCGCCCGTCTCGCGGAGGCGCCCTGCAGACGGATTGAGTCCTTGGCGCCCCCACCCCCACCCCCTCTAAAGTTGACGTCATCGATTGGTGACGTTGCGTTTGAGAGGGGGTCGGGGTGGGCGGGGTTTCTAGGTCAGTGTATCACCCGGTTGGATGCTGCGATCCACAGGCCGCGGCGTGGGGGTGGGGGGTGGGGTGCCAAGTCTTTAGAGACCTAATTGTAATGTTGGTTGAAAGCACCTGAACGGCCGAGGGTGGAGAAGGCCTTAGAGCCGCCACCACCGAGAAGTCAACTAGTTTCTATCGGGCCATTAGTTTATCTAAACTGGCAGAAGTGGGAGAAAGGGGGTGGGGGAGTCTGAAGCAGACCTAAGGCTCATGTCCTATACTTAGAGATATTTCGAAAATAAAGCTTTCTATTTCTTTCTCTTATTTTATTGTACTTATTTTGTGTTTCTTTCTGTGTGTTGCAGCAAAGTACCTGCCTTCATCAGAATTCTAGCTCCAAAGGGCTCCCTAGAAATCCATGAAGAAGCCTGGAATGCATACCCATACTGTAAAACTGTAATCACGGTGAGTACCAAAGCATATTTTCAAGTTATGTGTTGAAAGTTAGTCAGATGTTACTGATTGATAAATTTTCTTTTCATTTTTCTTCCGTGTGAGTTTTTAAGTGTTTGTTTTTGGTCAATTAGAGTGTGATATAAATGAAGATTTGATGAAGAAAGATAAATATTTGATGCATATGTCATGTATTATGTAGTTCTGTTACTTTATATGAACTTTTGTGCTCTCTAACTATACATTTTATTTTAGAAATAGTGTTTCTGCTGGTTGGTGTTTAAGCAATAAATTGTCATTTCAGAATCCTCACTATATGAAGGATAAGTTCATGCTGGTAGTGGAGACACTACATGTGGCTGATTCAGGCAAATCACATAATGTGAGTTTTTTTTCACAGCGTGCCATGTACCCATTGTGGATGCTTCAAGGTTTTTGGTGCTTGATGATGGTGGAGTCTCTTGCTGCATTGGTGTGGTTCATTGTCAACATCAAAACTACATTAAGGCTACAATTTTGTAGAATTCTAAATTTACTAAAGTCTTTTTGCAGGGTTAAGATGTGGAGAGTTGTGACGGTGCATTTTTGTATGTGTTCATGTGCTTTGGGTATATGTCTGTCGGCCATGTGATCAAGTCTCATGCATTTGTCTTTTGTTCTGCTTTTCTTGCTTCCCTGGTTCATCGGTGTTGGTCTCACAGAATCCTGGATACATGAAGGAAAACTTTTATATTGTCATTGAGTCATACCACATAGGGGATAGTGGACACCAAGAAAATGTAAGTAACTCTCAATGCATGCTTGGGATCATTCGCTATTTAGAAAAGTCGTTCATGCCCTAGTTTGGTGTACACAGATAAGAAAATAGGAATGCAGTTTTGCTCAAAATGTCTAGTAAACCTATGGAATCAAATGATGGGTCTTATCAATTTTTCATAAATTTTTTTTTAGTCCCTATTATCTTGAAAGTAACAAGGCCCACAACCACTTAGCAACTATTCCTGGCAGGAATGTGAATTTTGGGTGGAGGATTACATGCTTCTGTTGCTTGTGTTGATCTGGTTTGGGAGGGCTTTAATTGTATACAATCTGTTAATTTGGCTGTGGATCCTGCTGCATAAACATCTGGGGTTAGCAGCAGTGATGAATTAGGACACAAGTGATTGACTTAAATGTTTGATTACAGGTTCATGAACTGGGCCCTGAAAAGCTGAAGGGGAGGGAAGTTGTGCATATAGATATTGCCAATGATCCCATTGCTCCAGCTGACTACAAGCGTTCTGAAGACCCCCAACTTTTCAAATCTGAGAAAACTGGCCGAGGTCCTCTTACTGGCCAGTGGACTGATCAGGTACAAACTTTACCTAATCTCAAGTTGTTTGTCCTCCTTAACTATGGGTCATTTTCAAGGTTTCTCCCTTTATTTCTCAGGTTAATCCAGTCATGACTTGCTACAAGTTAGTGACAGTGGAGTTCAAGTGGTTTGGCCTTCAGAATCGGATAGAAAACTTTATTCAGAAAGCGGAGCGAAGACTTTTTACCACATTTCATAGGTAATTTACTTTTTGCTTTGTTCTGGTGTTGTTTATTACAGTCTTATTTACGGTTCGTCTTTGTTTTGGTTTTTCTCTCTCAAGGCAATTGTTCTGCTGGATGGATGGCTGGCATGGTCTGACAATGGCTGATATTCGAGCAATTGAAGAGAAAACCAAGGAAGAATTAGACAAGGTATCCTGTCTTTTCAGTTATTTTCAGTTATTTTCATCTCCACTGTATTAAATAATTAAAATCTTTCGTTTCAGCAACGCAATGTTGGTCAAGTGCGAGGAATGAAAGCAGATTCAGACTAAGGAAGAACGCTACATCAAGAAACAGCAGCCTGCAAAATCATCTGTTACCCGTTTGTTGGGCCCTATGGTGTTCTGTGATTGATGATTTTAATGACAGTAGTGCATAATTGAGAACTTTTTATGGAGTTATATAGAAGACTTACCACAGTGAGATGTTGCCTTAGTCATCATTGGTATCTTAGTTTCAATTGAAGTGAAATATTTGCTGGGCGCTTAACTTTTGTAATGGTACATGGCTATGGTGTTATCACAGAATTTGTCCTGTACCCGAGAGGTATACCCCTTGCGGTCCATCCTTTCATTTAAACAAATACTGCTTTCTCTTCTATTGATGTCTCCTTATAATGACATCTTCTGTAATGCTATTGAGTTCAAGTAATTTTTGCACAGCTTCTGGTTGAATATACCCAAGCTGAAGCAAGCCTGATGTATGCAGGCAGTGTAAAACACACTTTTCATTTGATTTTTTTTTAATTTTGAATGTTTAAAAAAAATCTTTTTGCTTAAAAGAATTTTAATTGAAAGTTTTTCCTTTGTGGGAAACTGCAATATTTAAATTACTTCAATACTTAATGTTGTGGTGTATGAGCCATTTGAATGAATTTTACTAATACTTTCCATTTTTTGTCATGATAGCATTAATAATAATAATAATGAAAAATATTTGTCTGTTGAATTATTTTTCCTCAGCTTTTAGAAATATAAAGAATGAGAGTGAGTGTGAATGATGTAGCATGTGTGAAGGCCTATCAGTGTACAAATAGTGTGTTGGGGGAGGGTTTTGCAGGGTCAACTTATTTCCAATTTAAAAAAATTTGTGAAGCTCAAATATTATGCCTCTGCTTCGTTTAAGTTGCAGTTTCAGCATATGCAAATATCGCATTGTGCTCAGTTTACTATGTAAGCTTAAACAATGTTCACTCAGGGGTGCAAACTTGTGTTATGGTGCAGCTAAATAGTGTTGGCTAAATGATGAAATTACTGAAGAAATTGTTTTGAGGAATGAAAGAACATCAATGCCAAAGATGATATAGTTACTCCTTTTTTGATGTTAAATAGCCCCCTGTAGATGTCTGCTGCTAAGTCATTGAATTCATTCTGTGAAATGAAAAGCAAGAAATTAAAAAAAATATCCATAATTTTGTAGGTCTTGTGGACTGTTGTCTGATCTGGATCAAGGCTTTCTTTGAACTGAATGGACTTGTGAATCTTGTCTTTTCATTTTTATTGTTTTGTTGCAGGCAACAATGTTAATTAAGCCTTTCTGCAAGATGGCATTAAATGAAATGATGCTTAAGTGTCTTTTTTTTCCTTTTTATGATTCTTGCCACTGCTCATTATTGGTTTTCCCTATCCCCTCCCCCAAACAACTGGTGTCAGTTTCAACTTGACCAGTGTTTTGCTGGCCTGATGTCTCTTCAGTTGCCTTTGACCACTATCTTGTTGCAGGATGCAGTCAACTTGCCTCTAAACATTACATGCTACTTTTGTTCAATAGTTACCAGATCTCAGAATTTACTTAAGAGCAGTGTTTTTTTTTTTTGTTTTTTTTTGTTTTCCTCATTTTTTTAAAGAGTTTCTAAATTTTTTGGCTCTGTTTAGAAGGAAGAAGGGTCACTCTTCCTACATCCCAGAGTATCTTGTCAATTGTTTCCTAACAATGTTATATGCATGTAAAAACATTTCTGTGTAGTCAGTTGAGATGTCTAGGTAAATTTTCATTTTGTATGAAATGTAGTTACATCACCATAATAGAAGAGCTTTGGATAAGTGTCTAGTAATGAATTATTTATGGCCAAGCTATTGAATTTCATTATGCAATAAATTATTATTAATACATAAGAGAAGAGTAATGTGATATGCTACTTTCAGGTCGTGACTTAATCGACCGTTTCCTCGTTTTTTAATGGTTGTCAGTAAAGAGACACTTCTTATCGTCTTTTCCCATGAATCTGTACTTATATGTAATCGGACCTTTCACGTCAGAAATGTCTTATCATTGAAAATTACGTACAATAGAATTATTTTTCTTCAGGTTACTTTGTAACTGCATGTAGCTGATCTCCCACTCACATACACTGCCGGCTGTGTGCAATAGTGTTGATAGCATGATGTAAATGGTTGTAGTGAGTGTTACCAAATTCTTTGTGGGTGAAGTAGCCAGTAAAGATGCTACTATCAAGGAAAAATACCAACAGTAGTGAACAGTAAAATTTGATCTATTGAGAATCATAACTTGCATTCCTTGTAAGTTGAATTCTGATGACCAACAACTGTCGAAGATCAATGAGACATGTTCTACAATACAATTCATCCTTTGGTTTGCTCTGCACACATGCCATAGATTTGACCTCTAATCCTCTCTTAAAATTTTCTTTAAGAGAACCTTTATTATTATCAGTTCATTTCTGATAATTGGAAAATCTTAAACTAGAAAGCGATACCAAATTTATGCCATTTCCCAATTAGTTTGTAATCTCTATATTGCCTGTGTAAGAGTTGTGAATTGAAATTTTAATCAATATTCCTGATATCCACTTATGACCGAAGTTCAAGCTCAAAGCATCATTCCACCTGAAGCCTTTGACCTAGCATCAATGTTTTTATTGTTTAGACTTTGCTCTTGTTGAAAAAAAAACTAACATAATTCTGTGTGTTTTAGCATTAAGACAAGGTAATAGTAGAAGAAAGAAAAATCTGGTCATTGATTATCCTCTTGTCACCATAGTGACTTTTGAGCTAGATTTATTAAACCAACAATTATCAAATACATTGAGTAGCTCGTTTCTTATTATTTTTATCTGGCATCACCAAGGCTAGTAAGCCAAGTGATACTGATGAAAAATATTGTACAGTAAGTTGAAAATGTTATGCATGTAATGTACATAGTATAGAAGAAACGTGAAATAAATGTTAGAAGAGAGAATATGCACCATTATTTTTTTTACTGTCTTTAGCCAAATATTTAAAAATGGCCAAGACTGGAGTATGTTGTGCTGGAGCACTCCCTATTGACTCCTGACACTATTTTGAGGACCATTTCAGAGAGGTAGGCATGGGCAAAGGGAAAAAAACTTTTGACTTTTTGTTTGATTTTATTACAAAGTGAGTAGAATGACACATTTTACAATAATATGAACACATTTATTATTACAATAATAAAAATAAAAGAGGGTTCAAAACTTAAAACCAGTAAGTCATTTTAAAACCAGTCGAGTCTATAGGCGTCTCCATTGTACTAGCTTGTCTAACGAGCAGTGATCTGGAGCCTCTACTACCTCTGATTGACAGAGACCGGCGAACTGCAGTGTCAAAAGATCGATTAAGAGGAGTTCGAGGAGATTCTTCTCTTCCAGGAGGTCCAGGCAACTTAAGTGGAGCAGGAAGTGAAGGAAGCTCAACGCTTTCTGCTGCATCTGACAAATCATCATAGGAACCTTTTGCAGTCGGCCTGCGAGTAAGAGGACAACATTGTAAAATGATTTCACTTATAATACAAAATAACGACATAATATGACTCACCTTTTAGGAATACATTGGATACAGTCAGCCATGCTCCAATCCTTGCCGAATTCTTCTCCCTCTTCAACTGTCTGAGGAAGACTGTGATGCAGAGTCTCAGGCAGTCGGAGGGCTGTTACTCCTCCAACAACAGATATACTTCCCATTATGACAAGAGGCAAAACTAAATTCTCTCTGCCCTGAAACATATTTATAGAAAAGAAACAAACAATGAAAACTTGACAGCTACAAGTCTGAAAAATGGATTATAGTTTTGGTTCTAAATTGTCACATTTCTTACCAAATATGTAATAAATGGTATCAAAATGAGCCCAAGACCAGCTATGTATCCTGAAGCTCCAATACCAACCCCTCGCATCTGAGTTGGGTAAAGCTCTCCCGCAAAAGGGTAAATTATTAAAAAGGAGGCCGATATAGCAGACTTTGAAAACAAGTAGAGAACCAATGTTGCAGTTACAGATTCTGCAAAAGTACTGAAATGTTAGAAACACTAATAGTATGTATCAGTTATACACATTTTCAACAAATTACAAACCTTCTGGTAGGAGGACTGTGACAATGCAGCTTATTCCGCTTAGTATCATACAAATAGAAAGCGGCCAACGTCTTCCCCACCAATCCATCACAACCCAACACGCTAAATAACTTGGGATTTCTACTAAGGATGATAACAGGAAGCTCAGGTACTCATTATTGCCCAATGCTGGCCCATAATAACTCAGACCAACATAAACCATGTTGTTTGCAAACCTGTCAATCAACAAAATTATTACAAAAACTAAAAGAGAAGGTGTTGGAACTGGGCAAAGGCTAATACAAACCAATTGAGAGTGATGAGAGCTGTTTTCAAGCGCATGTTTGGAGTTTTGCAAAGTGCAAAAACACTAGGACCTTCCTTCAACCTTCTTTCTTCACTTTGAGTTCGGTGCAGCATCATCCGTTGCTAGGGATTGACAGAAAAGAATTCTGATAAAAATGCATAATGGATTGAAAAAAAAACTCAAAGAGGTTTTTTTATTTCTTTACTTAACTATTTAGACAAAAAGGGGGAAAAAAAAGAAGAAACACCTATTTATTTGGACACACCTTTAGTTTCTGCTTGAAGCTGTCAGGAAGCTCTTGTTGATTGACCCTTGCAAGAGTTTCTAATACTTTGAGTGCCTCCTCAAGGCGGCCCTTGGCGAGTAGCCATCTGGGTGACTCAGGGAGGAACCACCAATAGATAAAGTAGAAAAGAAATGGCAAGGATGTAGCCAGAGCCAAGCTGACCCAGTTACGTACTAAATATGTTACTCCAGCCAACAGAATAAGCCCAAGTGTGTAAAAAAGGCAAGTCATCACAGTCACAAAGGAACGATAATTTGGTCCCACAAGCTCTAATGCTGTGAAGAAACAAAGCAAGGCATGGCTTACAAAACAATGAAACACATTTTGTTAAAAATGAAGTTATTTTAAAAACTCACTCACAGATGATGAAGGGTATTTGATAGATGGCTGGTATTGTCAGACCAACGATAATTCTTGAAACAGACCAAGACCAAAATTCTGGAGCCGCTGCTGTGCATATACTTCCGGCAATTAAAATAGCCAAACATAGAAAGAATGACTGCCTTCTGCCAAATCTAATAACAAGCCAAATCATTTTTTTAAAAATGAAGATGATAAACAGTTTTTATTTCATTACAGAAAGTTCAAAATTATTAAGTACCTGTCATTTATAACACCAAAGAGGTAAACCCCAACTGGACCTCCTGTATTGAGAGCAGCAAGTCCAATAGTAGGGTAGATATCTCTGTTACAAACCAAATCAAACTGAAACAAAATACATGAAAATTAACATAATCATGTATGCTGTTTATTTGTTTGTGAAACAGATGAAACAAAATACTCACATCAATGACTATGGAAGACTTTATTTCAGATGTGTCATACTCCCATCCATCTTGGCAGGGTTCAGTGGTCCAGGAAGAATTTGGTTCTAGCTCATATGGGGAGGTGTCTTTTAGTAATGACCTCCAATCAACAGAATATCGTTCACAACTGCTGTATGTTCCATTCAAACCATCCTTTAAAAAATAAATACCAATATTGGAAAATGCTTTTTTTTAAATTGTCTCTCTTTTTAATAAAAGGCAATGCAAAATCAAAACATCATGTCCAAGTCAGAGCTACATACTTTAGGGATGGAGAGCATTCTCCTGTGCTCTTGTGACATGTTTGGCAGTAGTCCTTCCAGCTCTAAATTTCTGCACCAGTGGGCAGGAGTGTCAGCCATGAACAATTGATTGAACGCGCAAAATCCACAGGGAATGCAGGCAGGCAGACACACGAACCAAAGCAGGATTTTTTGGTACCTTCCAAATTCTCCAATCTGAGGAAGGAGGTCATCCAAATCCATCTCCTAGAAAAATAAAAACCATGTGGCATTTATTTACGCGAATTTATGCTTGCAAAATGGACACTGCTCACTTGAACAGGTGCCCACTAAAAGGCTGCATTGAAAACATGAAAGCGGTAGCCGGTTACGGCTTCAGAAGAGAACGGGCCGCGAGGACCCTAAGAAGTAAATCGGATTTTAAACCCCTTAGCTCAAGGCGCCGCGGCAGGGGAACAGGGGATGGGGGCAACGACGAGGGGGAGAGGGGAAAAGGGGAGGGGGAGAGTGAAGGGCCGTAACTGGCCCTCTGCAGTCCGTATCTATTTCCCTCCACTCTCGCTGATGGAAGTCCCCTCACGTCGCGCAACGGCCCTTTAATTAGGTTAGATAAACTTCTCGACAGAGAGGGCACCACGTAAAATGTTACCATTTTCACAAAATTTGCAGCAACGAACCAGCTCTTTTTCAGACCCTCAGTGACCTCAAATGTACGACGGGTCGCAGTCGATTTTTATGATTGCCTTGGCCTCGGTTCAACAACGGGTGTTGGAACTGAGAAACGAGTACTGGGTCAAGATGCACACATTCACAGAGCTCCTGGCCGCGGAGTGCGGGATGGGATGCCGGACCCGCCGTGCTGAACTCGGACTCACCTTGCTTGGCTGCCTCTGGAGCACGAGTCGCCTGCGCTCCTCGTCCGACAGCCCCCGGCCCTGGAAGCCCTCATCGTGCTGGGGCTGCCGCTGCGTGCCACTGCCCTCCACGAGGGGCTCCTTCCCGGAGGCGGCGTGATCGGCGGCCTCGGCGTCGCTACCGTCGCCGTCGTCCGCCCCCGTCATGGTCAAGAAGGCCGCGGGGGCGTTGGCGCGAGGCTGGCGGCGCACGCCGTCCTACAGGCACGTCCCTCCCGCCAAGGCAGCCAGGCAGCGGGGCACGCCGGCACGCCACGCCAGGAAGCCGTCTAAGTGACGACGAGTCAGAGCGCGGGCGGCGCGGGCCTTCGGTAGTGCTCGGGGATCGACCACCCCGTCCGGCCTGCCCGTCACGGACATCATACGTGCCTTGACCCAAGCCGATCAAGCCGGGGCCGCGGACCCTCGCCCGTCCAACGCCTGCAAAGTGACACACAACACGTCACACACACGTCCTGCGCCCAATTCTCCGCCGACAGCCAGACCCATCCACCCCACCCCCACCGGGCCTTCCCTCCCCACCCACACCTTCACCGCTGGAGTGTGTTCGCCAGTCCCGCCTGGCTGGAGGCTGGACTGGAGGGACGCCAATTCCCATGGCTCTTTGGCTAAAGGAAGGCACGCTTACCAAGTGTTCACCTCAGTCATTTGTTACGGGTTAGTTTGCAGTGCATAGGTTCAATCAGGTCCAAGAAAATACCAATCTTCCCGAATGTATGAAAATGCTCATTTCTGGCATGAACTAAATGTCCCGGAATCGCTTCAAAATTTCCAGGGAAGAAAAAAAAAACAACAATTAAAGTTTTGATTATAATTTTAATGAATAGGGTACAGAACAGATCCTGATATCTATCCTTGTGCCACAGCCCTCAGCACTTTGGTAATAGTCACTGGAAATTTCATTTGCCCAAAACTGAACAAAATGCATAAATGGGATAAAACTGAGGACATCTACTGTTAATTCGCACCTACGTACAAATCAGAGAATATGTGGAAAGTAAAGGGAGAAACAGAGTTTCCTTTTCTAAAAATGAGAAGGGACGGGCAGGCATACCATTTTGATCAACTCTCAGTCATGGCACACAAGAAATACCTCTCACTCAAATCAGTTTAAAAAAATAACATGCTCTCAAAAACTTCACTTAGTTCATCAAGAATCAAAATGTTCTTCATTAACACATGAGAAGACTGAAGTGTATAACACTTTAAACATAAAAAACCAATCACACAAGTATGGCGTTCATTCACACAAAGAAAAAATAGACTCATTCGAAGACTCATTTATTGCTCATGCACACAAACACATACACACACTCAATCATACAAAAATCACTCATACAGAGTTTTCCATTGATACAATGCAAACAAGCATGCCTTTAGAAGATCTCCTGGACACTTCCACCAGCATGAATCTCTCACACATATACAAGGGACGCATGTTATCACACAGTCAGGTATAATGGAGGCGTCTGAGCAAGTTAAACCCAGCTTGAAGAGCCCGCCCCGCAAGCTGTTTACAATTATCCATTTAAAATAGGAACTCGGTTCCCAAGTTTTATCTGGACCGAAATATCAGTCAAGGCATTTCAAAATTTGAGAATTTTGTGCCAAAAGGCGCTCAGACACCTCCAAATCACAGTTACTTTTCTACTACACTTTCTACTCTTACAGGTATGTCAGGGTTAAGTCAACAAGTTTCACAGTGCAACTGTCAGCAGCTGCCTGCCAGCTGTCACCACCACAGGAATGGTAATTTGTAGCTTAGGACTATTCACCACATTCATTACAGTAGCACACACATTCACAATTAACTCCAGTTCTGTCAAAAACAAAACGAAATTTATGTTGTGCAAATAAAGATAGAAAAACGGGAAAAACAAACAATAAAAAAGGGTCCTAGTGGATGAAAATAACCCCAGCTTCAATTATTTTTTTTTAAATCTTGAGGCTTAATTTTGATGGATAGCCATGCAAGCACTTCACCAGGAAGAGAAAAATTGAACATGATTATGTTTGTTACAATACTGGCAAAGGAACATTGGAAGTACTGATTTGAGCTGAACTGACAAACATGGTACACTTCATCTTCTCAAAGAAGACGAATTCATCTAGGAAGTCAATGAGTAACAGACATTAAAGTTTTGAGATATTGTAAAATAACATCTTAACAGCTATAAATAACGGTGATACCCAAGGATAAAACAAACATTGCAGTTTCAAATCTCAGTTCTGCAACAGAATGCTCATTTTCAAATTCAGTACTGCTGGGAGAAACATCTACAGTTTAGAACCTCACAGGGACAGAGGAAAGGGGAATGTAGTCCACAGCACTAAATTGAAGCATGGTAACAAAAATGACCAGCAGATATGTGAGTTGCATAGCAACATTGCAATTTCCCCTGCACCTTTTACTGGCTGGGTGTTGCCATCTTAACACTATATTTCCTGAGATGAAATTGCATAACATTTAACTTAACCTGTTTGGTGCCAATTAAGGCGTTTAAAGAAAGTTCTCACATTCAAACACACACATATTGTCAATTTTTGAAGAAATGTCTTGTTTTTTTTTGGAAAATTTCTTCAAGTTAAAAAAAAAGAAAAAAAGCCACAGTCTTCAAGTAAAGTCTTGCAGTCCTTAGTCTTGAGTCCACTAAATTCACTCACGCATGCACACTTACAAGTGCGTCCCTCAGCCTTGCACACCTCAGTCACACTACACTTTACTTCTTGTAGTCACTGTACACACTGTTGCTATGAAGCACCAACTCTCACGGACACGTTCATTCACCCAGACGAGACTTCAGAGCATGGAGGGGTTGCAGTAAAGGTCAACCAAAAAGAGGATTATAATGAATGAGAGAAAGTGATTTTGCCCCATTGTCTTCTGGCTCGTTACTACGACCTACGATGCATCTGAAAAAGGAAAATGTCTTTGTGAGAACTCTAATTGTGAAATGACCCACAGTAGAAACGATTCATGTTTAAGAGAAAGATAAATTTTAGGATTAACCCAAGACATAAGTCCTCTTTTCAACAGCCCCAAATTAGAACTTTTGATTATCTACTCATCTAAGCCCAACAGAGGCATGAGTAACACAAGAGCAAAAACAAATGCAGCTTTAAGGGAATCCTGGTTATGACAACTGACTGCAGATCCTTCCCCAGAAGGAAATGTGAAAAATTTTAGGCATTGTTCAAAACGCAATTTGAAAAGTAAATCAAAGAAATGGTCACCTATGCCAAGACTAGGACCACACCACACAAACACTCTTGTCACTCAAACACACTTGAATCAAGCACACCCTTGCACACAAGCCAGTTTGTCTACAAATGTTACAATGTTAGGTCAGTGTAAAACTGGGAACTTGGTTAATTAGAAACTCTCAAAGGGAGCTCTATCCCATAAACCTGTGCATTTGGTTAAACTCAACGATTAACATTAACTCAACAGTCAAGATTACAGTAAGAAGGGTTTGGTGAAGCTACACTGAGGAAATTAAAGGAAACTCACAAAACTGATGAATATTAATACTTACCAGCTAGCAGCAGCAGCAGCCCTGAACTTGCGGATTTCCTTGGTAGCCCAAGACGCAAGAGTCTTAGTCTTGGTCACCTTGGATCTGCGAGCTGTGGTAAGCAGCTCATTTATTGGCTCAACATCTAGAAGGTGAAGAATTTTGACCCCAAATGCGTTGCACAAGTCACTGAGGGAGACAAACAAGAACAGAAAAGATTAATTATAGGGTTGTTGAGCAGGATAGGCAAAAGAAAAATATATGGTCAATGATTTTACATACCCTACAAGACCAGCACATGATGCAATACAACTATCTGAGTGTTGATTATCTTGAGCTACAACTACAATGAATTCAACAATGAATGGAACAGTGGGTTCCAGAATTAAAACATCAGGTGCGGGAGTTTCCAAGTCTCCTTTGAGCCCTTGAATGATGCCAGTGTAAGCTTCAAGTACTCCTTCTCGAAGCTCATTCAGCCACTCCACCAAATCATAATCAGACTGCAACATTAAAAATTAAATCAAACTAGGGCAAATTCTTTGGCCCATTCAAGTTTCTTAATTTTATGTTTTAAGAAGAAACTTACGGTGTCAACTGTTGCTTGAGATGCCTGAGAAAGTGTTTTGAGAACTACTTCTAAATATTTCTTAAACTCGGGGCCAATGCTCAAAGCAACATCTCCAAAAACAGAAAGGATTTGAGGCTTAACAGACCGATGGACATTGTTGTTCTGAAAAATACACGATACAATCAAGCAAAGAAATGATGACTGACCAACGTCAATGATGAGAGTAAGCAATACCAACCCCAAGGTTTTCCAAAAGAAGCATCATGATTTCATCACAATATGGTAAAACTTTTCCTTTCAAAGCCCGGCAAATATCTCCAGTTAGGCCAACAGCAGCTCCACACACCTGAAAGTAATGAAGATGAGTAAATTGAGTATTATCTGAAGACACTGAATTAGGGAATGAAATACTGAGACATACCTGGTGTTCTTGGTGGTTTTTGAGACCCATGCACAGGTAATGCTTGAAGGCATCCATGTATTTAAGGAATCCTTCACCGAGAACTTCAACCAGTGTGGATACAGCCATGAGAGCATCTTCTTGCACTCCCCCAGATCTGCATGTGTTGGATGCAAACATCTGGAGCAGTGCTGTCATAATGGCATCAGAAATCTGAGGAGCATCTTTGGGTGACACTTTACGCAGAACACTCTGAAGGGTAGCACAAAGTAAACTTTGAAGGTCGTTGTACTGAGCTCTATCATGGGTCTGTATGTGAGATTCCATTTGAAGGACTTGGTTCAAACGCTCCAGAATAACCATGGTTGTCTTCTGAACAGTAACATAACAGTCCTTAGGCGAGTTCTTAACCATCTCCATAAGTGCTTCATATGCAGCAGATCGCAAATTGGCCTACAAAATAAAAACACCCAAATAAATATGTACACCAAGCAAAACCACAAAAACAGGGGAAAAAAACGATTTCAAAATTCTACCTGAGCACCATCTGGTCGATCAGTAGTCTCTAACAACTGTTGGACAATAAATTCGAAGTACTGAGACAAACAGTAGGTTTCCGGGTTGGGTTCATCCGATCCATCAGCAGCTTCATAAGCAGCCTCTGCCAAGCCAGTGAAAGCCCAACACACATTAGCAGCAACTCTAGGCTCTGCTTTGAGACCATTAACAAAAGCTTCCAAAAGAGGCTTTAGGTAAGTCTCATTGATGGCAGCATCTGGAATAATCTCACAAACTCGGCCAAACGTCCAGGCAGCGGTGTCCCTCACAACAACACTGCTGTCATACATCAACTTTATGAGGGTGGGCATAGCTTGCTCTACCAGTGGCTTCAGGTTTGATGGATCCAGTCCACCAAGAATTGAGCCTGAAGAAAAAAAGAAATTAGAATCTCAACCCCACAAGATAAAATATTAACAGCTGTCATATTTAACATACCATAAGCCATAAGAGCAGCATCTCGGAAGCGCCAGTCTTCACTTGAAATGTTCTCCCTCACAAATGGCAAAACATGAGGGACAATATCATCCTCACAGCATGTGGCAAGAAGCATCAAGCACACACCTGCTGCTTTGCTGGGGTTCCAATCATCTTCATCATCAAACTCTTCCTAAAAGTTTAAAAATCAGAATAAATTTGAGTTACAAGAAATTAAGGGCAAGTGCATAATTAAACTGAATTCCACACTGAGCACCAACCTGTTTGGTAAGTTTCTGCATGAGCACAGGACACAGGAACTGCAGAGCTCCTTTAGCATAGAACTTAGAACAGCGGGTAGGAGGTCGGCCTGCTTCTACTGCTTCACTGTCTTCAATGGCCAAATCAACCTCTTCATCACTAACGTTCGACCAAAATTCAATGCCTTGCAATGCTACTTCATCATTATCACATTTCATTGCTTCAAGAGTAATCTGAAAAGTTAGAAAATCATGAAAAAGGTGCCACAGGTATATAGTAACAATCATGAAAAAAAGATAGTACTTACAGGAAATAGGGCTCGGCCCATGTAAGGTTCCATATATTGGTAGTAAAGGGACATAATTTTGACTAAACACTGCAAGGCTGCAACTCTAACTTGAATATCTGTTGACTGAGTTGCTTCACAAACCACTTCCATGATGTAGTTACGCTCCGACTAAGGAAAAATAAACATGATAGATTGATTCAACTACGCAGTACAGCCCAGTAATAATTTTAAGAAAGACAAAAATCCTTACTTCTTTGTCAAAGTTAGCCCGAGTGAACTCCAATGAGTTATGGAGAGCTGTTGTAGCAGCAAGACGGACATGATTGCTGGGCTCATTGGACCTCATGCCATGAATGATAGCAGTTAAAATCATATTAGATTGCTCTACCAAAACATCATGCTCCTAAAACCAAAAAAATTGTACATTGGTGAGCAAACAACCTTGAGAATAAAAAACACCCCTAATATCAGATTTTTAAAAGAACACTTACAATTTCTTGACAAATGTAACCAATTGCCTCCAAAGTGGCCTCTTTCATCATTTCCGTGCTAGTGCCTCCAATAACATTTTGAACCAACAAGGGTATTAATTCTTTCCATTGACCAGATGGCAATTCAGCAACAGCAATGTAGGCCACACACTGAGCAGCTGAACTGGGGCGGTTATTTTCAGTGCCAAGAGCACCAACAACCTATAACAGCAAACAGAGATTAGCAATGCACACTTGACCATTATTAACAGCAGGTAAGTTCAGACAGCTAGTTCCAACATTAGTCATACATTGTTTTTCACATATGTTCGAATATCCTCTGGGAAAGCCAGCCAGCGCTTTTGATGTTCTTCTTTGAGTTCCTGCACTTTTGATGTGAGGGTATTTTTGAAGTGAAGACCGGCGGCCATACGTGCCACTTGACTATTGCCTCCATGGTGCAGAATTTCGGAAAGGGATTTAACAAACTCCGGCTAGAAAAATAAGAGCCATTTTAATAGCAATAATTGATTTAAGACGAAGACACCAACTTGTCGTCACATCTGTAAATTGCATGGTGAAAATTCAGGTACTTGCCAGGTTTGTTGCCGCTGCCCCATGCAAAAACTGTTCTGCTTGTTCTCGCTCATCTTTATCTGAAAAGAGATATCATCGTGATTAGAACACAAACTACAGCAGAAAGCACAGGACATACTAGACCTCAGGTACAGGACCCAAACTGACACTTAAATTCCCACCTAGAGGGTCTGAGTCGTCTTATTTCCAAGAACGGCAAGGGCCAGTTTGGAATGGACCGAAATGACTGGAGGTTGCCTATGGCAATGACAATGGCGCACTACCACGAACGGATTAGGTTAGGTCACGAATCGATCCTTGCCCAGGATACCCGTCCTGCTTTGATCGGGCTGTCTGGGGCAAACGCGTCTCGCAGATCGAGACGGAGACACCGAGTTTGACGGGCCGAACGCCTCCAGGAGAGGGAACGTGCCACAAAGAGAGAATCATGGCGGAGCCAAGGACCCGCGCTGCCCGAGGGAGGTTAGAAACTTGTCCGGAGGGGAACACCGCCGAAAGACACGGCGCGAGAAACACGGCTTCACGGCGAAACGACGCGACGAAAGTCAAGCTCGCCATTGCAGAACAAAGCGTGCAACTGGTAAAGAAACTGTCCAAAATTTCCCCGCGAAAATGCCGATACCGATAACCGTTATACATTGGGAGGCATGACATCAGCGTCTGTTTACAGCCAGCAAAATGCAGACAACAGTAATAGGGCCAAAAAAATTGCACTGGCGAATTTGCTACATCAAACGGCACATTTAGACAGTACATAGAGAGTAAATAGGAGAATCAATGGGCCATTTAGGTTGCTTAGGCTTAGCCCCTGGACCACGTTCATTGTTCCCGTCGACACTCTTTCCCAGCGAATTTCCAACAAGTTGACGCCATCCAAGTACTCACCAGCAGAGACCGTCTTCTCCAATATTTGGGTCAGATGAAGTGTTGCGTCGGGATTCATTTTCGCTGTTATTAGATTTCTACGAAATTTCTACAATGATCTACCACTAACCGGCTATCGGCCATATGCTTTCTGAAAACTATGTATTCATGCACTCCCTTTTGAACTTCGTTTGGGTCGGAAAGTTCAAACTGTCTCGGCAGGTGGTGGCGGTACCGCGTCCGTGCGTCCTGTGCGTGCCCGAGCGTTAAAAAGGTTAAATAAAACAAGGTCTGCGTCAAATCCGGAAGACACAACCACACAGACCGCTCAATTAGGGCACTATTTCGTGTCGCGGACGGAGAGGGCGCACGCTGGTGACTAACGCTCACCGGTCCACCCGCCAATACTGAGCTTCGCCGTTTGTCCCACAGATGGCGCGGCGCGCGCGCAGGCTGCGGGCCTAGAGGCTCTCGAGTCGGAGTATCGTAGGTCAGCGCGCCGCGCCGCGCCGCGCCGAGGGAGAGGTGCGCGTCGAAGGGGTTGCCTGCCGTCGGGCGTCTCTGACGTTCGTTTCCAGCGCATGCCACACCCACGCTCATGCAAGTAACTGTTCCGCCGATTGAGATGTGGGTCAAAACAGCGCGCAATCCCTGAGATTTTGCAGCCTGGTATCATCGTTAACACAGTGCATCAAGTAAGCAGGAGGTGTCGGATATGCGACGCGGAAGATGCTTCAGGGAATGACCACGGTTGCGCGCTGGTCGGAAGGCTTTCGAAAGTAGTAGAAGAATGTAACGCGATGTAAAGTTCTTTATTGTATAACAAGAGTCCAAAGAGTCACAAATATACGTGCAGGAGAATTCACACAAGTACAGCAAAACTATACAAAACAAAGTGATGGGGAAGTCAGCGTTAGCATAAGTTTCTGTACACAAGGAATACTAATACACAGATTTACTCTCTACATTTTCATGCTTCGTTTTTATTTAAAAAAGAGAAAGAGGGGGCGATTGGGAAAGGTCTCTTCCCCTCACAAAGTGGCTAGATGTAAAGATAAGAACTCACATTTATCTTCAACAACACACAATACAGTACACTGTGTGAAATGAAGGCAGAGATCTTTGGTATTGCAAACAGGGTCAAACATAGTCATATCCGCAAGTTTGGAAATATCACAAATCACAAGAAAGTTTGCCACACGAATATTACGAGGACAATAAATCGTCACTCCAGGCTTCCTCGTCATAACATTCGCCGCACCTTTATACAGATTATGTACAAAGCGAACGATTCTTAAAATAATTAAACACAGCAGAACCAATACATCTATTGGAACAGGTACGAAAGACATTTTATACTTTTAGAAACTTAAAATCGGAAATGGTACAATTTGCTAGAAGTTTATATTCTGCATTCAAATAAATATTAATACAATTACCAACGACGTTTACGAAGTGACTAATCTTTGCAAACATAAAAACATAAAGACAGACTACATAAGAAGAGAGATAATTCAATCCGATCATATAACATCAATTCTGCAGAAAATTTGTACTCCCGGAGACAGGCACAACACAAAATAAGTAAATGTCATGGATAGATCATTGCAGAAATTTCGTGATATGTCTACAGTTTGTTTAAAAGCTTATCCACAGGGCCAAGATACATGGAAACCAAGGAAAACGGAATCATCACGAAAACATCGCGCGTGACTTGTCACACACGACACTCTACCGAGACTGACGCGATTGAGACAATTTTGTTTTCATTGGGTGATAAAGGTTGTAGCCAATGCAATACTCTCACAACGATGGCGCCTAAGTGCAAAAATCAAATTATTACATCTTAATTATTTTTTTTTTTCCAAAAAGCCTAATTGGGTGAGTTGTCACAGTTATAGAATACAGGGGAAAGGATAATGTATGCATCGTGAGATTATTACAACTACTGAATAGATTCCACTATAAAAATACAATGTATAAACTGGTTCAATTGTATAAAATAGCTACAGAAGAAGCCTCTAGCGAACACAAATCGCGGAAGATAGGAAGATTTCAGGTCATTCCATGACAATGGCCGTGGAGTATTAGGATGAAAAGGAAACTTAAACATAACACTGTCTTACGATAAAGAAGACATCAATAAGTTAAAATCCCGACGTCTGTTCAACATGCTACGCATTTCCTTCAAGGATACACAACGAACCACGAAACATTAATTTATTTAATGCTGTAAAAATACTGTAGTTTATGTAAGAATGTTTACTGTTAGCTTCGAGGAGCCATTTTTGTTGAAGTTGGGTTAACGCTCCCTTAACTTACTTTGGATTGCTCACAACTTACTTAATTTACACAACACTGTTATCGAGGAAGGGGAAGGGCGGGCACAACGTGAATAGGTCACTGCGGGTTCACGGTAAAGGGTTCGTTCGCATCCCTTCAGTCTCATCAAACAATCACACTCAAACCGATTTTACTAGAAACAACATTATGCTTAAAAGTACGGTAACTTATTTTTAAGTGAAAAAAAGTTAGGGAACCTCCGAGGATAGAAAGTGTCACTTCTTCAAAACAACGAGAGTGCGACCGACCGGTGCGGTCCGGTGTAGTGGGAGCATCCCTGTGCCCCCAGTCCCTCCGACAGCACCCATGCGCACCGCACCGCCGGCCGGCCAGCCGCACTCGCCAAAGGGATCGTGCACAGGTTTTCGTTCAAAGTTGTGTCCGGAGACGGAAACGAAACGATACCCAAGAAAGTGTTACCTCCGGCGGCGTCGCGCGGTCACGGGTCGTCACGCCAGTGCGTCACGCGTCGTCACGCGTCGTCACGTCGCCGTGCGAGGACCACAAAACCTCTCCTTGTGCATGCTTCATTCAATTTGGTATCACAATCTGTTCCACTCTTACCTTAGCAGTCTCAATCTCAATCTGGGAAATGAAGGATATAACGTAGAAAAAATATTGGGGTGGGAGTGGGGGAGTAAGGGAGGGAATGCTGACCGCGGTGCAGGCGTTCCTGCCGCGGTCGGCCAAGCCTTGGGCCAAGCCTTGGGGCAAGCACGGGGTCGGACAAGAAGCTACCGCGTGAAGATTCGATGCCTACACTACGGCCACCTTGTGGCGTTAGTAGCAAATACGAGAAAAATGAGACACATGTCCGGAAACAGGGAAACTCGAGGCTGAGGTGCCCTTGGCCGGGGTGAAGAAAATCCGGTGACAGAATTTGCAGACCCCGCAAGAGCACTGTCGGCAGCACCTAGGGGGCCACCACCTGGGAGGCGGATGAACTACAACGGGCTAACGAGAAGTACACTAGCATTCTAACCTGACCCGAAGCGGACCGGCCCTCTCGCCGCGGGACGTTTGCAGGCGACTCACTGTTCTCGCCGATGCTTTAAATTTTTGTGCGGCTCGGCTGGACTTGGGCGAAACGGACAAGGCTGTGCGATTGTAACGAACTGAATGAACAGAATTGTGACGGTGAGCGCCGCGAAACGACCCGCGGGGCGGAGGAGGGCGGGACGCGCTTGGAGGAGGAACGACAGACACGTCAAATGGAAGTCTTACAGTAGCGCTGCATGAGAGAGATCCGAGTTGCTACGGGCGCGGAGGGGCGCTACGACTTGAACCACCTCAGAAGGGAAACGGCAGAGTAACGACTTACTCGTCGTTCTAAGTCTCTAGAGACGGACGGCGGCCAAGCGTAACGTTAGTCTAACGGGGCCTAGAAGGGCAGGCTGGCCACGAACATGTTCTCGATGAGGGGCGGCGCGGGCACCAGGTCCTCGAGCTTGAGGTAGAAGATGCGCTGCAGGCCCTGCACGCTGAGCGACCGCAGCTCGGGCAGCTTGCCCAGCAGTCTGGACAGGTAGTGGTCCTTCTTCTGCGCCTCCGCGTTGTACGTCACGTGGTCCTTGAGGGAGCTGATGATCTTCATCTGCAGCTGCTCCACCTTGTGCGGCTCCTTCAGGCCGTGGCGTTCTGCAACGAGAGCGAGAGGGACGGCGTGAGACCAGCGCCTGCAGCGGCACGGCGTAGGCAGTCCCGCCACGCAGACGCGCGTCCGGGACGGCCTAGCGCCACGGCGTCCTGCGCGGCGACCTTAAGGCTTACCTGTGATGAGGGTGAGCGCGCACAGGCAGGCGAAGGCCGAGATGTCCACCTCCAGGTTGTGCAGGGATTGGCAGAAGTCGAGGATGGCCAGCAGCCAGTCGCCGAAGCTGCGGTGGCACTGCTGCTTGTCCAGCACCACGCCGTTGCAGAACGTCAGTTTGGTGTCCTCGGCCCGGGTTCTGCGGGGCAAGCCGGTTCATGAGCGGAGGGACAGGACAAACACTGGCGGGCTTACGGTGCAGGGCGCGACGTACCGGTACGCCAGGCGGAGGACGAACAGCTCCAGGGACGCGGACTGGAACAGGAGGTCCTGGTCCTCCCGACAGAGGTCGCCGAAGCCGGGGATCTTCTCGGCGAAGTGCCGTATCACGTCCACGCAGGTGGTGAGCAGCCGGTAGAACTGCTGGATCTTCTCGGCCTCGGACACCAGCTCGTCGGCCGGGGTGGGGCCCGCGCTCTGGTACTGGAACGGCGACGTCACCTGCGAACCCACGCCGTTAGAAGGGCGCCTCCGCACGTTTTCGTCGTTCTGTCTCTCACTCAAGGCGCGCGGGGCAAGGGCGGCAAGGGTGCGAGAGAGACGCGACGTACCTGCGAGTAGTCGAGGTTGGCGAGGTCCGGCGTCGTGTCCACGTGCGCCCGGACGAGCGCCGTGATGAGGGAGACGGGCGGGCTGGGCGGCGACTCCTGGGGGGACTTGGGCTTGGAGGGCAGGCGACCGCGTCGGCCCTTCAGCGAGTCGGTCCGCACCACCTAGAGGGAGAGCGAGAGAGACAAAGGGGTTAAAATAACGGTGACTTCGGGCCGCTTCGGCTCGGCCGGCCTGCTTCGGATCCCCGCTTCGGTTGTCACCGCCACAATTGTCCGCTTACGCAAAACGCGCAAAGCGACGCGGAGCGGCTCGACTAGCTCCACTAGCGCGGCTGTCTGGGCCCATCCCTCACCTCACCTCAGGCGGGGCGGGGCGGGGCGCCCCGGCCTTACGCAATGCGTGTCCCGGGCCACTCCCGGCCACTCGGGCGGCCCAAAGAAGGCCGTTATCTAATATGGTGACAGTTTCGCGGCGAGGACACCGTCGCAGCTTCCTCCCGGTATATTCCAGTAAAAATAAAACACCGATCGGCCCGGCGTTTCGGATTCCCTTCCCGACTTTTTTCCGGACTTTGTGAGTGAGGGGGAAAGCCGCGGCCGGACAAAGCCGAGCCAAGTGACGTTCGACGAGCCGTCGAGAGCGACGGGGAAAATAACTCGGTCGCGCAGTCCTTTGTGCGCGGTGAAGCGCCTTGGTCCCCACGGTGCCTCCGGTTCCCTCCAGGAACAGGCACTCGACGGCGCCGAGTGGGCCCCGGCGCCAGGCCGGCCCCGCCCGCGCGGCGGTGGCGGCAGCACACTCACCTCTTTCACCATGCCGACGGCGAGGCACTTCTGGAAGCGGCAGAACTGGCACCGGTTCCGCCGCCGCTTGTCCACGGGGCAGGCCTTGTCCGCCAGGCACACGTACTTGGAGCCCTTCTGGACGGTGCGCTTGAAGAAGCCCTTGCAGCCCTCGCACGTCCGCACGCCGTAGTGCTGGCACGCCGCCGTGTCCCCGCACACCGCGCACAGCGTGGACGGCGAGTGCGGCGTCTGGCCGGGGCCGCCCTGGGGGCCGCCCTGGGCCGACCCTGCCCCCGGACCAGCGGGGTTCGCGGGCCGCACCTGCGGGCACAACGCGCCGTCAGCACCAGCAGCAACAACGAGGAAAACAACAACAATAGCGCCCTTACCTGGTGGGGCACTCCGTGGTGGGACAGCGCGTGGCCCTCGCAGCCGGGCGAGGACGACGCCGAGGACGTGGCGGAGGGCGCGGGGCCGGAGCCGAGGCCGAGCCGGAGCTTGGGGGACTCACAGGACCTGCACGCGTGAGGAAGCACACGTAAGTTGACGGTGTTCACGCAGTAGGACACTCCACTGTCGGTGCTGCTGCACTCACCCGGTGGAGTCGGAGCGCTGCAGCGGCAGGGAGGCCCGCCTTTGCCGGGGGGTGAGCGCCGTGGTGGCCACGCTGGGGAAGGGTGGCAGCGAGTACGTGTCCATGTGGGGACTCGAGCTGGGCAGCGCGCTGGGCAGGGTGCTGGGCAGTGAGCTGGGCGCCCCCAGCGGGCCTGGCTGCTCGTACGACTGCGGGTGCGGCTGGGGGTGCGTCTGCGGGTGTTGCGCGGCGGGCTGGGGCGCGGCGCTGGGCTGGTAGTACAGGCCGTAGTGCTGCTGGTGGAGCTGCCACGACTCGTAGTGCTGCTGCTGCTGCTGTTGCTGCTGCTGGGGGTGGGGGTGGGCCTGCGGCTGGGGGTGGTGATAGGACGGCACGGAGTAGCAGTCCTCGGCCTCCATCTTGAAGTCCAGCTGGCTCAGGTCCGAGGACGGCGACGGCGAGCAGGTGGCGGACGTCCGGCCCGTGTACAGCCTCCCGGAGTACGAGTCCGCCACGGCGGGCACGCCCGCGAAGGTCTGGGAGGAGAGCGGCAAAGTTCAAGTTGCGGATTCGTTTGAATTTTACGGAGGGGCAACATGGGTAAGTTGGTGGTACCTGGAAGCTGGGCAGGGGCGCGCACGAGTCGTCGCCGTGGTGGTGCTGGTGTTGCTGGTGGTCCAGGTGGCCGGGGCCCTGTCCGGCCTGGCTCTGCGCGGCCGAGGCGAACACGTCGGGGAACGGGTCCAGTTCCTCGGGCAGCCCGCCGGCGGGGTCCTCGGCGTAGGGCGCCGAGAGGAGGTCTGCGAAACTGCTCGAGCCGAAGGACGACTGCAACAGAGAGAGGCGAGGGCCCTTGAGTCTCTCCAGTCTCGCCGCGCCGCTAGACAAACCGCCGACGCCCTCCGACGACGCCGACGCCCTGCTCTCGCTCCGTGACGCCCGCGTCGCCGCGTCGCCGCGTTGCGTGTCTCTTGTCGGCGTCGCCGCGGCCGCCGCCTCGGGGGTCTCGGCCGCGCCACGGCTTCGCGTTTACGAGCGCCACCGGAAAATAAAAGGAAGACTCTGCCGGAGGGTCGCCGACGCGGTGCTCGCTTTGAGGGTTCGCCGCGGCTTCATTCAAGAGCGGCGCGGTCTCGACCGTCATTCCGCTCGCCGGCCATTAAGCTCGCCTCACGCCCCCGCGGAAAGGCCGCGGGTTCGAATCCCGCGCCCGGCGTCTTTTTTATCCTTTTCCGGTCCAAAGTCCGTCGTACCGCCTGCGCACGAGTGGTCGGCCCTCACGACGACGGCCTCGGCGACGGCCTCGGCGACGGTCGCCACCGTCCGCGGCACCACATCGATGAGCACCGCGACGTGGCTCGGCGGCCACGATAGCGCGGCCCGCGCTCTAGAGTCCAGCCCCCCAGGAGCTCCAGCCTGTGACGGCCTGCGAGGTCAGACTGCAACTGGCGACCGCGGCACGCAGCCCCCAGGGCCGCCCCCGGGGCCCCGTCGGGGCAGCACGACGGACACCACGGCCCCCACCTCCCCCGCCTCGCCCCTGGCCAGCAAACCGCATCCCCGTCTAGCTTCAACGCCAAGACAAGGGTTGAAAAAAATCTCGCTCCAATTTAAAAAAAAATGCAAGTAAAGAAGCGCAATGCAAAGCGGATGAAATGAGGAAAAAATGAAGTGGAGAAGAAACGCAAAAGGGTGGAAGCGCTTCCGGCGGGCCAGACAAGCCGGGCGGCGGGCAGGGGGAGGGGCGGGGGCGCGCATTAAGAAATCAGCGCCGTGATTACCGCAGCCTGATGGAAAATGAATGGCCTGCTTCCTCCCCAACCCGTTGCCGGCCACCGCCTGTCTCTCTCGCACCCACGGGGCGACCCACAGGGGTGCGAGAGAGACAGGGCGACGCAGCGACGCAGCCTGCAGGCCGAAAAGAGTCGACTTTGTGGCGGCGCCGGCAACGCCTTCCCCCTTTCTTTTTCGTGGGGATGATTTGCTTCCTATCCCCCCCTTTTTCTCGGTGATTGCACGATGCTTTCTTAAAACGTTTCCGTTGTTTCCCTTCCGACGCCACTGTAAAAAGACAGCCCGCCGGTGTGCTCGCGGCTCAGGGACGACCCATGCAGACGCCGAGCCTGTGGGCCCCACGATTCGCACAGCCCCTCCAAACTACCCCTCGTGGAACGAACTCGGAACCGATCCCAACGATACCCCGCGCCGATGCTTTTCCCTCAGCTCGTGGGGGACCGGCAGAGTCATGAGCCAGAGCGTGCCGCAAGGCCACAAGGATTAGGAGGGAAACGTGACAGAGCGTGACAGAGCGTGGCAGAGAGCGTGACCGTGGCGGAGGGCGGTGCGTCGAGAGTGGACGAGAGGCGTCGCTCGCTGCGCGGGCCCCGCCAGCCCCGCCAGCCAATGGTAGCCTACGGCGTGCCGCGGCGTGCCACGGCGTGGCGGCAGCCGACCGCACCAGGCCGCGCCGCCCTCCCCCCTTCCTCCCCCTGGCCCGCCCCTCCCCGGCGAGCGCCGCGACGGCGCCGCCGCATTGGCCGAGCCAGGCCGAGCGCGCCTGCCTGCTGCGGCAGTGCTGCGCGGCCGCCTTGGGCCGGGGGGCGCCGCGGCGCTGTGACGGCGCGGCGCTCCACCCGGGACCCCTCCCCTCCACTCCCTTCCACTCCCCTGCCGCCGGCGCCGCCGCGGGCACAGCAACATGGCACCAGCCCTGCCGCCAAAAAGAATTTAGGCCCGTCAGTACCCCACGCGCAAACCGGGAGCGGGTCTGCGCGCCGCTACCCCAACCAACCCGTCAGGACTGAAGGCACCCGATGACAACCCACGCCCCAGTTACTCCACGACGCGCGTGGAGTAGCGACGGCGTCGCTATTTCGCTGCTTTTGCTGGCTTATACGTACGCGGAATACTCTTTGGCCTGACAGAGTTTCACTTTGTAAAGTTGTCGACTCGGCGGGCGGGAGGTCGGGAGACCGCCTGCGTGTTTTGAGGCGACACTTTAGAGCCTTCGTGACGGGCAGCGGGCTGTACAGTGTGCGGGCTGCAGGCTGCACTCGGCAGTGCAGGCGACAGGGCAGGCCCCGCGGCGGGACGCCTAGATGTGTCTCACCTCTCACTCGTCTCGCTCTCTCACCGCGAGGCGGACATGACAGACACGCCGACAGAGAGTCCCCTCAAAGCCGCCGGCCGCGCGACCACCTTTGGCGGCACCGGCGGGCCGCTCTGTCTCTCTCCCGCACCCAGGCCACCTCAGGCGTGCGAGAGAGACAGAGCGACAAAACAGGCCGCGGCACCGCGGCATGGAGGCGAATCTGACGGCGATGAGTCAGGACCGCGGGATGCGGGTTCAAATACCGACCTCCCGTTTTATTCTCCTCGCCATGAGAACCGCCGCCCCGTGACGTCATCGCGCGGAGCACTTCCCGCAGTGCCAACACGACCCTCGTCGTCCTCGTCGTCGCGAGGATTCCGATTTCCAGTGTAACACCGCTAATGACTCGACCGAGTCCGGAGTGCCGAAGCGTCGGTCTCTCTCGCACTCGCGGGGCGTGGAGCACAGGTGCGAGAGACGGAGCTGGCTGAATCAGACAGGTCGGGCGCCTCCTCGAGGAGTCCTCGACGCGCATTCGCGCATTGCGATTGCCAGTGCGGTGCACGATGGTGAGTATCACCTGACGCCGCTGCCGACTCATTCCACCGCCTGTCTCTCTCGCACTCGCGGGGCGTCCCGCGTGGGTGCGAGGGAGACAGCGCACCTCAGCCCGCTGCTGCTCGATGGCTGCCTGGCGCCGGGCCAGCGCCGTAACGCCCCGAGTCGGCGAGCCGCCGAGCCGCCAGGCAACGCAGCGCGCTCTACCCCCTTAGCGTTCCCCCAAACCGCAGCACGGCACGGCACGGCACGGCCGGCACGGCACGGCGCGCGGCAGGGCCGACGACGACGCCACGCTTGGCGGACGACACAGAAAGGGAGGCCCTCCCGAAAGGTCAGCCCCGCCACCCCCTCCCCCTTTCACGAATCGGCCATGCCGCCACGACGGAGGGCCGCGGGGCCGAAGGGACGTTGGGCCTGCCTGCCAGCGGCCCGCCCAAAGCGCCCAGGGCCTGCTTGCCCAGGGCAGACACTTTGACGGGCCCTCCAGCTTTTGCGCGATTTCGGAGTCAATCAATGATGAGACAGGCGTTCCGACTGGGACAGCGCGGGCGCACACACAAACACGCACACACACACGCACGCGCGCGTATGTGTGTCGAGTAGCAGAGGGAAGGACAGACAGACAGACGACAGACACACTGACTGACGGACAGACTGACAGACAGAAGAGGCCCTAATGAGTCGGGTGCGTTCAGAAACTCGTTCCGCGGGCGGTCGGTACGGTGGCGACGCGGCACATACGCAGTCTGCAGGCCTCCTGGCGACCGGAGACAAAAAGATTCCCGAGTCACTTACGCACTCTATAAAGCCGCTGACTCGCCGGCCACCCCGACACGCATGCATGCGCATGCGCCACAAAGTCACGGCCCCACTACTCATTCATGATCTCGCAGTCACTCGCAGTGGCGTGGCGTGCCTGGCGCGGCGACACGCATCGCTCCGCCACCCACGCCTCCGCTTCATTTTCCCGCCAAAAGACGCCGCGCCACGCCCCGGCAATCGCGTTTGTTTACACGATATCATAATAGCGTTTGATTTAATAACTCGTGTGCCTCCCTCTCCCCTCCCCCTTCCCCTCGCCGTGCGGCCCTGGGGACCCTCCCCCTCCCTCCCCAAACCGCCGGCGGAAACTTTATTGTTAAATTGTTAGCGCGGTGTTGGGTTACACTTGTCACGCGGCTCGGCGCGGCACGGCGTGGCTTTTTATTGCCGCGTCGTGTCCCGCCTCCAGGCCTCCAGGCTCCGGAGGAAGGACTCCAGACGACTCCCGAGGGTGGCGTCCGGGGGAGGTCAGAGACCAGTCGGCAGAGCGCGGCGGCGCAGTCCGCGGCGCAGTCCGCCCTCGGCGAGGACCGACGTCGCTCCGGACGCGGCCCGACAGAACACACCTGGCGAAGTGCGCCCGGCTGGCCCGCCCTGCCCGGCCTGCCTTGCCGCGAGGGGGTCGTTGTCTTCGCGACGGATTTACATCGATGTTCGCCGCCCCTGAGCCTCCGCCTGGCTGGGCGGCCGCGCCGCATGGCCGATGGCATGGCGCAGCTACCACGTGCGAAACGGTGACCGAAACTCTGCCTTTTTGCGGGGACTGTGCCGCCTCTCTCGCACCCTGGCGCGACGCGCCGTCAGTGCGAGGGAGACAAGAACGCGGCTGTTTTGGAAGCAGCCGCCGGATGTCCTGAACAGCGCCACACTGCCTCCAATCTGGAGAGGAGTCCTCACCCCTATCGCGCAGAGCGGAGAGAGGGGGGGGGATGTGTATAATCATTTGATTCGGCGCGCCTTCTGGTAATCCGATCGCGGCAGCCACAATCTGCCACCGACGAGGGGGAGCCTAACCTAGGGGAACCTGTCCGTAAACACGCTTAATCTCCGTCTTGATTTGGCCACCCTCCTCATCACCGCCGCGCCGCCCGATCTGTCGCCAGGACGCTCAGGACAATAAATTATCACTCTCTTGAGATTCGAACCCCGGACCCCGCCGCCACCCCTCCCCGTCTTGGCACCGTCGCGAAAAAAAACAAAACAACAATAACAACAAAATATCTCTAAAATTTTGACAACTCGCCGGGATAAATATTCATGTGACGTCCAAACTAATTGAAATTTTTCAACGAAAAGGTTGGAAAGAGGACAAATTTTCGACCGGCTGTGGCCAACAGGGGTCGCAGGGAAAGCGCGCGAACGGACGCGTGTGACCGGGCCGTGACGATTCGAGACTATCGAGTGACGACTCGAGTGACGAGGACGTGACGGACGGGCAAGGACATCGCGTGTGACGGCGTGTGCGACTGACGCGCCGTGCGCCGCACGCCACCAAGCACGCCGCCAAGCACGCCACACGCCACGCGGTCGCACGCGACACATCAAACCCCAATCCGGCGGGAAGGGAGACGCGAGGGGGGCGCACGGCGGCGCTCGCGAGGCGCTCGCCACGCGAGACGGCCACCGCCTCTCCGCCGCCAAAAGGGACCGAATTAAACCAACAAAAAAAAGCATCATTGGAAGCAAAATTAATTTTCAGTCTCAATTTTTTTTTCATAAGAAAAAAAGCTAGAATGGAAATTTTTAGAGTGTTTGAGAAATCACCTAACCTCCGAATATTTTAAGGTTTTGATGCAAAGACTAGCGAAGACATTGGCTTGTACCGGCTGAAGCCCTACAGTGCAGCCACGCCGACCACGCCCCTTATGATGCAATTCGTTTATTAACCCGCGCCTTCTCGGAACCAGCGGCGCGGCGCAGGTGTCATGGCAACGAGAACGAAGATGGAGAGAGAGAGAGAGAGAGAGGGAGAAAGAGAAGCGGAAGCGAAAGAAGCCGACATGAATTGATACGTCTCATGACATACGGACGGCAGTCGGACGGCACGGCGGTGGCTAAACAATGCGCCATCACACCGTATTGGTCCTCCCCGATGCCGATAGCTGTAATTTAGTTTGGAGCGGCGGCGCGGCGCGGCTCAAGGCACAGAAAACACCATAAGCAGGCCGGCCCGCTGCCTCGCTCCGTCTCTCTCGCACTCTCTCGCCCGGCCGCGGCGGCCGCGCGCTCCGAATTGTAGGACTCGTCCTAACGACAGCCGGCCATCGACTCGGTGTGAGAAACGCTTACCCGCAGCGCCACGCCCGCCACTTACGGCGGAAAACCAACACGCGGATGCACTCGCCGGGCATCGCCGGGCTCCAATCTGACCGGTGGTCGGTCGCACTCGCGGACGGCGTTTTCGGAACGAACCCGTCGAGCTTTTACTCACTTTTTATGTTACTAACTGTTTGAAAAAATTCGAGAAAAAAAAATTACTGTTTCAATTTCAATAAAATCATCTCCTCTTTCATTCTAGCACTTGTAGCAAAATGGACCAAATTTGACCCGATTTCGAGCTTCGATTTCTCGCGGGTGCGTTCGAGAGGCCCGCCTGCCGCATCTTCCAGCCCTCCACTAATGAGGCTGCGTCCGAAGAGGGACGCATAATGCAGGCATTGATCAGCCCGCCGGACTGCCGGACGCACGTCAATTTGCGGCGCGGGGCCGCGCAGGGCTGCCAACCTCGACTTATGCTCGCGCCAAATTTCCCCGCGTCCATAAACCACGCGGTTTCCCAGGGCGCAGTAGGCTGATTCCGAGAGTCGCTCTGTCTCTCTCGCACTCACGGGGCGTCCCGAGTGGGTGTGAGAGAGACAGAGCGACGAAAACGACTGCAGTGGGCACACTGACCGCGCTTTCCATGCTAAACGCGCGCCAGGGCACGAGGGTTGGCTCACCTGTGTCTGCAGGAGCAGCATACTTGAAGAGACGGTGAACGGTATGGAACCGGCGGAGACACACGACAAATCGTTGGAGCCGCTCAGGTCCTTGGTGGAGGCGTCAGGGCCTGCAGGAACAGAGGATCGCACTTTAGTGGCGGCGAGTGTTGCAGTGTAGGCAGCGCGCTTCGGCAGCCGGTCGCGCGTTCAGGTCTCCGTCGCTCCGTCTCCCGCGGCGAGGCAGAGAAGGCGAAGAAGCCCCGCATGAAGAAAGCATGTTGCGGCATTTTCCGCAGCGACTCTGGAGACAGACAGGAAAAGTGGGTTCGGGAGGTTCGGCACTCCGAGCATCACCACCGCCCCGCCCCGCCCCGCCCCGCCCAGGTCACCGAAAACAGAAGGGCATAACTCACGGACGTCGCCGGGCCAGGACGGGCGGGGACGGGCCGCCTCGACGCGGCGGAACTGGTTTCTGCGTAACCCAACGAGAGTGAATCAAGGCAGGGAAGGCCCGAGTGCCTTCGGCTTCGGCGTGCTTCGGCCGCTGCGTTCGGGTGTCCTCGCGGTCCTCGGCCCGCGTCGCCGGCCGCCTCGACGGACCGACCGAAGACGCGCGGTCCGGATGACTTGCACCTCGACGCCGCAGGCCGCGGAGCAGCCAAGCGGCGGGGGTCACGGAGGAGGCACGCATTTCTCTAGCCGGGACAGGCGGGGCTGGCGGGGCTGGCAGCCAGGCTGCGAGCCGGCCAGGCCGGGGACGGTCGGTACTGTAATGGCGGTACCCTGACGGTGCCCTCGCGGTACCGGTTTGGCGCACAGGTACCAATCGTACAGGGCGGCTCCGCGCCGCTCCACGCGGCACCGATGCCAAGATTAGGGTGGCAGCACTGCCGGCACTGCACTGCCGGCACTGCACCGGGAGTGCAGAGAGGCACTCGCCGAGAAGAGGCGCGCAATTTGGCCGCGAAGGCGGTGGCCGGGAAAAAGGGATGGAAGGCACGCAAATCAGTCAAAATCCGAGGGGGTATTCAGAGAAACAGAAGCGGGGAAAAGTCGTTTTCTCTTGTAAGCGCTTCAGCGCAGTAAAATAAAAGAAGGAAAAAATAAGAAATTTTGAACGAAACTTCAAGGGACTAAACTCATTTTTCCCAAAAACTAAACCACAGTAACTGTAGAAACAAACAAGAGCCTTAGCACGCTAAGTCCCGTGAGGCGTACGCTAAGGAGCACTACGAACCGAGCATGTCCTCGTTGACGGCGCACAACATGTCCTGCTGCTGGGGGTGCGACAGCCGCACTGGCCGCCAAGCCTCCGTCCTCGGCGGGCCGGGCGCCAAAGTGATGCGACTTTGGATATTAAAATATAGCGGAGGCGGCGGAGGGGTGGGGCGAACGCCAGGGCGAACGCCAGCGCGAACGCCAGCGGGGGTGGCCGGGCAGGGGAGGGGCTAGTGGAGGCTAGTGGCTCCCCGGGGACAATATGCAGTAAAGAGGGGGGACGCTCTACACAACAATGGCATGCCGCGGCATGGGCAGGCATGGGCAGGGGTGGCTCGCTGCACCTGGCCGTGGAACTCCGTGTAGGCGGCCGCGTTTAGGGCCGATTCGACAAGAAATATGCCCGTCGCTGCCTTCCCGCCAAAAATTTACCCTCCGAGTATCGAATATCTAAAAAATTAAATCATAGAATAATGGAATAAACAAAATCAGAAAAATTAGTTAGCAAGGCTTAAGGCCGCAGAGCAGCGATGCTCCACCGCGATATGCCCATTCTTCCTTCACAATTTGAGGTCATGAGCAAAAAATTTGTGTTTTTTTCTTGCAAGAGTGCCGGCCATGTTGGGCCACCGGAAGGCTGATTACGGCGAAAGGCACTATTTCCGCGTCACAAGGGGCCTAACTCACAATGGGCCCTCCCTCTCCCATTTAGGGGCGGGGGGCGGGGCGGGACGGCCTCGTATTGGAAGTGCGGCACATGGAGCGGAACCTGTCCGTGATGAGTTTCGCGGGGGGTGGGGCGCTGGCGGGCGCTGGCCCTCGCTGGCGTATAGGGTTTCAGGGAATAACTTCCAACCCCCTCCCCTCTCCCCGCCCTCCCTTCGCCCACCCCGCCACCGTACTGACGGCAATACGGATTTCCAGCTCCGAGGTCACTTTTTTTTACCCAGCGCGGCGCACATTTCATTTTGTGAAGAATTATTGTCACTATTATTACTCGCGTGTTTTGGCTCCCCGTGGTTCCTCCGTCACGTGACATTTACCAGAACCGTGATTTTTCTAAAAACAACGAAAATAAAATAACCCTCAATGCAGTAATTTGACAAACGCTCGAAAAAAAATCTGGTTTATTTGGCCGGGCCTGGCTGCTGTCGAGTAGAGCAGTGTGGCGTAAAAGCGCTCCCGGTCATGGCGGCGGTGCATTCACCAGTCCGTCTGTCTGCCCGTTGTTCCCACGCCCACCGCACCGCGGCGTGGGGCGCAACGGCGGAACAGCCGGAACAAGAGGTATGGCGCTGCAACCCGTCCGACTAGTCCTTCTTCTCGGCTTGGCTCGGCTCGGAGCCACCGCGTCCCAAATAAAACGGCGATCGACTTGATGCCACGACAAATGACCGCCGTATACAACGGAGTAGTGTAGTGACGCGTTAGTTTGTTCGCGTCTCGCCGTCTCGCGTTCCTCGGGCCTTCCGGGTGGCCGTTTGAGGAGCGGCGCGCGATGCGCCTATCTGCCGGCACAGAACGGCGTATGACGAACGCCGAGTCCGCGCGAGGTACGTTCTTTTGTCCAACCATAACCTAACCTGACCGGGACGGCGGCGCGTGGAACGTTCTTTTGTCCGACCATAACCTAACCCGACTAGTGGAACGGCGCCGCGTCAAACTTGCAGCCGTGAGGCTGACTCCCGTGTGCGTGAATTTGATCGAGTGACGGGCATCACTCTCAGTCGACTCTCGGCGCGGCGCGCGGCGGAGGCGGCTTCGAAGAAACCCGAAGGACGTCACCTTCCGTGTCCGTTTCGAGCCCCTCCCCGCGAGAGGGCCTCGCGGGTCACGACCTCCGCGGCCTCCGAGGCCGAGGACGTGTCCCGGACACCCCGAGGTCCCCGAACTGGATCGCTATAAATGATGAAGCTGTCAATCAACGAGGGGCCGCCAAATAGGCCGAGAAGACGACAGACATGAAAAGGATAGCCACTCGTCTCGGGGTATGACCTGCCAGGTCGGGAGCCCGCGAAGGAAATTATTTGTAGTGTGCCAAGATGGCCAATTAATGATAATGATACTAACGGTGATACCATTGGGGGCAAGGACGAAACAATTTCACGACGGCCATAAGCAACTGTCAGTAAACCAAACAAACGGATAACCCCATTTGACACCGCGGGTATTTTTGTCCGTTCGTTCCCGCCACGCGTTCAAACGTTTGGCGGCAAAATCTGCGACCGTTTGAAGCTCACAGCCGCAGCGCACCAGTTCCGCGTTCTGCTGGCGGAGACAATAAGGAAGCAGAAACACATGAATTCGTCCGCTAAGGTCTCCTAAGGTGAACAGGACAGCCGTATACAGCGCGGCGCAGCGCAGCAGGACTGACCCGACCCGGCTCGGCTCGGCCGGCTCGGCCAGTCCGCCGGCCTCGGCTGGGCTCGACTTGGCTCGGCTCGGCTTGGCTCGGCTCTAACGCGTAATGAAGACATCGATAAAAGAGAGTGAAGAGAGGTGCGCGTCTCCACGCACGCCACAGTGCCAGGTCAGAGAAAGGGATGCAGTGGAGAGAGAGAGAGAGAGAGAGAGAGAGAGAGAGAGGTCGTTGTCGTCGTGCTGGACGTGGCGTGCCAGAGTCTTGCTCGGCTATCGAACAGGAATTAACTCGTCGCCACCAATGCTCTGTCGGGTTGGCGCCCTGCAGGGCTGCGAGGCGGGCGAGGCGGGCTGCAGGGCTGCCAACTCCGTCCGGCCGTCCGGCGCGCCTGGCGAGGCAAGCCAAAGGCAAGCGAAGCGGGGCCGTGGAGTCGCCCATCGGGCGCCTGCGCATTCAGACTTAATTCGAAAACACGCCGCGAGCACTTGTAACTTTGTTACCTGTTCCTGTCCTGCAGCGGGTGTGGGTGTGCCCGCACAACGTGAGCCTGCCGCCCCGCTCCAACGACCGCCGCGCGTCCCACAGGAACAATAACAACATTTCGCAACAATTTGACGACCGCCGCTTAACAGTGTAACCGGTGTGCTGAATCCACGCACATCACGCTGCGCGTGCAACAGCACGGTCCTCGGCCCGCCCTCACCGGAAACGGCCAGGGTAGCCAATCACCGGATCTTTCTTTTTTCATTTTTTGTTTTAAGAAAACGGCCATGCAGTCTGATTCATTCAATCAAGCGTGTCCCGTCCCGGAACACGATAAGCCAGCTGATCCAACCCGTTTGGGGCGTGGCGGGGCGGGGCGGGGCGCGCGCTGCGGGGGTGTGGCGGGGAAGAAAGTGAAGACCATCGTTGTCGTGGCGGCGCGTAGCGGGTGTAGCGATTCAACTGATGCGATGCGAGATGACCCTCCTCCTAGCAGCCCGAGCCGAGCCGAGCCGTGTCGTGCCGAGCCGAGCCGTGGCGCGGCGGGCCGAGCGGCCAGGGCGCAACTTGCCCCGAGGCGACCACGTCTCAGCGCCACACCACGCCACGCAGAGCAGCTAGCCGCTCCCACGATCCACACACACAGACTCACACACTCACAGCCTCTCACACACAGACACAGAGAGGCGCGCGTGCATATTTCGCCTCATCCGTGACAGCAGGGCCTCCGTCTAGTTCCTCTCGGCTTGGCTCATCATTTCAAAACACCATCCTTTCTTCCGTCGGCTGCCGGCGTTCAGGGCGCCTCTTATTTTCACGTTTTTTTAAATGTGGCAATTTCTCATACGCGAGGGGAGGAGCGATTTCTCATACCGCCGCTTGGCGCTGCGCACGTCTTTTACGGCCGGCCCCTCTGTCTGCATGTATCGAGAGGCTGGAAATTCCTGCAAACCCTCATCGCCCATGGCTGCAGTATGACTTGGCGGCGCTGCCAAACGGTTTCACACGTGACGTGTTCACCATCATTCACGTGTGTGTGTGTGAGAGTGTGAGTGTGTGTGTTTC